AATAATATAAATAATAATTAATACTAAAACTAATTTAATATATTATTCTACTAACCTATTATAATTTATACCTTTAATAAAACTTTTTATAATTTTAAATTTAAATTTAACTTTAATAAATTAAAACCCTTATATAATACTTTATAAATAAAATTATATACTATAACCTTTAAACTTAACTTTAAACTATAATATAACTTTTAAATATATATATAAGCCCTTATTTAAATAAACAACTTTTATATTTTTTATTATTTAACCTTTTATAATTTTTTTAAAAACCCTTTTTTATTTATATAACTTAATTTATTTATTTAAAAATAGGCTAAATATTTTCTTTTATTATCTTTATTATAACTAAAATAATATATTAGTTTTTTAAAATATAAGTTTCTTTTAATTTAAAAACTATTTTATTAAAATACTTAAGCTTTAATTAAAGCCCTAAGTATTATATTAAAAAAAGTAGAAATATATTATTTATATAAAATTATTGCAATTACCCCTCCTTTTTTTTTTTAACTTTACTTAATGTATATTTTAAAAAAACTCTTAAAAGCAGCAATATTCTTATAACTATTATATTATTTTAATTTATATTTAACTTTTTATTCTTATAGCTTATTATCTTCCTTTTTTACTTTAATAAGCGTTAAATATTTACTTTATATATTAAAAAAGCTATTATTATATATTTTATTAAATTCAAACTTTATATTAATTTCTATATTTATATTAATAATTAAATTAATAAGAAATATATTAGTAAAATTTTAATTAAAAAAGGTAATACTTTATTAAATAAAGAAAAAGTAGCTATATTTACTAAAAGTATAGAAATATTTTTTAATATAATAAATATAATTAGTATAAGTATTATTAATAAAATTTTTAAAACTTTTATATTTAAAAAAAAAAACTATAATAAGTATTTTTTTAAAGCACTTTATTAATATATAACTTTTATTTATTTACTTAAAGCAATAGTTATAAAAAAAAGTATTTTAATATTTAAAAAAAATAATTAAAAAGTATTAGTTTTAGTAAAAAGTAATATTACTATATATATTTAATATATACTTTTTATATAAGCTTTTATTAATATACTTAATAAAAATATTATTTATACTATTTATAAAAAAGTAGTTAATATAGAAATAAAGCTATACTTAATTAAGATTAAAAAGAAATAAAATAAAAAGTTTAAAAACTTACTTTTTATTAATAGTATTTATTAACTATTAAACTAAATATAGCCTTTTACTTTTATTATAAATAGAATAAATATTAATATTATTTATAAAAATATTATAAAAAAAATTTTCCTTATTTAAAAAAAACTTAAAAAATTAAGTAGCTTAAAGAAAGTATAAATGCTCTTATTTTTAATTAAAATAGCTTAAGTAAAATAAAAAACTAAAAATAAAAAAAATAATAATAAAAAAAAAGAAATACTAGCAGCTTTACTTTTTTCCTTTTACTTTAGCTTATTACTAAAAGAATTATTTAATAATATAAATATTTTTTTAATTTTTAATTAAAAATAAAGTAAAAAAAAAATAAAATTATAAAAAAAGTTATAATTATTATTATTATTAAAAATAAAATAAATACTAAAATAAGAAAAAAATAATTAAGTTTTTAAAAATAAAGTAGGAAAAAAGGTTTATAAACTTTAAGTAAATTAACTAATTAAAACTAGTAATTTACTTATATTTAAATTTAACTTTATTAAGCTAATAATATTATAAATTAAAAAATTTTAATTTTTAATAACTTATTTAAAAACTAACTTTAAATAGCTAACTATTTTAACTATAAAAAAGGTTTAATTATACCCCTTTTTACTAAATTTCTTTTCTTTTTTTTTAATATTAATAATAGTTTTTTTTTTAAAAAAACTTTACTTATTTAGTTCTTAAAGCTTTAAAAAGAAAATATTATTAACTAAAAAGAAATTTTTAAAAAAGTATTATAATAAATTAAGTATAATTTATTTTTAAACTTTATATATTACCTCTTTTTAATAAACTTACTATTCTTTACTACTTTTTACTTTTCCTTTTTTCTCCTTTTTAATTACTTATATAATAGTTTTTAAAAGTATAAAAGTTTTTTATACCTTTATTTTTTTATTATTTTCTTTTTTAATTTAAATATTTTTATAATATTTTTAAAAAAAATAAACTTTTTTTACTTTTTTCTATATATTCTCTTTATTATTTACTTTATTTATTTTAATATTACTCTTTTTTTTACTTTTAATTTTTAATTATAATTATAAAAATATTATTATTTAAAAAAAGTAATTAAAAAAGCTTTCCTTTATAATATAAAATTATTTTAAACCTTAATATTTCTTTTTTAACTATTAAGTTAGCTTATAAAAGCTATACTAACTTATAATAAATAATTTTAAAACTTCTATTTATTTTAAACTTTAATAATATCCTATATACTATATACTTTCCTAACTCTATAAATATTAAAAACTATTAAAACTTTATATAAAAAAAAAAGTATAAACTTATTTAAAAACCTATTTAAAATTAAAATTATAATAAATAGCTTTAAAATAAAAAATATTTAAAATATAAATACTTTATTTTATTTATTATTATTTTTTAACTATAATAAAATAAATAAAAGTAAAAATACTTATAAAACACTTTAATAATATTTTCCTTTTACTTTTATATATCTTAAACTTTAATTATTTATAAAATTAAATTTACTTTTTTAATAATATTAAATTTACTTTACTATATATTTTTATAATATAAAAAGAATACTAGCTTTAAAAAAAATATTAAAAACTACTTATATTTAAATATTTTTATAATAATAGCTTTTTAATTTTTAAAATATTATTTATTTAATTAAAAAGCTAATTAACTTTAAATAAAACTTACTTAAATAATACTAATTTTTAAAAATTACTAATAATTATTAATTTATTATTATTATAATAAATATAATAAAATATAATTATTAAGTTAATATAATTTATAATTAAAATAAAAAACAGCTTTTAATAATAAATACTTACTTTTTATAAACTATTATATTAAATATTTTATTATAATTAAAAAGTATTTTTTTAAATATTTAATAAAAAAGCTTAAAACTAATATAACCCTATTAACTACTTATAAAGCTTTTATTTTAATATAAAAAGAAACCTTTATATATAGGTAGTATATAATTAACTATATAAAAATATTTTTTTAAAAAAATAAAAGTATAAATAACTAAGTATTTAATAATTAAAAAGCTTTTTATATTTTAAAATATAAACTAAAGTAAATAAGTAAATAAAATACTAAAACTTTAATTTAAATATTTATTATTTAAATAAAACTTAATAAAACTAAAAAAGCTATTAAATAGCTAAATAATGCTTTTTATATTTTACTTAATAAATATTAAGAACTTTAAAAAAAAAGAATTTTAAAATACAGCTTAAAATTATTAAGCTAATAAAGAGTATTAGTAGATATAATATATAAAAGAAAATATATATTAAAAACTAATTTATAATACTTATATTTAAAGTTAAGTTAAAAAGCTATTTTAACTAACTAAATTTATAATAAGTTATTAATTATTATATTTTAAAAAAAACTTTTATAATAAATATAATATTTATTAATAAACTAAATAGTACTAATTAGTTCAAAGTATATTTTTAAATTATAAATAAAAATAATATACACTTAAGCCTTTATAAAAATATCTCTTAAGCTTTTAATTCTTATTATACAGTATTATACTTTTCTTATATATTACTTTAGCCTTTTTATATAATATTATAATAAAAAAATATACTATATAACTTTATTAGTAAAAAGCCTTTTTCTATTAATAATTATATTAGTTAAAGCTTTATAATTAAAAATAATATAAAGCTAAATAATAGTAATATTATAATAATAAAAAAAGAATTCTTTTTAAATACTAGTTTTAATTTTTTAAATATTAAAAAAATAATTAAAAGAATTTTTAATATTTTTAAAAACTTATTTAAAAGTAATATATTAAAAAAATTAAATACTTATTAAAGCTTACTTAAAGTAAAAATAATATAAATTAACCTTTAAAGATTTATAAAAGCTATTATTAATATAATTAAAGTATTAGTTTTAATACTTATACTTATAATTAAGCTTAACTATTATAAATAAAAAGCTATAATTATAAAGTTAATTAGCTTTAATTAAAAAAAGAATTAAAATAAGTAAATTTAAATTAAAAATTATATAAAAAGAATTATACTAAATATAAAAAGAAATAAATATAAAAAAGAAAATATTAATATATTAAAGTTAATTAAAAACTAATATTAGGAAATTTTTAGTTATAAACTTTTACTTTTTTTTATTAAGCAAAAACTTAAAAAGGGATATATTATAAAGTATAAGGTAAGCTTTAAGCTTATATAATTAAAAAATAAATCTTAAATAAAGACTTTAAAAAAGTATTGTTTTAATTATAATTTTTATAAATAAATTAACTTATATTTTTTTAAATTTAATATTTATTATATATAATTGTAATATTTATATTCTAATTAAAGCCTAAATGCTTTTTATTTCTTTTAAAAGCTTTTATTTTTAATATTTTGTTATCCCCTTGCTAATATACTTTTAAATACCTTAAAGGATTAGTAAAGCGGGCTCCTATAGTATATACTTTATTCTCTATAGTTGCCTGTTTTTAATGCTTAAAGGCAGCAAGACTCCAGAGCGAGGCTGCCAATAAGGACCTTTACTTGGGTGGTCGTCCCCAAAATCATGTTTTCAAAAGTCACCACGGAGTCAATGTTTGACAAAAGACTTGATTCTAAAACACTTAGCTACAGGGAGATGAGATAGCCAGTGAATAGCAAGTTCTATACACAATTTCGTCCTCTCCAGTGTCCCGGGGTTTCACCCAAAAACAAGATGTTCCAATGTGTGAGCTCATCATTGTGAATTTAGTCTCTCATCTTTTTCGGAGACTTAGACAAGTCGATTGTCATCAGCTGAGCTTGGTTGCGTCTTGCCAGTATTTCGGTTCAGACAGAATTTGCCTTGACAATTTCTCTCACCGCTGCTCTTCCACTTTCCGAAGTTCTCCTATACACGACGATGCTATCGGGTCTTCTTGCTGATAAAAGCCATCAGATAAATGTTGACCTTCCAGTCATCAGACGTTCCGACAATCTTCTTGATCTTCTCCAATATGGGCCATACATATGCTGGCACATCCCAGTTCTTCATGACATCCTCCCTTTCTGGGCTGAGTCCGTAGAACCGGCCCTCCATACCATGAGCGAGGATATTGTACTGATGAACCAAAGGCGTTGGACTGGACGTAATTGTTCTGCCGATTGACTTTCGACCAGGCGGGACGTAGTCATCGCCATCGTCTTGGGGGTGGTGTCGAAGCTTGATACCATGGTCGAGTAGGAAAATAGTTCGCAGGTTCTCCAGGTTGATTCCCAGGTCATCAATCGACGGGGTCAAGCTGGTTGCAGGACTATTGTTATAGCCCTCTTTTGCCTCCCGGCCCCACTCAATAGCCTTTGAAAGCCACCGCGGCAGGTCGCTATGCGTTTCGCTGCCCGCTTCGGCAAGGGTGATGTTGGCATCTGGGACACCAATGCCGACATCGATGGCGATATTGATTGCTTCGAATTTTGTTAGCTACCCAAGGTAAACCGCTTGAGTCAAGTGGCCATTGCACAGAATAACTCTAGACTTACGAGATATTCGCGGTCTCATAGTCAGGAGGAACATAGTCTCGTGTTTTTGGTAATTGTGAGAAGAGAAGTGGAAGATATCTCGAGATTCATTGACAACGGCTCCTTTCTTGAGCTCCAGTCGATTCTGATTGACTAGATTGAGATAAGCATCGCGAGCCTCTGGGCAAACAGCGCTGATTAAATTCAAATCGCGCCGCCAGAAAAACCTTCGAAACTTGCGAGATCCTGGAATTCCCCACTTGTTCTGGTAATTTTCAGAGTTCCTGATGAGAATTGCGAGATCATCGCGTACACCGTCATAGCTGAAGCTTGGTGCATCGGCTGGATTTGTCAACTGGCCAACACCTGGTAGAGAGCAGTGGTTTGGGAAGCGTAGGAAGTGCATCTTAATCGGAAGGCAAGCATGTTGCCAAATGAGGCGACGGATTTCCTCAGGCAGCGACGCGAATCGAGGAAAACTGGTCGCGATGGCGGGCTGGACAGCACGCACTGTCGCTGGCGAGGACCGTGGGGACAATTCGCCTGGGTCCACGTGTGATTCTTTCGTCGCGTCGTGGGCCATTGCGATAGATGAGTCCTTAATATTGTGATGATATTGCCGTGTGGTTGCGACTGGACGAGGACTCGATATTCCAAGCACGCGTAAAGCGCTGTTGACGGATAAGAGGTTGTTTGCGTGGAAGGCTGGTGCATTTGCAGATAGGCTCCGTATAAATGCCATGGGCCAAGTCAGGGAGGGGATATGGGTATGGGGGTTGCTACATGGTCCGAAGCTGCTGAGCTATCCACAAGCTAGATCTAGACAAAGCCCTGCAGGCGAACAACCCTTGCAGGCTATAAGTGACCTGTGTATGTGAAGCACAAGCCATTGTTCCACTTGCAGGCAACGACTTAGGACTCAACGTGACACGTGGACACATAGAGGTGTAAAATATAATTCAACTACTTGCAAGAAATAAAGCATTACACTGAGAACACAGTGGTACCATTATATGTCCCCAGCTCATCGCTTCCCAACAGGAAGCTTTGCGGGGGACCAAGGTAACTGGGCCTCACCCCTCCCAGGTCAACGACTACCTTTTGCACAATAATACTAGGCATTAAAGCCCAGACACGCAAGGTATAAGCGCCCTCTTGCGGCACGTTGAAGGAGCTGGTGGTGTAGTTGCCCGTTTTGCCCCAGACACCATCCGCCACAGCATATCCCCAGCCTGCCGGTAGGTTCTGCCCAATAGTGGGACCAACGGGCGTGACGACTGTCAAGTTCGTCGGCGAAGACGAGCCTGCTGGAGACAAGTCGATGGCGTATTGTAGCGGCGTGCCATCACCAAGGTAATTGTGTGATGGCGATATCCAGACTGTGACGTTGGCCTTAGACGAGTTGCTGAAGAGGTACATTTGGTACTCCAGCGCGGGAGCAGCATCGGTGGAGAGCTTTTCCAGGTCCTGGGGTACGAGGCCCACACCGTCGCCAGTGCGACTGATGCCGCTGAATGTGTGGTAGGTGACGTTCTCGGCGGCGGAACCGTTAATCGTGGTTGCTGAGCCAGTACCTGGGACGACGGCTTGGTAGTTCGGCCCCTCGATGGCGACGTGCCCATCAGATTCGATGAAACCTTCCGAGAAGTTCGAGGGGGGTAGACGACTGTACACCGGCACTTGGATGATAGGATTCTTGTATCCATACTTGTCAAGCGAGCGGCATGAGTTCGTGACATTGATATTCACCGTCGTGACGTTCGGCGCAGCAGGGGCGTTGGCCCAATCAACCGTGATGTACACTCGGGTGTCGCCACCGTCAGGACCGACGACGCCAGTGTCTTGAGAGAGCTTCACATATGGGACCCAAGGCGATGCAGTCCACGTGCAGCTTTCTGTGCCGCGGGAGAAGACCTCGAAGTATCGAGTGGCAGGCCCATAAGGTTCCAGCGGGGGCACAGCAAGGCTATTGCCGCTGTTTGTGTGGTACTTGTCGTCGCCTTGGACTGTTGCGTTGGAGCCCTCGACGCCGATGCCGACGTGTCCAGCGAGTGAGACACGTTGCGTCTGAACGTAGCTCATGGCGGGCAGCGAATTTCGCATGGGCTGCTGCCAGTATCCGTCATAGCCAAGATGCGTTTCTGATGAGATCGTCGGTCAGCTTCCTTCCAGTCATCTACAACTTGACGAAATACTTACGGTCAAGTATATGTGCCCACTTCCCGTCCAGCATCTCATCCCACCTATCGGTCAAGTCTGAATCAGCAGCACTGAGATCGAAGACCTCCGTCATCTTGGGGTTGGCCGAGTTGCGCTTCTGGCCAGCGTAAAGCATATTCTTCGCTGACTGGATGTATATCTGGTTGACAATATTTCCTCCTGTAATCGGATGAAGCACCATCTGGAAGAACGACGGTTGTGTAGCTTCGTCTAGAGAATCATACACAGTCTCAGCCTGGGACTGGAGCGCAGCCCACTCCGCGAGCACGGCATCGCCCTCGTTGTAGTTGATGACACTGTACGACTCTGGCTCGATCAGCTCGAACTTGCGGCGGTTCGCCATCATTCCGTACTGAATCATCAAGGATGAAATATTTGCCGCCATTTCAGGGCCAAACTCTCGCGCTGCCCAAGCCGTGGACCAGTCCGCGACGCTGTCGACATTCCAGGTCTCCGCGTCGTAGGCCATGTCCAAGAAGTGGCTGATTGGGATCTCAACGGGCTTCAGATCACCAACGTTCACGATCCAGATGCGATCAGCGCCACGTGAGTAAGCCATGTGCAACTATTCTGATGTCAGACACCATGTTCTCACTCACTTCATCCGGGTCTAATAGACTTACCTGCTCCGCGGTCTTGGCCAACTGCGCCGTGTTGATCCACTTGTAGTTTCTTGGGTCACCAACATAGTCGAAGTGGTAGTACACTCCGGCACCACCAGCTCGGCCGGTCTCATTCGCAAGCGGGAAACGCCTGATGTTTCCCCAGTTATCGTCCGCCCACAGCAGCGTGATATCATCGGGGACCTGCAGGCCATCGAATATGTAAGTCTGCACCTCCTTGTACAGGCACCACATTTGCGGCACTGTGGAAATGTTCACCCCATCGAGACCTTCACTGATGATCTCCTGCTGATTATGCACCAGCGTCTCTAGCATTGAGACGATCTTGTCCACGCCCAGGCCTTCAATAGCTGTGTCACCCGTACCACGCATTCCCATCGTGAAGAGCGAGTTCCGGGCATACGGCTTGGCACGCTGCACGCCATAGCGGAAGTACTCGTCGATGGTAGCATTGTTGAGATTGTAGGCCCAAGCACCGGGGTAAAAGTTCTGGAACTCGTTCTGTGCTCGCATCAACGGCTCAGTGTGTGAGCTCCCAAGAACGACCTCATATGCGTCCGCAAGTGGCTGATTCTGCGGAAAGTCAACCTCGTACATCGATGCCCACACGGTCGGCCACAGATAATTTGCTCTCAGGCGGAGGATGAGCTCGAGGACGTGAGCATAGAACTCCGGACCGTATCCCGCTGCGCCATTCTCAGCGTCGTCGAAGTTGGTCGCAACCCAGTTCGTGAGGCCTGGTTGCTCGTCGTTCAGAAAGATGCCACGGTACTTCACTGAGGGCGAACCCTGAACCTTGGTCAGGTTGCCAGGGACAAAGATGTCTGTGTTCTGTCGCACGGGCGTGTCGGCCCAGAAGTACCACGGGGACACACCGATCTGTTCGGAAACGTCGTAAAGCCCATATATGGTACCCCGAGGATCGCTGCCTGCGATGACCAGAGCTTGGGATACGCCGTCGGTTGGGCTTGATACCAGCTGAGACGTGAAGGACTCCCATTGTCCTTCGATTTCCGACACGTCTATCGCGCCTGACGAGACGAGGGCGTCTATCAGAGTACTGCTACCAATGGTTCCAGCAATAACTACCACAGATGGCAGATCTGGATCAGCGTAGCTTGGTCCCGTAAAATGTTCAGGCGCAGTGGTGGAATACTAGGTGCACTTAATAAGCTTCGGGCTCACGCTGTTGTCCACAAAATCAAGGTCAACTCACGACTGTGTTGTTCTGGTTGTTCACCGGATTAAACGAGTACAAGGCAGCGGAAGCACTGCTGGTGCCATTTCCAAACGTAGAGTTTGAGGCCCTGGTACCAGTGCTCAGTGTGTAGTTCGTGCCTGTGACCCTGCCAAAATCGGCAGCCAGGTCCCCAGCTGCTCGGATGACGCCCCAGTAGTCATTATCTGAGACCAGGATTTGACCGGCGGAAATGGGACCTCCAGCTATTTGCAAGTCTCCGTCTGAGCCTTGAAAAGAGATGACGGGTTTCTGACCAAGGGCGGCAACAAGTGGCAACGCGGTACAAAGCGCGAGGATGAGTTCTGACTTCATCGTTGGCGACTAGCTCTACGGAAGGGTCTTCCGCGCCGATCAGAGCTGGATGGTCGAAGAGAAAGGTGAAGCTCGAGAGCAGCTTCACTCACGATCTTGCTTGCCTGTGGGGTGCAATATTCCGCCACTGACTACCGGTGACGAGAAAACCATCATATACACGAAGCAAAGATCACGAGCAGACCTGATATATATGCCACCCCAGACTAAAGGAAATAGTAGGAGTCTCCACCCCACCTTGGGGTAAATACCACATCCCGGGGAGACCATGGTACGACGCGGTGAAGTTGGGCCAGCGGCTGAGCAGCTTGCCTAGCTCGCGGGTGCAGCCTCGGTCGGGTACCATGCTGCTGGGTAAACAAAGAAATGGAGAACGCCAACGCACTAGCATTGGCAATCTTGGGAGTTCTCCCAAGCTGAAGGTGTTAAGAGACCCGGCCGCCTTGCCGGAATGGCGGGTAAAGGGAAGGTGGAAGCGCACATCAAGGCGGAATCCTGGCCTCACATCCGCGAGGTAGCAACAGCGTCTCTCGCATCCGGATCCCCGTCACGGGAGAGCTGCACGAAAATCATTTAATTCTATGATGATGCTACCATCGATCTTGGAGATAGACAAGTCGGGAACTTGCCGAATTTCTGTTCCATTGTATAGATTGTCCTTGTGCGACTGAAACGGACGTAGATGGCCATTGGTCCTGGACTCTGGACTCGGAAACATCCACGAACAATGCTCGGAGATAATTGACACGAAAGTAATGTCTCCCCGACGAGTGTCAAGGGTGGACGTCAGTTCGGAGATGACGCTGAGCAGACCCAATGCGGGGGAGCATCTGGGGAAAACAATTGAATTTAGCCGGAATGCAAACCCCCCCTGCTATTTCTCCATTTCCCCACGGCCGTTGACTTAGCGCTGCATGGAGATCTGGGATCAAGGGGGCGAAGAAAGGGGGCATTAAATGCAGACCACAAGATGAGATGGCCACGCCGCTGGTATGAACTATCACGATTCAGGTGTGGCATCTTCGCAGATGTAGTCCGGTTCGTACAGAAAAGCCGACTGGTCATGTGTTTCTCAAATTACATACTCAGACCATCCGTGCAAACATGATTCAATCATCGTCTTTTGATAAATCTTGGGATCCATAGAAGCCAAGCCGGCCATGAGAACGTCTAAGACTGTTGCCGGACAAGCACAACATCAACTTCATCAGCACCTACTTCATCAATCACGTCAAATACCTCTCCGACCTTCACCTGCTTGACCTGAACAAGTTGCTCTGATTGGTACAGCCCGTAGATTCCAGCTGGGAGGTTCTTGATCTTCAAGTCGACTCTGCATGCACTGTCAGCAGTAGTTCATTGTAACATCGATCCGATCGGGCGCCTAAAAGTGAGCGAGATACGTACCTGCTTTTACCACCATCCCAAGTCCTCATCGTCACAATGAATGCTCCCACGTCTTCGTTCCACTCACCACGAAGGAAGTCCACTCCACTGGACAGTTCCACTCCTTCGACATGGGGGTATGTGGCATGATGTCCGTCCCTGATCCAAGGCTTCTCCCACATCTTCCTCTGCCCATCCCTGACGTTCAGACGACCGTACGCAATGGCGGCGTTGCCAGTATAGACATCCATGGCAACCCAGTTGCCTTTGTCATCTTGCAAACCCCCTTCTTTTCTAGGGTAGAAGAGCCCACCTTTCTCCCAAGTTGGGTCCAAGTAGGTGTCTGCATGCTTTAGTAAGCCCGTCACAACATCCCTTTCACCTTCTGCCGGTAGCGGCGCCACCTCAGAGACCCATTGTACCGTATGGCCGAAAGTGATAGAGGAATTAGATGGCCCCATAGGCGTCTGGAGTTTCCCTCCTTCCAGGCCCTTCTGGACTTTCGAGGCTGCTCTGGCGAAGGTCTCCTGCGAAACGGTCGAGCTGCGCTCGTCCAGCTCCTCTTCTCCGTTCTTTAGCAAAGCTCGGATCTCACTGGCAACGAGTATGTTGTTCAGGTTGACGCGCCCGTCAGAATGCCACGTGAGAAAGCCCTTTACCAGCTTGGGATACCATGTGTGGACGTACTCGGAGTTCCAAGAATTCATAAACGCACTAGCCCATGCATTGCCAGATATACCACCGAGGTTGATCATGGAGTCCTGTTTGATCTGCCAGTAGAAGGTGAAGTTCTCTTCCCCTGACGGATCGGGGGCAATGAATCCACCATTCTTGGACTTCCACGCAGCTTGGTATTTCTCCAGCACGTCAGACACGATGTCTGTGCCATTCCGCACGTCGTTGTACCTGATCGCGATGATGGGAAACTGGTTGCATATTATGAATACGCAGTTCGGCTCGCAACACACGCCCATCCAGCCCGTCTTCTCCATCTCCTTTACTATTGTCTGCTGCAGGGTGGTGCGGCTATATGGGAACTTCTCCGGACCCATCCCGAAGAAAATTGGGTTCCAGTCAAACGTGAGCGCGCCGGGCTCGTCATACTTGTCGTCGTCGAAGAGCATCGCGTACAGGCTGACCATAAGCAGCAAGTGGCCTGAATACATGATATTTTCCCTGCACACGGGGTCGGGCCACGGCTTCCGCAACTCTGTGATGTCCGGATCTACGAACTTCCCGGACTGACTGGTCAAATACCAGTACCCCCAGACGTCCCGGCGCATCATCTTGTGGATGAGCTGTTCAAACAGGCTTCGGAAGACAGAGCGTAGGGCCGGAAGGCGATGGTAATGCGCCAGTCCGGCCGCATAAGTCATCGTTGCGATCTGGTATCGGTAGGCGTCGAAGAACTCCTGGCCGGGATCGGCGCCGCCCACTACAACGTTTGGTGTCAGCTCGAGGTTCAACGACGAAGATTGGACCAACCGTCACTTCTCCACGGCGAGTCTCTCAAAGCCACGCAAAGGTTTCTTCGACAAGCAGTGAGTCGGTTCATGCACATGACATGTGTCTCAACGCGGAATAAATGTCTGAATATTGCTTACTGTGGTGCCATTCTCCGTCTAACTGAGTCGCAAGATTGTGGAAATGGCGGATGTGCCCGGCTTGAGCACGGTCGAGTTTGTTTGGAAAGTGCCGAAGGATATGCGATGGGAGCTTTGGTGGGAAGGAGGAAGTCGTTTCCAGGAAGAGGATCTGCTCCAAGGCAGTAGAAGAAGATGAACTCGTGTTAACAGTCATATTTGCTGGCATTTGTTGTTGTGAGAAGCCTGGCTCTTGTGGCTGCTCCTAGCGATGGATCCGATAGACTGCATTGATTATGCGAAGATGTCGTGTAGATATACCATCGCGGCTTCGCTAACTCTGATTCGATGTCGCTATTCCCGACGGGGGCTTCATCGGCGCACATTCGTTCCGCGAATTCCGCATGCACAAGGCGAGCCTTTGTGACTAGGTCACGTACGTGGGTCGTTGTAAGTTTTCCCCTCTCGGACCCGGGTTGGAGCAAAGTCCGTAGTCAACTCCGGTAGTTCAAACGCAAAGCCAATACAGACGGGCGATTCACACGTAATCAATCTTAGAAACTGTAGGGAGACTAGTCTGCACGTGGTGTGTTCTTTCATCCTTCAGGCTGACATGAACATCATTACGAGAAGCTGTCAGCAAGCTGCACCCAATGATCCGGCATTGGAAGACTATAAGCAAAGATTCCCCACAAGTCCGAGAGATCGGTGACGTAAAGAAAAAGAATGGGTCATTATGCATCGAACATTCGATTAGGACAAGCCCTTGCCCGATAAATCAGGCCGTAAGGTGAGCTTGAGCGAGGCATGTCATGGTTGTGAATCCTCTGCGGTGGTATCGCGGGACGGATCCACATGCGGGATTAGAATTATATAATCTCACCTGCTCACAGAGAGTTTCTTGCGCATGTATGAATTATGGGAATAGCTAGATTCATTTCATTATTACATGTACTCGGCTGGAAAACCGAAACGACAACAAGAGAATAAGTTGGCGAGCTTCTGTATACGGTTGGGCGTATTGCAGCAGTACTTTCTCTGCAAATTGAGTCTAAATTCAAAACCCACTGTGCATATGTTGTTTGTAAATCTATAGTGTGTGAGGACGTCGGTATAATGGATTTGTGGTTGGCTGGTTATTTTGCTGGGTCGCACATGTCGCGCTCAACAGGAATGCGTCAAAGGGCTGCGCAAGAGCAGTATGCTACGGATGTGGTACCAAAGGGCAGCCTCCTACATCGCATATTGGAAGACAGTCCTATGGATCTTATCTTGGACCCTCGCCCCAGCATTAAAGCAGCTCTTCATAATGCCGAGAATCAACGTCGCAGGAGGCATTTTAGGTCTCTCTAGGGGGCAATCCAACTTCTCAGGCTGAGACATTGCTAAGTCATAGGGACGTGATTCAATTAATGATTTGGCTAAGCAGACATGACGCCCGCCAGAGGCACGGGTCGGGATAGCCTCGAGGTCGGCAGAACCGAGTAGAAATTGAGAAACCACCTCGCCATTTTCCAGTACACCCTGGCATCGACGCCCAAGATCCCCCAATGCCCAGAAGATGCAATAATCCCACTCGCAACAAATCCCACTCTCATTCCGAATTGGAGGGATTCGTGCCCCAATTTCAGCCGCTTTACCCTCTCTATGAATACATACGAAGCAAGCGTGGCAGGCGTCCAAGCTAACTTGTGCAGTATTGCCACGCTCTCGCCCAATCCATGGACACATACTACGCTGCTGTAGCAGGCGTCCAAGCGTACTTGGGCAGCATCGCCATCCTTTCCTCAGGACTGAAATCTGTATCGGCATACACCATCCGCCCCTTCTCTTTCTTCGACTTCTTTTCTCCGCCATCAGCCGGAGGCGGGGCACTTGGCGCGCCGTCCGTTGGTGTCTTGGCTGGCTTGATGCCAGCTTCGGCCATGCGGATGAGCTGATCGATATCATCGCCTTGCCTCGCGTTGGCCACGAGCTCATCCACTGCTGATGCGCCACCAGCGGCAGGGAAGCCTGGTGCGCCAGGTTGGCCTGGATAATAATTCCCAGCCGGATAACCTGGTCGCTGGGGGAGGTTTGGTGCGGTCGGCAGACTTGGTGGACGGGCGGGAAGAGAGGAAGCAGGGTATTGTTGGAAGCCAGCAGCTGGGGGCGGGCCAGTTGGCGGGTAGTTCGGGAAACCAGGTTGGGCGTATGGTTGTGGAGGGGCGAACGGCGAATTCTGGCACATTGTTGTTAGTATCCTGATGTTTCTGGTACGACTGGCAACCTCTACTTACAAATGTGCCTGGACTGCCACTCTGTGCGGGACTTTGAACGTTGGCAGGCGCGGGATTCGCGTTGCCATTTGTGCCCGTTGGTATTCCTGCTGCCTTCTTTGCGCGGAAATCTGCGAACCTCTTCTTCAGCTCCTCCGGGGTCTCAACCTTGATCTTCTTGGATGGTCGCTCTTGGCCGGGAGGAGGGTTTCCTGTCGCTTTGAAACGTTCGTCCTGGGCTGCCCAATAGTTCTGGTGGATCCTTTGTTTGTGCTGCTCCCTAACCTCCTCGGGCACACCTTCCATCCCGAAGATCTCAACATCCAGAGCCTGGCGATTAGGAAGCGCATTTTCGACGTGTGAGAGTGTCTCCTTGTGGACTTGATTCATGTGGACGGAGAGACCTAGAGATCCAAGAAAGTCAGCGTTGAATGGTACACCACAGACGGAGGACTGGGATGACCGACCTCCTGCAGTATTCAGCCTGCGACCGCAACGATCGCATTTGAAGTGCTTCGCCTTCTGATGGGATATCAAGAGCTTCAGATCCTCGAAGTCACGCTCGCCTTGGAATGGTCAGTCGGCTTTCGCTCATAGAGCGCACTCGCGATTGGGTCGCATGAGCTCACAGTAATAGCACCACGGGCGCTCGAGGAGCTCCTCGATGTTGGGGTGTGAGCGCTTCTTCTTGCCCATCTTGTCCGACAAAGACAGCTATGCAGAATCCAGAGGGCTCCCACAGTTTGGGATCGTCACGGAAGGGAACGCGCCGGCGGAATTGATGGCGGGCGGGCGGTGATGGTCGCTGAGTGATAGCTTGGGCGAGGTGGCCTACAAATGAACGAAGCTCAAGACGTCGAAAAGTCCAGCCTCCTGCCTATGGAGGATACGCGACAGATCTGCGCTAGTACTAATGAAGATTAGTGGCTTCTGAGGTACCCAGGTACCGTAAGGGAGGTGGGTGGGTACGTCACCGTGAGAATCCGCCCCCCGAGGAGGACCCCTGATGCTGCTCGCTGATTGATGTGGGAGAGAAGAGGCCTGGAGCTAGCTGTCCTGGGATGCAGCCTCATCTGGGGGCAAACCAGCACTTGACTTCACTCTGACGATGTCCTGGATCTGACCATGCTGCAAGCCCAAACGATTTAATCAGCTATACTTCCATTTCAGGTCTATCTTTGGAATCCGAACTCGGTGCCAATCGCATGAGTCTTCTTCAAACTCAACGGCCGAGTGAGGACAGGCCTGGCGACGACATTGCAGCATCGAACGCAAAGAATTCCCTGTTTGGGTAACATCCTTGGCTTTTGATGCTTGATGCTCTGAGAGCTATACGGACGCTTTCTCTTCGCTGATCTGGTCGAATCTCGGTTCAACCAGAAACGACCTAGGGTGCATGCACATGCTATTCACAAGATCGCCACGCCACAGACAACTGCAGTCCAGTGCTCCGGTCCTCCAGTCCCCTATTTGACTCGCGCCCGTCTGATATCTAGTGCGCCGAACCGCCCTTCAGATCTGCCTTGGCCTGCCACGACTCCAAGTCTGACTACAACATGGGTCGCATCTAACATCTGATATCTCGTTGCAACACAGTGGCTCAGTTGACAGACATCACTCTATTTCTTCTTTGATGTTGCCAATTCGCTCGTCTCGTATTCTAGTTTGGACACATTGGGCTTCACACATTCTCATGCAGGCTGCTTGAGCATTTACTTGCGTCACTCACTGTCAGCGACAGGACGCTTCTCCACACAATCAGAATCAAGAGTCACTTGTTTCTAGTGACAGTACGTGGGAGGGCCGTTGTTTCACACCTTTATAAGAACGAGACAGTCTCTACTGCCTGTCTGTTTGTGCTTCAACCCCAATCTGCAGCTCATGGGAACACACTCTTCGATTCTGATTCCTGCACCTTCATCGGATTTCACGACACGTTTCCAAGCCCAAAAATGGCTCCAGATCCACCACCAGCGGCTGTGACCCTGGATTCAGCACAACTTCACGCCCTCCTCGACATTCTCACCCACGACGAGACGTACCGTGAAGCCGCGGATTTCAAATACCCACACGCCGTCAAAGACTACGGCTATCCCTTCAACCACGACACATCACAGCCCAACACTCCAACCTACAACCCCAAGTCCGCGTCCCCCTTGCTTCAACTTCTCCTCACCCGATGCATCCTCACGGTTCCCGGACTAGGCGACCTGCCTTCAGATTTCTGGCCCACCAAATTCCAGGGCATCTTAACCAGGCTGGCCGACGTGGACCTCTCGGAATCCTATGACAAGGGTGCACCGGGAACTAGGAAGACTCTGGCGACCCTGGCATGCGTGATTCACGAAGCCATCACGCGAGGCCTTCTGGGAGGTATAGCGAAGGGCAGTGAGAGGGTCGACCTGCAAAAGGCCCAGTATGACTCTGCTAGAGCACCCGAGCTCGCCAGAGCATGGGACGAGTGTGTCCGTGAGCTTGTCCATGGGAATCTCGCCGACGAGCTGTTCGACCACTGTGCCAAAAATGAGGACTTTGAGTCCCATTCGCCCGCAGTGAAGGCGGCAGCAGACTATGCGATACTGCATATTGCCTCACTGCTTCACCACATATTGGTGCTCTCCGCAGAAGGGCAGTACCTGGTTAAGTTGATCGAAAATGTGCACAAACTAGTGCCTTATACCATGGTTCGTCAGACGCTGAGAATAGGGAACGCGGCTACGATGATCAACGGCATGATGCGTATATTCCTCGCCAAGATGAGCGTTGCGGCGATGACTAACTGGATTGGATGGACGAAAGAGGCTGACGACGGCATGAATCTGCTACAAAGGTATGGGCTTTTTATTGAATATGAATTGGCATTTGTCAGTAAGGGAGTGCTGACCGGAGGTTTTCAGGATAATAAACCTTGTGCTATCTTGGGACGCCAGCGACTTCCGAAAGCAGGCCGAAAAGGTCGAGTCTTCCAAGGACAAACCAAGCAAGGAACAGCTAGCTGCGCTGCGGGAGCACATGGCCTTGCCACGAGAGGCTCATGAGGAAGCTCGGCGGACCAGCCTGGCGGAGCAGAAGTCAATTATCGCAGTGATCCTTGAATCGACCGACCCCAAACTAACAGCATCAATGAGCGAATCTCAGCACACGCAATGCCTAGAATGGTACTCGGCACAACTGTCAGTTCGAGACCGAGATGAGATCAGCAATGTGTTCTGTAAATCGAGCCCAGATTACTTAACGGCCGTAATGCGTGATGCAGTGTCTGCGTACGAGCCATTCATCAGAAGTCTTCACGGCAGCTTGGATCTCCGGCCGCACGTTACATCACTGGAGGCTTTTTTGAATGACTTTATCGAGACGAGCAAGCCGAAGCAGGTAAAGAACCGCGATGGTGGCAAGTGGAAGAATCTAGGATCTGGCAGCGGCAAGAACACACCCGTGCAGACGAGACCTCCGTCGGTGGAGGACTACGTGGCCCTTCTGCGGCGGAATCGGCACCTCCTCTACAAATACCTTCACCAGTTTGCCGAGAATTGCACCGATGTCCGGGAGAAGTTCCGCAACTGGGCCAACGGGACGGTACACAATTTTAGAAATGCAGGGGAGACGGAAGCAGCGAACAGCGGCGGGGCGAGACCAGGTGCAGCGGGGGCAGTGAGCGGCTCCCTGCAGGAGATATTCACCCAGCTGCCGCCAGAGACGCAGCAGTCGGTTCTAGCTGGCCTGGACTCACACGCAGCGTACCTTTCGAAAGCCTCGAGCTTATCCATGCAGCGCATGCAACGCATACTCGACGCATTGAATGATGGTTCGAACAAGGTTGACGAGAAGGAGGGCAGCAGCAAGCGTAACACCCCGCGAGGCAGCTCGGAAGGGGATGACATGTCCGGGCCCGGCGTATATCTGATGCGGTGGGAATCACTCCTCGACAGCACGCTCATCACACCCGCGACCCCCCATGGCCCGGTTCGAAGAGGCAGAGATGTCAAAGGCGAGAAGGTCTCGGGCAAGATTGGCCCCGAGGGCGTGAAGGAAGGATGGGACGCCGGTGCCATCGCTAAACAGGAAGATAGTGCTGTGCCTCAGGCGCCAGACGTCAGTGTTGTCATGGAGGCGCTGGGAGAGAGCTTCCGGGAGGTGGTAAGGGAGGCCGTGGGCCAGGTGGGACCGCCGACGACGCCGAACTCCGCAGCCTAGGGTGCTGATGGGTCGGCTCCGAAGTGGGCGGGACGGAAGCGGATGTTTCTCCACAGGTTTTCCAGAAGATCTGGCTGAGGTCTGTGCAACAGCCTTGCATGCTACGCGGCGCAGTTGTAGCCGACGTAGCCTAGATACACGTTTAGCATCTGATTTGAGACGCTTCAAGACAGAACTGATGTAGATATGGTCAAATAGATTCGCTCTTTCTAAGCATGAGCTTGAGCTCGGGTGCCCGCTTCGCAATCACAGTATCTCTCCAGATAAATGTATAAAAGAGAAACGGTGAGCTATTGGATAGCCACCTATAGAATAATCTCTTAGGACAGCCTTCCTTTGGATAGCCTTCTTTGGTTTTAAACCCCTTGGGACAGCCTTTCGTGGGATAATCTCCCTTGAGATAGCCTTCGTTAGGCAGCCTCCTTTGGGATAGACTCCATTAGGACAACCTCCCTTAGGATAGCTTTCCTTGGAAAACCTCTTGTGAGATAACCTCCTGTGGGAAAGCCTTCCCTGGGATAACCTTCCCTGGCTTAATTGTATGATACTTTTCTGTTGTATAATTCACGGGAAGCCACAGTGGTCTCTGCTATGATGTGTTGCTATGTTTGACGATGTGGCGGTATTGTTCCAACAATTTATGTGAAATCGCTCATGGCGCTTCTGGTCCTGGAGCCTGACAATGACAACAGAAGTGTCGCCCGTATTAGTATAAATATGTACAATATGCTTGTCGACAAAATTGTTCCCCTCCCTAAATTGGGGGCCACCTTTACTTGCTTCCTCTAACACGGCCGCCCTACCGATATTGGTGTTCAGCAGGCAATTCTACCGGCGGTTGCTGGTGTCCCAGCTCCACCAGCTCCTGCTGCTGATTCCTCACCCCATATGCGCCCACTCCAGATACCTCTGATGGTGGCGCCGGGCTTGATTTCGGGTCGTGGAAGCCACCTCCCGCAGCCACGGCGCTGTATCCGTTTTTGCTGTAGTCGTACGATGTACCTGCCCCTTCGCTCGGCTGTGCTCGCTGCGCTTGCTTCCGCTTGCGTATCCAGAAGAACAATGCCGCTGCGACAGCGATAGCAACTACGGGGATAATCACGGCGATGGCAATGGTCACGCCGGTGGAGAGGCCAGCGCTGCTCCCCGAGCCTGAATCCGTTGTGCTCGTCGCTCCGCTGGAAGTCGCCGTGGACGTCCCCGAGCCCCCGTTCGTCTTGTCCGCTGCGGTCGTCATGTCGGAGCTCTGGTAGACCATCCTAACTCCAAGTGCGTTGATGCCGCCGGGACTCTCCATACTGACTGCGGCCGTTGAGGTCGTGCCGTCCGCGGACTGCGTGACCTTGACCGTAGTCCCTGCCTCAGGGGCTATCCAAGTGCAAAATAAAGTTTTCCACACGTCTTCCAGCGTGCTCGGCGTAACACACCCCAACGTGATGTCGCCTCGGTACGGGCAGCATGTCACCGTTGTGATGGAGCTTACGCCTGCGTTGTCGCTACATGCCGTTACGTAACCCGCAGGACAAGCTATTCCGGGCGAGAAATAATTTGTTGAGAGCGATGTGAAGCCCTGGGGGAGGCAGGCCAGGTCATCATCGATGATAGCGATACCTGCGGAGGAATAAACGCCGCTACAGCTCGCCGGCGCTGTGAACGTTGTCGTAAGGGCGTCCAGAGGGAAGCTGGACTGTATTGGGGACGAGTATGTCGATGTTGTTGTTGTCATGATGGCGAATATCAGTGCCACTTTGGGACACTGAGGATTCCGGTAGGCGGCCCAAGGGAGAGAAAAGAAGCGGGCGAGAACGCGACCCAAAGACTTTTTTCAGGGCCCTGAGGACTGCACAGCGCAGATCTTCTATGGATCGCAAAATCGAATAATAAGTTGGTGCCTCACCGGCGTTGCCTGATCGCCGTGGTTGATGCTACCAAATCTGAACGAGAGACGTCGCGATGGAGCCCGGGCAGGAAGAAGTGGAAACAGGTGCGAAAACTTCGAGTGAAAAGACGAGATCACCTTGTCGAACAACTCTGTTCCACAAGCCAAAGAGAAGAATGGTCTGGTCCCCAAGGGATCAGATAGATCTCACCAGTCATCACAGTACATACGCTGCCATGCTCCTGAGCGCACATGCAGGGGCCCGAATCCTTTGAGTATCAGAGCTCGCCCCGGAACACCAGCACTGGCTGGTGATTACTGCCTGGATGTGGAAAATGCCGAGTAACAGACGTGACTATCCTCGCAGCAGTGGGGCAGCGGCCGCTCGGAAATAAACTTTGAAAGTTGCCGGCGCTCTCAACTTGAGCAGTCGGTCGCCGTGCCTGCGCCATTCTGCGCGCAAAAGGGATGGGCTGAGAGACACGTAGGCGAGCGCTTGTCTCTGTGTGACCAATTGACACAGCCAGCTGAGGCTTGTGTCGCATGAAGGAGGAGGAGGCTGATGACTTCCAATCTCCCAGCAACGTCGATGGTACTCGGAGTCCAGGTGTCGTGCCACTAGAGCTGCCAGGGTGCCTTCGCTGGGCACTACGGCTGACTTTGCTGGCTAACATTAGCGGCCCACTTCGATCCTTATTGTTCTCACTCTAAGGCGGTGACCATTCACTGCCTGCTCACTGCCTAAAGCCAATTTGAATGAGGATGGAAGCAGTCTGGTCGAGTCCTGGGCTGCTGGAACCCGAACGTGCGTCTGCTAAAGTAACTGGAGGCGTCGCACAAGTGTCGCGAGAAGCAGACCTTGACCCGACCGGTTGGTTTTGAGTGTGCATGCGATGCATCGATGATAAGAAGTACCGACATGTATGTACCGGTAAAAGATCGATTCCGTGCAGTACATGTTGCAAGCTAGCCCTCAAGGAGGCTAATTGCGCTGCAGGTGCCTCTAGGCAGTCGGTTACACAGCCAACCACGGGCCACCCCGTCCTGTCCATGACCAGAGACAGAATGTGGCATGCGAGCCGCTCGGACTCTGATTTCAAGCTCGGGTGTCCGCTTTGCGGCCACAGTATTTACGTGGAATAAGCAGGAAGAAGAAAAGAAGAAAGGAATGGGAGGGGGTAATGGAAAAAAAATAAACTCTAAGATATTCTCTGATAGGATCATTCCCCGATAACCTCCTGCGGGATAACCTCCTGTGGGATAACCTGGCATGGGATAACCTACTGTGGGATAACCTACTGTGGGATAACCTACTGTGGGATAACCTACTGTGGGATAACCTACTGTGGGATAACCTGCTGTGGGATAACCTCCCGTGAAATAACCTCCTGTGGGTACGTTCCTGTTGAATAACCTGCTGGAGAAGGAAGGTATTAAGCCACAGAGTTTTCCGCAACAATGTGTGGCGGTGTCGTCCCAATAGTATATGTAATCTGTCCTTGACCGTCGGTCATTGAGTACTGAAAAAAGACCCAAATGATCGCTCAGCTCGTGGTGAATTCGAGTTGGCCATCCAGTCGCCTTCTCATTCGAAGTCAACTGGTCCCGTAGGTCGAAGGGCCGAGGAGTGAGAGCTGCCCCCCACTTGAGGAGGGGATCGGGTCTGATTCAAGGGTCAAACCCTCGTGCTCCTCTCGAAATCCGTTCGACAGAGGAAGGTCGCGCGCAGCAAGAGTAATGTTTTCCACATTGATACTGGAACAGGAATGGTCTGAGGTGTGAAAAACCCTTTTTGGATCACTTGCATGTTTATGTAGAGCAGATAGTGCAACCGACTTCAACGGTTGGTCAAGTGATCACTGCGTTGTGCACATTTGGCAGACTTGCCGCTGATGGATTGTTACATTCGCCACGCCTCATCCTTGCAACTCTCAAGCCTCTTTCCTTCTTAGAGAGCATCATTCTTCTCATGAGAGGGATGTTATCCCGATCTGGCTGTGAGCAGTGTTGTTTCTATGTAAAAGATCTTCATTGGAGCAATAATGTTAGGAGATTGCCCGTGTTGGTGTGTTGGGGTCGAATCACAAAGCTTTCCGCGCGTGCTGCTCTGGGCTGTTACAAGGACTGTTGTATGTTCGCATCCCAAGACGCCCATGTGGTCTAAACAATTCGAGATGCTGTTGCATGTGCACCACCATCCTATGGGAGGCAGGAATACTGTCAGAAACATATCGCACGGGAATGAAACCAAGATCTCACCGCAGAATATTCTTATTTCTATGCTTATATCTGAACCAAATTCTCCGAGTCCACACAAATGGCTTAGCTCGGCATGTCCTGTCTGGCGTTGGGGGCTTGAAATTAGCAGTGTCACGCTACACGTTAACATACAAGGTGTTCCCCACCTTGAATCATTCCCAATCGTAGAGGACTTTGTTGTCAATGGAGGAGCCGTGCTTGTTTCGAAACAGCAGAGCCAATTATGTTCAGGACTCCAGCATGCAAGCGTCCTTACCAAGACCTCTACTCCTCCTGCCAAGTCCACCACAACGTCTCTTAAATTGCTTTTCTGGAACTGATGTCCTCGAACAGGTATTAAGGGACCTTCCATTCCGATACCGACTTCCATACCTGCCTTTTTCAATCTTAACGGACCCAATTAAGACGGCGATGTCACTGATGCTCAATGCCAGATAGAGACATGTTTCCAAGATCCCTTAAAAACGGGGCTCTGAACCGGAACAATTCGAAGATATACTACAGTATGGCTGTGGGACTCGAAACAACATTCAATGACTGGTGGAAACGTACTGCCTTGGCAATAAAGTCTTCAATATCCATCTAATGATGTAACCTGACTGGCTGAATCTTGTGTTCGATTACTTGAGAGCACTGAATTGAAGCCATGGCATTGCCGCATACGTTTCTATAAGTGAGAGGGATCTGCTATTCTCCTACCACTTGGGAGATTCTCTGGACTGGCCAGGATCTTCATCAAGACTGACTCTACTAATTGAGTAGCTAGCGAAGATGCGTCTGTCTACTCTCGTTTCGTCCACCATTCTGGCTGCTGGCTATGCCAGTGCCCACAACAGCAGCCTATCTGACTCTGACGCTTCCATCTGGGATAATGTGAATGATCTCCATGTTCGTTCTAAGATGGAAGAACGTCTTGCCAAGCGCCAAACAACGTGGAACCCACCGTCGAACCTGGTCACGCCTCTGAAGCAAGTGTGGGACCATGAGATGTCTACTTACAGCAACCCGCTTGGATTCAAGAATTATGGTTACGATCAGCTGATTGCTAACAAGGGGTAAGAAAAGGTTTTCTGTCTACCGAGAGCGCCATTGACTGTGACATTTAGGCAAGTCAACTACTGCGTTCGATGGGAGTCCGGTACCGCGGTGACAGAGGCCCAAAGAAACCAGATTGCCACTGTACTCCAGGCTCAGCACGACAAGTGGATGCAGTGGCTCATCGGCTTCGACAAATTCCCGTACAGCAGCGTCCCAGTCAAAGTCGTCGGCTGGGCAGTCAAAGACAAGAACCTGCTTCAGGGCTCAACGTCGGGCATCGACGTCTACACCAACCTTGACAGTGCAGGCGCCCCGGAGTGCAATCCCGCGTGCGGCCGATTCTTCCACCAGGACAACAACTACGGATCCTGCCCTGGCGGTGCTTCACGTCACTACGATGTCTCACTCTGGCTCACTGATGGCTTCTCGGGTGGTGCTGGTGGTGACTGGGGTCAGCGTATCGGCCGTGAGTACTTCATGGGTGCTCTCGGCACAGCGAACATCCATATACTCTTGCATGAGATGGTGAGAACCCGCCCATTATTCTTTCTCTTGTAGTTGTCTCGTCCGTTAATGATCAAATAGGGCCACACCTATGCTCTCGATGACTGTAAGTCCCCTTCCTCAACCCAAAATCTCATTGAGACTGTTCTGCCTGAATCCCTGTCCCGAATGTTGAAAGGCGGTTTACTAATCCCAATGTCTTACTCTTCGCTGCACATAGTCTACGGTAAGCGCTATATCTGTTTTTTTTTGTCTTTGTCCCTGAGCCAGACCTCATACTAACACTTTTCCAAAGACTGGACCCCAACTGGAGTGACCAACTTCATCATGCTGGCTGGTTCTGCCACCCTTATCACAGATTTCGACGGGTGGATGATGCGTGACTGGTGGCGTAACTTGAAGAGCCGTTATGGGTTCTAAGCCCGCGATCAGCCTGACCACGTGTCGCTGCATGGACAAGGTGGAGGCAATTGTTGTACATACATTAGCTGCTGAAAGCAGCAGAATCTCAGACCTGTTCATCTCAATGCTTGAGCTGGAGACTGGTCTCAAACGTAAATACCATCCGCATCTTATAGCATGAAGACCATGAAGTCTCCAAGCATTGAACTTGATGTGGCACGTTAATGTTTTTGCAGTAGCTTCGTTCTGGCTGACAACCTGAATCACACAGTCTTGTATGGAGGAGCAACTTGATGCAGAGAAAGTTCAGAGATTGTTGCTGTTTTGAGATTTACTGTTCACCTGTGGCAAAACATCCTCGAAAGTAATACAATTTACCACACACTCAAATGGGCATCATATGTTCTCCTGATCTAAGATGCTTGCGTTGTATATTTCCGAAGAGTGGATGTGCCTTGGCCGACTTGCAGGATTGTACCCAGGAGGACAGGCATGATGTTACCGTGGGAATCCTGGTTGAGATCTGGCAGGGCGTAAAGGCCCTCCAAGAACAAACACCAGATGCTCCGTGCAGGTGGGCGACAAGAACAACGCGGTAGCAGCCAATATCCAGTACATCTGTAATTTAGAACAAACTTCAATCAATTTCATGATAATTCCAGGGGGCCACGTCTGGTTCGGTACAACGTGGGCAACTGCTTGCTATGGTATTGGTACGTACTGCCCGCACGACGACGTGGTTGGCCAATTAAGCGAGCTGCACGGGCTCGGCATTAAAGCCGTTGGTGGGGAAACGACGACCCACCCGTGCCCGTGGATTCCAAAATATTGACGGGGCCAACTGGCAGTGGCAGGCAGGCAGGCACGGCCCCCTTGAAAAGGCAGAATGCACCTACCTGCATGTACGGGACTGCGTGGATGCTTGAGCTCGACAAAGGTCAAGCTCAACCCGACAGCTTATACGCCGACCTCGACGTCACTAACCCCCAGGTAAACTGTACTGTACTTGCCGACAGCTGGCTTGCCCACTCGGTCGCTGTCAACAACAACGCTCCAGTCCAGCTGCTTTCTTTCCTCTTCTTCATTAGCTTCCTGTACTGCAACATTTGTTTGTTCATACTCAACACCAGCCTTGCCTCACCTCGAAGGCACCCAGCTCTCCTATTTTTGTTTTTCCTCTGTTGCCCTCAGTGTGCTCGACCGCCTCTTGGTCGGCCCCCCTTATTGTCTCTCGCTGCTGATCCTATCCCATCCCATTCTTCGAAGCCAGACCGGGTCGAGTCGAAAACGAACATTAAGCCTCGTGCGGGACAAGCAAGCATTCCAGCCATTCATGAAAGATCACTCCAATCGAGATGTCTGCGCTTGATCCGGGAGCATCTTCAATCACCGTCTCAGGTTCGTGTTTAATCGCTGCTGTCGCCATCGTCACCTCAACGCCGTGACCTCTGACTTTTGCATGCAGTTCGAGTGCGTCCTTTCACTATTAGAGAAGCCGCCCAATTGTACGTCCGCCCTCTTCGAGCAACACCTTACTATCTGCTACACACACGAACCCCAACTAACACTTCGAAGAGTGAGAAATGATGATGGCACACTCTTCCTGGGCGACGGCTCGCTGGCCGCGGCGCCAACCCCTAAGCTGCATCAGCGAGGCATTCGAAACATCGTCAAAGTAGTTGACCACCGATGCCTGTAAGCCTCCTCCCCTTGGCTGTTCTGAACCCTATCCTGGCCTCCTCGACTGATCATTGGCTACGACAGCGTCTTCGATCCTCCCGAAGACAACCCTATCCAGAAGTTCTCCCGATCTGTCGTGCCCGCCTCAGGGAAGAGGGTCAAGGACCAAGTCTTTGCCTTCGACCGAGTCTTCGACGAAAATGTCACCCAAGCCGAAGTCTACGAAGCAACCACAAAGAGCCTGCTGGATAGCGTTTTGGACGGATACAACGCCACAGTTTTTGCATACGGAGCGACAGGGTGCGGAAAGACACATACAATTACTGGCACGGCTGCACAGCCCGGCATCATCTTCATGACCATGCAAGAATTGTTCGAGAAAATTGCCGACCGGAGCGAGGAGAAGGCTGCCGAAATAACTTTGTCATACCTGGAGATATACAATGAGACAATCCGCGACTTGTTGGTTCCAGGGGGCAGCAAGCAGGGACTCATGCTCCGAGAAGATTCGAATCAAGCCGTTACGGTGTCCGGGCTGACAACGCACCATCCCAAGGATGTCCAGGAAGTTATGGACATGATCGTCCAGGGAAACGAATACCGAACAGTGTCTCCGACAGCAGCCAACGAGACGTCATCGCGTTCTCATGCTGTGCTGCAGATCAACGTGGCACAAAAAGACCGCAACGCTTCCGTCAATGAGCCACATACGATGGCAACCCTGAGCATAATCGACCTTGCTGGCAGCGAACGAGCCAGTGCCACAAAGAATAGGGGAGAACGATTGATGGAAGGAGCCAACATCAACAAGTCCTTGCTCGCTCTGGGCAGCTGTATCAACGCCCTTTGTGATCCCAAGAAGAAGAATCATGTTCCTTACCGGAACAGCAAGCTCACCAGGCTGCTCAAGTTCTCGCTCGGTGGCAACTGCAAGACCGTCATGATAGTGTGTGTGAGCCCCTCCAGCGAACACTTTGACGAGACTCAGAACACTCTGCGATACGCCAATCGAGCCAAAAACATCCAAACCAAGGTCACCCGAAATGTGTTTAACGTTAATCGCCACGTCAAGGATTTCCTTGTCAAGATTGATGAGCAAATGGAGCAGATCAAGCAACTGCAGGCGGAGAAAAAGACTGCAGAAGCCACATCCTTCGCCAAATTCAAGAAGAATGTTGAGAAGAGGCAACAGGTCTACCGGGAGGGCGTCCTGCGCATCCGAACAGCGTATGAGAACTCGTCAGCCGAGAGGCAAGAGAAAATCAACACGATGAAGCATCTGAAGCTTTTTGAGCGACGAATTGGTATGCTTTCCGCCTGGATCGCTGCTTTCGATACCATTTGTGATAAGCGGGAAGATGAGGGTATGCCACCGAACCTGGAGGCGATGCGCAAGACCGCACAGGGCATCCTGGTAGAGTTAGAGTCAAGTCGGCAACATCTCCATCAGAAATTGGAACGCTCGAACTGGGAACGGGCCATCGACTCTGCTTTGCAGCACAGTATTGTCCAACTTCCATCAGGCGACGGCATAGCAGACTGCGGTGAAGCAGCAGGTCTGGCTCGTGAAGCCGATCTCCTCAAGGCACAGCTCATGCGGGAGGCAAACCAACAAGTATTGGAGCAGGAAAAAGGAGCCGATGCTGCGACCATACAGTCGCTTCTGACCGCTCAGTTTGAGATGTTGTCCTGTCTGACCGAGCTTGTGGCGATGGAGGAGGAAGATGCTGTCGCACGCGCGAAAGACATCATCAAAGGCATGCTTGAGACGGGCTACTCTGCGGCATCTCAAGTCATCAAGCCTGACGGCTCTGTGATGCCTGCTGAGATGTTCCCGCCCTCCAAGCGAGGAACGCCCAAGAGAAAGAAAGGATCCAGCATCCATATCAAGCCCATTCCCGCACCGGCGCTCGCAGGTGCCCCGCCCACGCCCATCCGCGAGCATGGTTCCCCTTTGAAATCCCCCCGTCGCCGGAAGGCAGTGAATGCAAAGAAAGGAGTTTCCTTTACACCTGTGAAAAAGAAGTCAACCCCAAAGCGGGTCCTGCGGTGGCGGGACGAAGAGACTTCAGGCACGCTCGCGGACTATGACAAGACGCCCAAGAAATTCGACCCGAGTCCCATCCCACAACACAGGGAGGCTTCTCCAGATGCGGCTGTGCCTCCCCGGCCAGCAATGCCGTCATACCTTCAAAGTGCAGGCGACTCCGGATCGGACTCGAGCCCCTCACTGGTGGTGCCCAAGACCGCCAGTCTTTCCTTGGCCAAACCCAGCAGGTTCCAGGCAGGTTTCTTGTCCAAATCTCAACCATCTCAGGACGACGGGTCACCGCTCTCGGCACCTCCCTCAATGCGACTGAATTTAGCCGGTGCGTCAGACAGGATTTCTCCATTACGAGCCCTTGATGTGGACAGAACGGGTAACCACCTTTCTTCTCCACGATCTACTGGATCCTTGCGGTCAAGTCCAAAGCCACCCAGACTCACACCGTTGGATGAAAATAGCCCTCCCGCTGCGAATTTCGCCAACGCCTCCTTCTCGCCTGCCGCTTCGAACAGTGACGCCGAGTCGACCACGAAAACGATCGATCCGACAAAGCTCCGAACCGCTCTTCACCTCGCCAAGAGAAGAGACCGCCTATCCTCGATGGGGAGCACTGCGAGCGCCAACGCGAAGCGTGTCTCTAGCGTCGGTTCCTCAGGTAGCGGCATCGACAGCAGGCGACGCTCTCTTCATCGGGTCTCCTCCTCGTACTCCGGACCGCTTGCCTCATCCACAAATGGGATCTCCCGAGACCGAAGACGACGAAGCGGATCCGGTGAGGGGTTTGGAGCGGGTACCGCAACCTCCGAGCGTCGAAGAAGTCCTCCGATCAGCTGCGCCGCCTCACCTCCCGCTAATGGAGGAGCAGCTCGCGCCTTCACCGCTGGCCAGGCCAGACGAATGAACATGGGCGGCAGCATGAGGCTGGAGGGGATGGTCAGTCCGAGAGGGGTTGCGGCCAAATCGTCGGCAGCGGCGCAGGCGAGGCTCGATAGTAAGGCTAGGAGGATTACCATCGGCAGCGCTGCTGGCATGCCAGGCGGAGCGGGGACGTCGAAGCGACCGAGTGTAGTGTGGCGATAGGATCATCAGCGCCGGAGAGCCTACCCCTCGCTTTCGCCTGAGAGGCGGTTGCCGGAGAGACGATCGTCGTGGCGAAGGTCTCTCGACGGCGACAAAGTAGTCAAACCTCCATCGGGGGATTGATGCCGCTGGTTCGATCTGGACATGTAACAAAGAGATTGAGCTGTCAAGGTCGTCAGGATTTGATTGTTTCTCGAGCAAGAAGGGCTCTGCTGCCTCTTGCCATCACTCAGTGTGTAATGGGTGATTTTGGATCGCATGGCGTTGTTGGTCTGCTTTCGGCGTGTGCCTTCTCGCAGGCATGTCCAGCTGGCGAATTATAGGCTGCAATTGTATTTGTACTTGATGGGTTTCGTGCTGCTTTGCATGTTGGGCTAGCCCGTCCGCCCACTCTGGAAAGCTAGAGCAGCACTTCCGGCGTGTATACATATGATTAGGATGACCAAGTTCCATAATCATGATAGTTACCACTATTCACATCTTCATTGGCTGGACCTCAACAAGCGTGATGGTGATGTTAACTCTCTCGAGCCGACCATAGGAGTTAGGGTGACTGGGCGGCTGCCGGGCAGCTCCGATGAGCACCGGCCAAGGACGGGACCAGCTGCAGCTCACGGCTCCGTGTCGCACAGGCCGTCACGGCGATCCTTCAAACCGGATGCCTGTTGTTCGCAACCAGAAGATGGGGCAAACAACAAGTTGTGTTGCGCGCGCGAGTGTGCCACACAGCAAATTTGCCCTGACTGGTCTATCCCTGACTTTCTCTCCTCTCCTGATGACGATTTTTCCCCAGGTCTCTCCTCCTCACAGCATACTGCACCCACCTCGACCAGCGACATCGCAGTCCTCAGGGGCTCTTCGTCATCGCAATGAGCTCGAAACAACAACGAGGCCATCGACCAATACCCACGTGGATCAGAGATCATCATACGACCATGGGTTCAAATTTCAATCCCGGCTGTCCCCGCCCAGCTCGGGGTGTGGGAGAGGACATTGTGCAATGGGTGGTCGCGCCGAGACGCGGCGATACGGAACCGAGCACGCCATCGGTAGTTCGGATCTCGTCAATCATCAGCGACACCCAGCGCAGCACCCGGGCGCAGAGTTGCAGATCCAGCGGAAAACTCATTGTGGACAAGACCTGTCACGTCATTGACCATTGAGACATGCTAAGAGGACCCTCGAGTGTGGGAGACCCCGCACTCGCAATATCGCTGCCAGTATAAGAGCAATTGGGGCGCCCACCTCATGCCTTGTCCCCTTTTGGAGGTGGATGTGTAAAAGAGCCTCAAGCCTCCATTGACTGTGGGGAAAAGAGCAAGTACTGTAGTATCTTGGTTCAGATTCAGAGACTAGTCTTTCAACATGGCGCCAGGAGCACTCATTGACGAGCCCGTCAACACCGCGGCCATCCGGTCCAAGAACGATGATGCCCCAAGAGACATCTTCCCAGACGGCATCAGGACGTCAGGTCAGCATCCTCCTATCTACGACCAACTGAAGCCATACTCCGAGTTCCCCAAGGAGATTACTGGCCCAACCCTGTGGCGGAGGGAAGACTACGTCAACAACCCAGAGAAATGGATCCACCCCTTCACGGACGATGAGGTCCAAGAGCTCAGTGACACCGCCGACCAATTCATCGCGTCCGGTACCCCTTTGACAGGTATCACCAAAGTATGCCTTGACTATTCCAACCCAATTGAGCCGACTAAGGCGGCTTGTGTCCACATGAGCTGACAAAATGGCACTAGGAAAACTTCCCGCTCCCTAAACTAGGCAAGGTCCTCCAGGCTCTCCGGGAGGATCTCCTCAATGGCAAGGGCTTCATCCTGTTCAAGCGCTTCCCGGCCGGCGAGTGGGGCGCACACAAGAACGCTGTCGCATACATGGGCCTGGGCACCTACATCGGCTACTTCATCTCACAGAACGGGCGCGGCCACGTGCTGGGCCACGTCAAGGACGTGGGCGACGACCCGACGCAGATCGACCGGGTGCGCATCTACCGCACGACGGCGCGGCAGTTCTTCCACGCGGACCCGGGCGACATCGTGGGCCTGCTGTGCGTGAACCGGGCGCAGGAGGGCGGCGAGAGCGACATCGTGTCCATCCACAACGTGTGGAACACGCTGCAGGCCGAGCACCCGGACGTGGCGGAGCTGCTGGCGCAGCCCGTGTGGTACTTCGACCGCAAGGGCGAGGTCAGCGACGGCGAGGAGGAGTGGATCCGCACCAGCGTCTTCTACCTCGAGCCCCGCGGCAAGGGCCGCGTCTACTGCAAGTGGGACCCCTACTTCGTCAAGTCCCTGACGCGCTTCTCCGACAAGGGCGTCATCCCGCCCCTGAGCGAGGCCCAGTGGAGGGCCCTCACCATCCTCGAGGAGACGTGCCAGCGCCTCGCGCTGCACATGGTCCTCGAGGTCGGCGACATCCAGTTCGTCAGCGATGCTCACCTCCTGCATGCCCGGACGGCTTACACAGGTATGTTGTTTCTCACCATCAGGGCTTATCGCCTATCACACTGGGACATTCTAGCTGACAATTTAAACTACAGACTTCCCCCCACCACACCCTCGCCGTCACTTGCTGCGGCTGTGGCTTGCTACGCCTGAGTCTGAGGGCGGATGGGCGCTGCCCTTCCACGACAGTGACGAGAAGAAGCGTGGCGGTATCCAGGTCAACAACAAGCCTCCGATTTGCCCTCTAGATGCCGAGTAGGCACACATGAGCAATTTAAATTCTGTTAAAAAAAGAAAGCGGCTGGCTTACAACAAAAGTCTAATTAAAAATACCACCCAAGTTCGGATAGATCTCAGGCTGTGATAGGCCTAGGCGACCAATCTCATGTTCCTTTACGTGCACTGATGTTGAATGAATCCGTTTCATCGTTCTTATTATCTCATTGTTTTCGGTTCCTAGCACGTGATTCCGAATGGTCGGCATGGTGGACAACAGTGTTAATGAGAAGGCCTCCATCCGACGACGGAACTGTAGCCTGTTGATGGTAAATTGCAGCGCAATTTCAAAGAGCTTCTGCCGAGCATACTTGTTCTAAGTCTCACCAAGGAAATTGAAAGACCAATTGACTTGACCATAAAGCTTTTAGACTTCAACGGTACCCTCGACCGGAAGGACAAGATGAAAGGCCGTAAGACTTGCTGATGATTCGAGGTGGCTGGCCATGTGCAAAAGAGCCACAAGTCCGGCTCAATATGTAGAGGGAACAGGTGTCTTGGTAGCGTCTGATCCTGAGGCTGCCACGGAATGGCCGACGAAATGACTACAAGAGCGGATGTGGCGGCAATGCCGGAGAGGACTGCGCTTCCAGCTTAGCGATTTAGTGACCACGGCCGATGGCGTCGTCTCCGGCCAGCGGGTGCTCTGATGCGCCGACTGGCTCAAGCCTGCTTCGGGCCACTCTCGCCCTCGCTTGCTGCGATGCTACACTCGTGTGAGCGAATGCCAACACGGCCGAAGCGTTCAGTGGGGAAATCAGCGGGTTGCAGGACTTACAGCCTCGGGCGGACCCGATGGATGTTCCGTCTCTTGAGAGCATCGTGGAGCTCGCTACGACCTCCTCCATGGTGTCCGGGTCGGCAGGGGTGCGAATACTTTCAGCCAGTCCAGCTTCATCTCGGGAGCTCTCCGCATGAGTCGTCGCATGGCGATCCTGAGAACCTGTCGTGACAGACGAAAGAAACGGAATATTGCTTTCAAGGCCGCTTCGTGGCTCATCCTCGCCCTGTTACTGTTGTCAGATCTTGCTGTAGGCGGATAGTAGAGAATTATGCCTACCTCAGCTTGTGTGTTCTGTGTGGTCATCAAGAAAGAGAGTTCAGCAGCGGCATTCTCTCTTTCCTCATCTGAGCTGGTTGGAGTGGAGATATGCTCATCGTCCGAGTCGCAATTCTCATCATTCTTCGCCACGGAGGACTGCAGAATTGCATCCTTTGAGCGCTGGACCTGAGCTCGCAGCGCGTCATCATCGCCAATGCTATGTACACGTGTCAGCTGTATCCACCTAGTCTAACATGTGAGGAGCTTGCAACCTACAGCCGAATGATATCTATTTGTGTCATCTCCAGGATCATGTCCGTGATTTTTCTTGCCAGGGCTGGTTCCAGACTTGAGACCTTTGGGAAAAGAATCTCGCCCAGTGCTTGCTTATTCCCACCGATGACGTCCATGGATTCAGAGGATCTCTCGAAATTTGAAGATCCAATTGCGTGGGAGTGTCCAGAATAAACTTCTGATTCATATGTGTGGTTTCAAAGTTGTTTTGGAGGCCCAGGTGTGGTCTAAATAGTGAAAGCAAAAGAATTTTGAAATGGTAAAAATTGCGAAGAAAGATATCTGGTGCCTAGGCACTGATGAGCATTTTTCAAGTTAAAATATACAACGAAAAAAGTCCGAGTAACTTGTGCCTTTCGGCAGTGACTAGGTCGGCTTTCGGTCCTCACTATAACGCCTCAGCGCGGCGCCGGGCCGCTAGCCGATTGCTTTGTGTACACAATTCTCAGTTTGCTGCTCTCCAGGACTCAATTTTGACTTCAATATGGATATTCCACTAGACTCACATGATCCGGCTTTTGGTCTTTTCAAGCGGCGTTTAGTCTAGAGCGATCGACATGTATGTCGTGTCAGCGCTACAAATGTTCAACCAGTTGATGGGAGCAGCGAATTCATATTAATCATTTGCTACAAAGCAGCATTTCTTTTGTAAAGTCGTCAGTATCAGACACGGCGGGTGTAAACATGGAGCCTGGGCAAGAACAGAAGATTTTTTTTCATACAGCTAAGATTGAAAGGATCGGCATTCTGACAATAATTGTGATCCACAGGGCATTGAAAAAAGAAATTCACTCGATTTTCTAGCCCCAATTTGCGCTGCAAGCACCTTCTGGAATATCGACATTCTGAGACGAACTCAACATCTTGTCGCTCTGGAAAGCATAAATCCATATCAATTACAATTCTCATGGCGCGACATAACCCAAGAAGGTAGACAAATACAACATGTGGAATATATTTGACATTTTCCCTCTGTCTTAAAAGACCCCCGCGGAACCCCTGGCCTTTTCCCATAGGAAGACACAGAGAAAATTGCGCAGTTTCCGTGGACAGCTTCCAGCTACTCTGATCAAAAAAGAGCAATCCTAGTCATTTCACTTTGTCTCTTGCTTCAACGTGGCTCGCAGCCTCTCCAGCACCCATGGTCCGGCCTGTATCACGTCGACCTCTGGTGTGCCACCCTCTGAATCAGGTGATGGCAGTGTTGAGACCTTCTGATCGTAGTTGACCGAGAAGAAGAACGGCACACTGTATCTCTCTTTCTCAGGACTCCTATTGACAACCCGATGGACAGTACTCTTAAACTGCCCGCTCGTCCACCGCTGAAAGAAGTCCGCGATATTGACTGTCAGGCTATTCGGCGCCGCAGGAGCTGAGATCCACTTCGGCCGGCCCGAAGCCGGGTCCAGAGTTGGCGAAAGCACCTCTAATCCGGGATTCGCGTCGGACAAGAGCAGCGTGAAGCACTCATAGTCCGTATGCGCACCTAGGCCGATCTCTTCTTCTTGCTTGGCTGAATCTGGTGTCGACTTGGGCTTCTGCGGAGGATAGTACAGCAGGCGAGCTATGGTCCCCGGGTGCGTCGTCATCCCATCGAAATAGGACTCTTCTAGTTCCATAGCTAGGGCGAAGAGTCTTAGGAGATGACGTGCAAGTGTTAGGACCTTGGATCTCTTGTCAGTAATTACTCACAGACTGCGTTGTCGTGATTGGAAATTGCCTACCTCGCCGTGGTACTTCCTGATGCTCTCAAAGAACCCAGGAAGATCTTCCTCGTTGGGCCACACGTTTGCCCCATTTGGGTATGAAACCAGGTCTAACTCCACATACTTGCCGTCGCCGCCTGTGGGATCGAGTTTGGGTTCGTATCCCCAGTTGAAAGCCTCTTTGGTCTCCTTGCCCATGGTGTTCCAGTCGTCAGGATTCACATTCGACACGTCGCTGGGCTCCCAGCCACGGAATAGAGCCGAGTTGTTGATGTGTAAGTCCTCTTTTTTAGCCTGTGGATATTGGTGGAAGAATCGTTTGGCTTGCTCCAGCACTCCGTTCTGGGCCTCCAAACTGACGCCGTGGTTGGTGATCTGAAAGAAGCCTATCTCGCGGCATGCTTTCCCGATCTGAGCAGCGACAGACCTTCTAGCTGCCCCATCACCGTTGAGAGAAGGGCCGATGTCGATCAAAGGAATCGTCTCTTCTTTACTAGAGTACACGGCTTCATTGATCCGGCTCATCAGGGCAGCTTGGTTCTGCCGGATCTCGTGGAGGGTAACATTGCCTGGGCTCGGTGCCACTGCGGCCGCCATTTTCTCTATGATGCACGAAAAACTTATCAGGCCGGTGGACTGGTGTAGCAAAGATCTTGTCGGATGGTGAAATATCATTTGTGTGGCTCGAGAGATAGCCAGACACTCGTTCCAGGAGATAAGCAAAAGTGGGGTTTGAATGACCGATGTGGTGAATGAAACTGATAACGCAGTACCCCAGATTTGTGCTTTCAGCTGCTACTTGACCGTGCAATTGACCGATATGAGATCTCCTAGTTGCTATGTAGAATAAAATGTGGCCATCTTGGCCTGCTCCTACACCAAAGGCAATGCTTCTGCGCAGGCTACGACATAAATCTGAGCCCCGTTCCCTCTCAAAAACATGGGCTCCTTGCCATACTATCTATGTCGCTTTTCTTTCGGGCAATTCAATGCTTAACTCTTGGACTTAAACTCAGGTATGGGAGACTTCAACAAACCGATATTTGGCTTGTTGCACATTTGATGAAGTGATTTTCAGAGGTTGGTGGCGATATGTAGAGCATGGTTTTTCAACATTAAAGGGAAATGAGATATGTGTAAAATAAGAAGCTACTTGCTGTTCCATGACGACGCCTTGATGTCCGCGTGTGCTGATACTATCAATCGAAGAAGACTGATGCCGAAAAAATAGCACGATCGCACTAAATCATCACAAAACTCTCATCGTTCCCTAGACAATTCGAGAATGCATATGATGCACGCAGGTCCGCATCAGTCAACGCTGTAGGATCGAAGCTTGAGCATCTTTGATAATTCTTAATATTGTCCCCTAGTATTGTTGCACACAGGACAAGGAGCGGGCCATGGACTGTAGACACGTGAAATGGATAACAAAAGCGAAATCTGGAGGCCGTTCTGACGGATGGCAAAAGTTTGTGCCCTCGGATACATCAGATCTATGGACGACATTTTGTTCAATGACGTGGGTTTCCGGAAGAAGAGAAAACGGAGTGAGTGCAAAGGCCTTCTGAAGCCAACTTCGGATCCTGTGACCGTGGCGATCTTCAATCTTTGAGAAGCTGCCTAAAGCATCGACACAATATCAGGGGACAATATGAAGCGAATCAAATTGTAGATACACGGACAATGCTCAATCGCGGCACGCTGCAGTGACGCACTGTAAAGAACGCAAATATGAGTCGGCCCTTGATCATTGCATATAAGCCCCTCAACTTAAAATACCCCAGAAAGTGCCCTTTCTCGCTACTCAATCCATCACATTCCACCTCACTAACCATCTTTCAATCACATTTCACAAAATTCATCACAGACTCACTAATCTCTCTAAATCTCAAAATGGACTCCAAGAAAATTCCCACCGCACCTGGCACACCGATGGGCACCATGGGCACTCCCGTATACGGATTGTGCGTCATCATGTAAGAGTCGGACATTGCACCAGTCTACGGGCTGAGGGCAGCGAGCCTTGGGCTTGTAAAGCTTCCGCCCCAGGGATCATGTCTCGGATTTCAGGAAAGGCTAGACACTTCTTGAAAGGCTGCGACAAAGCAATCATTGCGCCTAGCTGCCTGAGCTACCCGCAGTTCTCGAATCACGGCAATGCACCCTCTCTACATCGACAAGAAGGCCTGGGGCAGTAAGATTCACCTTTGACAACTGCCGCAACGGGCCACCAACCTCAACATGTCGACCATCAATTCCGAAATTTCGTTTCTTTCTATTCGTTCTCGTTACTCTTCGGTGCATTCCCCCGTTATCGATCGACCAATTCACTTGGAAAGAGGGGTCTGCATTCACCAGAGCTTTCCAGTCGACGGATGGCACGGTCTGCTTGGAATATTCAGGTTCTGGGATACAGGGTGGCATATTAGTTGACGGTCATTCGTAGGGTTAGGGAGTATCATAGGCTTTCTAGCCACTTTTTGTATTATACTTGTCAATGGAAACCGGCATGTTGTGGATGGAATGACTTTTCGGAATCACTGTGACTATTCCATATGCCAGTATCTTGAACTATTTGCTGTCTGATTGCCCACTCTTTCTTTAGAGTAACGGTATGTTCCTGTCTTCGGGCGATCAAGCTATTTGAATACCAGCAGTGGCGACAAGCCTCTGACGTTACTCACCCAGATTAGGCGCCAACTCCCTCTGACAACACGGCGTGTGAGTTTGTCAACCGTCCTTGCCTTGGATTCATGAGATGACCACTCAAATTTTGGCCGTGACCTGGGCAAATGGATGGAGTGACCATAGTGCTTGTAGGACGGGACCTCGAGGACCTGTCAAATGCGAAAGGCAAGGCATAGCAGCAGGATGATGTAGAATGGAGTCATATTCTCAATGACCATTCAGCCCGTTGGTAGGCACTCTCAGCACGTCGTCCACCATCAACTGGCTCGCTCCAAAATAGTTACTTGGGTTGCAGAGTGCAGCTAGTTTGTCTGCCTCCATCTTCTCGGTGATCTCCTTACGACAAAGCAGAACATCCAACAGCGGAGCTTTTGTCTCTATAGACTCCTTGCAGCAGCTGTATACCACATCATGCGCATTCTGTCGACCGATGAATGGCGCCAGACCCATCATGACAGCCTCACCAACAATAAGACCCTTCGTCGAGCACAGGTTTGCCATCATGGCCCCTGTGTTCACAACGAGACCGCCAATAGCGAAGCAGGTCTGATGTAGCGCACCTACGCACAGCACGAACGCTTCAGGAATGGCGACCCATTCCAGGTGCCATGGGCCGCTGGCCCGCTCGAAGTCGACCACCATGGCGTCAAGGCCCAGGCCAGCGTGTGCGCGTAGCAACTTGCTGGCTGCGAGTATGACCTCGCTCGATATCGGGTTGCGCTTCTGCGGCATAGTCGACGAGGCCCCGCGAAGAGGCACGAACGGCTCTGAAACCTCGCCGAACTCGTTCGATGACATAACGATCACGTCGAGGGCGATCTTGCCTAGAGAACCGCCGACAAGGGCGAGGAAGTTCAAGACTTCGGCGATGTTGTCACGTACTACGTGCCATGTGATGGGAGGGTTGTCCAAGCCCAGTTCCTCTGCCAGGTAGGCTCGTGTCCTGAGGCCCTTGTCGTCGGAGCCTAGCGAGGCCAGCGTGCCGGCTGCGCCACCGAATTGTACATAAAGACATCGCCTCTCGATCTCTTGAAGCCTTGAAACATGCCTTTCTATTCCGGATAGATAGACTGCGCACTTGTAGCCGAAGGTACATGGCAAAGCGTGTTGGAGATGTGTGCGACCGGCCATGGGGGTGTCGCGGTGCTCAGCAGAAAGACGTCGAAGAATACCAACAAGCTCATTTAGATAGCGCTTGACTACTTGCAGCGCAGCCTTGATTTGCAACATGGATGCGTCATCCATGATGTCCTGCGTTGTAGCCCCCCAATGTATGTATTTGGAGACATCTTCAGGCGTTGACTGCGAGTGGACGAGCTGTTCCACCAGGGGCAGGACAGGATAGCCGACAATATCGGTGTCCCTGGAGAGTTTTTCGAAGCTAAAAGTTGCTGTTAGTAGAATCCTTCTGAATATCATTCTGAATTTCTCGGTTCTGCCGAGCCTTTCCCTTGCAAGGGGTGGGCAGGGAAAGGCATCTGTGAGTGGGTTCCATACTCAATCTTGGCAACTTTCAAGGCCTTGGTAAGTTCCTCACCGGCTTCAGCGGGAATGATGCCGGCTTTGGACTGAGCGCGAGCCAGTGCCGCCTCGGTTTCTATCATACGCCGTACGTAGGCCTCATCGGTAAAGATGTCGCGGATCTCTTGGGTCCCAAAGAGATTGCGGAAGACACGCGAATCCAGCGCTGACACACTCATGGCGGATACTTAGATTGAAGAAATTGCAATTGATTATTCAATGGTAAATTCTCATTTTCTCCATCAAACCAAATTGAGCGACTCCCTTTGCTCGAGTGCGTGACATATTTATTCATCAGCGGTGACCGGCTCAGTCCACATTCGTTGGCGGCCCTGCACATTGAGGTTTCGCTTACGTTGTGAAGATCCGGCATAAAGCTCTTATTCCGGCGCTAGGCAGGACCAGGGACCCACGAGTCTTTGACTGTGACCTTTGAGGGGTCACATCCGTCGTGGACCTCGGCCAGCAGCATGCTGCATTCATTATAGTCCTTTTTTCCGGATGGTGTATGAGACGATCACGCACTGAGGCGAACATGACAAAATGGAGGTTGCATCCCCAAGATCGGCGTCCTCCGCGTCTCCTGGCCGGAGTGATGAAGTCCTCCAGTCGGTGGGACCAAGGGCCGCTTTAGGTCAAGCTTGGTAAGTCGATCCCATCATTGCACACACCATCATCATGGGCAAGCTGACCGATCTAGTGATAGATGTAGAGTGTATGTAACTCGTGAAAGCTTCTATCCACTGTCGTATGCTGGGGCTAAATGTGATGGTTATATAGGAAAAAGGTCAAGTGTGACGGGGCTACACCGACAGTAAGAATTTTCGCTATCTCTCTCAACTCTATCATTACCCACGTAACATGATTTCCCAAATGCTAGTACTAATAAATGTCCAGTGTGGCCCGTGTAACACCGCGGGCGTTGCCTGCGTTGTAGCTACTCGTCTTCGAAGAAAGACCAAAGTTCGTGGGTACCGGCCGCCTACTGCAGAGGAGTTTCAAAACCTCACCGCCGACAATGCCAGAATGAAACAAAGTCTCCAGGCTTTGCAGGAGGCGAATCAAAAACTACAGACCGAGCTCGCTAGTGTCTCGGACCGTCCTTTGAGTGTTGTCTCTGAACAAACACGATCCAGGAATTCACAACACACCAACCTTCTTCTACGGCACATGGGCCGCATCGTTGCCGATGAGGCCGATGTCGAGCGCTTCGCTGGCTCTACGACAGGGATCCATTTTATCCTGTCCGTACAACAATCTGTGCAGAGACAGGGACTGTTTACAACTAAATTCCCCGATAATTGTTACCGTCTCCATCTTCTAGCGCCAAGATTGGACCTCTCTGTACCATCTGGGACAGTGATGTTCCACGAAGCACTCAGAAGCGCGTTGATGCGCGGCATTTTCACTGATTATGCTGATTCAACCAGAGAATTCACTGAGGCTTGGGAGCCACTATGCCCTATCCTCGCTGTAGAGACTCTCAATCACCGTTTCTCGGCTTTCCTCGCGCAGTTGCAGGACGGGAGTATTATGAATGCGGAGGCACATCTCGAGCGGACCACACTCTTCACAATATCCACAATCCTGATGATCCAGGGTCTGAGTGCGAATGAACAGCATTCTAGCGAGAAATTTCATATTTTGAAGGCTCTTCAGCAGGCTCTTTACACCAGTATTCTGTCCTTGGCCAATCTAGATGCTCTCCAAAGCATAGCGGTATACGCACTCTATACAATACTGACCAGCCAATACAATGAGATGGTAAAAATTAGTGGCATCATGGTCCAGATGGCCAAGTCTCTTGGTCTTCATCGCCATGCCAGGCGCTTCAAGTTCAGTGTAGGTGAGGTCGAGACGAGGAAGAGATTGTGGTGGTGGATTTACATTCATGATATGTGCGTTATTACTTCCCTTCCCCCTCATTGTCACTTATACTCATCGGTGGGACTTACTGACATCGCACGTCTTCTAAAGGTTGACAGCCACAATTCATGGCCTTCCAAAAGTCATACACGATGCCGACGTCGACACTGACTATCCCGTCGACTGCGAGCTCACGGACAGTACCTCGACAGAACTTGCTTTTCCCTTGCCTGGGGAATCCACATCGATTGGTGTTTTCATTACCCTAGTCCGCCTCAGCCGACTGCTTTCAAGAACGCTTGCGGAGTTATACACCACCACCGAGCGACGAGACAGCGTGAGAAAGATGGAAGTGCTACGGGACGAGCTTAAGGCGTGGAGGCAAAGCGTTCCGCATGGTCAAGCTTCGTTATCAATGGTTCAGGGACATTGGATATCTCTGGCAGAAGACTACATGAGTGTGCTGATCCACCGACCTGGGCTCACCTTTGATCCAACTACGCGACCATTTTCTGACTGTTTACGAATTTGCACCGCTGCGTGTATCCGGATAATTCATTCGGCTACCAGCCTGGAATCTCTACAGTTTGCCCCTGGCGTCGGAGCGCCTCTGAGCAGTCTGGTTTTTCAGTGCGCGTTGATGATCTTTTTCAACCGCTGCCATGCATCATCTCGAGAGGGCACGAACACAGACGATGTCTCTCTTGCTATTGCGTTTTTGACTCGTGGCACAGGCAAGCCGTTCTTTACGCGCTCTCCTCAACTGCTAGCGGCCCTGTCAGACGCGGTGAGCTTGCTACAATCTCTGTCACAAGCTAGCCACGGTGACCCACATGCAATCATCCCATCCAGCCACGCAAATGCCCTCATCAACTCAACTTTGGGTGCGGGGGTAAGGACCATAAGGGAGGAAGTGCAGCTGGAAACCCCAGCGTCCATATTTGACATGGATGTTGATGGGTCAAATCTAGGGGAACTGGGTCAGCTAGATTCATTGGACTGGATATTTGACTTCAATCCGGAATTGCCACCAATTCCTAGGTAGTTGTTCCGCACCATGCTGCAGCAGGCTCGATGTTTTGTCAACGACAACAAAATCGGACGCAGGAAACCATGTATTTTTAGGCTGGGCGCTGAATATAGCATGGCATGAGGAATTAATGCCCCCATGTCACTGCCAAAGCTCGTGGAAAAGGAGCCGGCCGGCCGTCTTGGTCCGGTTTAAGGGTCCTATTCCGGACCCCACGGGGAATGGCCTGACCACGTTCTGTGCGCTACCGCGTCTATGGAAAGTAAGGCCGCCAAGATCTGGGGAAATGTCTCTGGGGATACAAATATCTGGGGAAATACTGTGGCATTCGGTGAACAGTTCACAGAAAGTTAATCCGGTACTCTATCACTAAAATTCAGATACACGCTACCGAGGTGATATCAGGCACGACAGTATGGTCGGACCAAATACCCCAAGAGTACAAACCCACTTGCTGATGAACTCTATTACAGATGGCAGGTTCCTCTCCCTTTCTGGGGCTGCGCGGCAACGCCCTGACGACAGCACAAACCCTCCTTGTCGTACTCCCAGCCTTCGTCCTCTTCGGCTACAACCAGTCAAACCTAGGGGGTCTCGTGTCTTTGTCGGACTGGACCGACCACTTTCCTGAGATCGACACAAAACACTATACTGGCGCTGCCAAATCACAGCATGCTACCATTCAAGGCGTCGTTATTGCTACATTTACTCTCGGAGCCATGGTCGGCTGCCTCTCATGCTCTTATACGGCTGACAAGTTCGGGCGAAGGATGGTCATTTTCGCCGGGGCACTTTTGTCGTTGATCGGGATGGTACTCGAGTGTTCAGCCTTCCAACTTGCCCAGCTGGTCGTCGGAAGGACTATCCTTGGGGCTGGAGTCGGTATGCTTAGTGGCACCGTACCAACTTGGTGGGGTTTCCTTTTCTTTATATGTCGTAATCGACCGAATGTCCCAAAAGACCTTGACTGACTCCAGATAATTTACAGGCAGAGCGAGTGCTGCGATTCTAAGCATCGTGGCCGCCACGTTGTCTTGGACGGACTTTTCATCAGTCTGGGATACATGTTACAGGCGTGGATCAACCTCGGCTTCTACCAATTCAAGACCGGTCCTGTGACGTGGCGGCCAGCGGTCGCTATCCCAATATTTTTCGCCCTCGTCCTTCTTGGCAGCGTTTTTTTCATGCCTGAGTCCCCACGTTGGCTGGTTCGACAGGGTAGACACGCGGACGCAGAGAACACCATCGTGGCACTCAAGGCTTCAGAAGATGCCGCCAACGATGTAGCTGTCAAAGCCGAACTAGCTGCGATCGACCGCGCCCTTGAGATTATGTCCATGCAAAAGACTAGCCTTACCAGCCTGCTTTCAATGGGCGAGGATCGCCTGCTATATCGTTTTGGTCTGTGCATCTTGCTGCAGTTCTATCAGCAGATGAGCGGCGGCAACTTGATCTCAGTGTACAGCACCGTCATCTTCGAACAAGGCCTGGGGTTAAGCTCCCAGACGGCCCGGATTTTAAGCGGTGGCACACTGACCTGGAAGTTTTTGAGCTGCTTCGTGTCGTTCTTTGCAATTGACCGCTTTGGCAGGCGAGCCGTGCTCATGGTCAGCGGTACAGGAATGGCGTCGTGCATGCTTGGCCTGGCCGTCGCGACTAGCTTTCCCAAGAGCGTCTTCGGTGCACAGGTGGCGAGCGTGTTGTTCGTTTTCCTGTTCAACTTCTTCATTCCAATTGGTTTCTTGGGCGCCAATTTTCTGTACTGCACTGAGATCGCACCGCTAGGGCTAAGAGTAGCCATGGCGAGTATATCCACCGCTAATCATTGGTTGTGGTAAGTGCCATCCAGCTCATTTCGCGCATGAAAGGGCGGCTGCAGGAAGTCTGACATATTCATAGGAACTTCGTCGTCACTATGATCACACCTGTAGCTATCAGCACGATCGGGTATCAGTACTACATCGTATTCACCATCGTTGGGTTCTGTATCCCGGTGTCTGTGTATTTCCTTTACCCAGAGGTGAGCACCCGCTATTAGAACTTGCCATTGGTACTTGTATCGCTTCAAGGGCTAACCAGAATTCTGTATCAAAAGACCATGGGGCTGCGGCTCGAGGACATCGATCTCATCTTCCGTGAAAGCCCCTCGGTGATGAAGACCGTGGCCTATGCCCGCAATCGAGTCTCGTGCACGGATGAGGAGGTCCTGGAGAAAGACAAACACGAACACAAGGAGGTTGCCTGAATTCCAATTTTTAGCATCTACTGTTGTTTAACATAGTCGAGGATTTTCAACACAAAACATCGCCCGCGAATTGCTGGTTACGATACGCACACTCCGTGCAGATCAATTTCATACGCAAGGAGCAAAACTCCTGTGCTTCTTCAGTGCTTAGCTCGCATGCCATCTCTCATGTTCAGGGGCCGCCTTTTGCGTTTCGTTCGGCGAAAAAAACGCGCGTGCACATGAAAGCAAGCCCGGCTTTTGTGTGGAGCATCAAAATTTTGCAGGGGCGTGGTCAAATCACAGGCAAACTGCCGCATGTGCTGCGCCGCAATGTCGCAGAAGGCTGATGCATGTTGGCGGGCGGGGAAATTGGATGTAACTCTCTCAGCGACAAGATTCACCTCACCATCGCCATACCCTCCCCCTAAAGCGAACAAACGTTGAATGCATCTAAATCATTTGTTATCGAAGCTACCCCTGTCTTGCAAGTATCAGTATGGAAAGTGCTGTTGATCCAGAACAAGTGGCGCCAGGCGAGTGGGCGAGACATATGCCAACTATCAGGCGGCTGTACTTGGATGAAGACAGAACTCTTAAGGAAGTCATGGCAATCATGCAATCGGAGCACGCCTTTTTTGCATCGTACAGTCAGCCACCCCAGTAATATCGTGACTACAGGCTGAACATACTTAGAATTAAGATGTATAAGAGACGTTTGAGGGAATACAATTGTCGGAAGAATATTCGCTCGACAAGATCGGACATCCAGACATATCAGAACCTTTCCTCATCCAGGCAGCGGCAGCGGCCGACTAGTGTCATGCTCTCCAATGGTCAGGTCGTTGCTACCGACCTACTCGCTATCCATTTACAGCGCAAGATGAATCGAAATCGAACCCCGCCCACGATCAAACCGCCAGATAAATACTATTTCGCAGAATCAGTTTACGTTAATATCAGGTCATATCTGGTTGGTAGTCCCTTATACTCTAATGTTATTCCCTTGAGAGTGACTGACCTTTGTAAATTTTAAAGCTTGGCCGCTACCACGCCTGTGTTACTATTGAAGAAGCTTTCGCCAACACCCAAGAGACAGCTCCATACACTCAGAAGTGGAGCAGCTTTATTCAGACGCTCAGCGACGCGCTTGACAGGTCCGAAAGCATGCATCTAAGCGAGGCTCTTGTGGTGATGCAACAAGCACCTCAGGAGTTCAGCATAGTCCTTGAACGGCAGCCACCCAACATAATCGGTAGTATTTTCATGTTCTTAGTCGTGGTTGCTCCACGCCGAGCCGGAGTTTCTGACAAGGAGTCGCAAATGTTTCTCAGGGTGGTAAAGAGCCTCCTGAATTTTGGGGCCACAGCTTTGCCTGCAAGACATCCGTTGCATCAAATACTACGGAGTCTTGCCAAATGGGAGACCGAGGATATACAGAATTTTGCTGAAAATAATGCGACGACATGCGATCAGATGTGGGAATGGGTCCCACCAGGCTCCGCAGGCCGTATGGCAATCTTTAGCGACTGCGTACACCTCAGCATCGCGAATCAAGGGTCGAAAACTGACCAGTCGAACAACTTTACACCATCCATATCTCAGCAAAGGACTCCGATTGGGCTCAAGGAGTGCTACGAATGGCTAACGCAATCCTCTAATACCGGCACAGCGAAGAAATGTTCCAGTGATCTTTGATAGCATTCACGATGAATCGGAAGATATCCCGTGGAGAATTTCCTCCCAGTCTTTATCAAAGCGGCCGGTCATCACTTAACGGAGGCTTGTTTCAAAAGCAAGTACTGAGCATGTTGCGACTGCCTTAGAGTACTCAATGGCGAGAGTGACCAAAAGAGAAAATTAAATTCATGTAGATAGGCTACAAAATTTATCCACTTCTTAACACCTCACAGTAAGTTTGGTGCTCTGTATGCCACGGGTACTGTCAATGGAAAGCAAAGTACGAAACACCAAAACTCTCTTCGAAGACTCTATCTTTCAATTCGATCTGGTTGACTCGATTTCAAGGGCCCCAGAGTCGGGACCCATCAATGTCCACGAGGCCTTGCTCACATTCCCTGTTGCTCTGGTGCTCCTGTCACTTATTTTAGCTTACTCGGTAGATGTATACAGATGAGTACATACTCACGCGAAGTAATATCTTATCAATGTATGCAGCACCACAGCCACAACGGAATCTACGGAAATGTGTCGCCTTGTGCTGCTTCAGCCAGCTGCTGGACGTGAAAGCTTCGTGACACTCATCACATTTGTGGTAGTTGACTGCTTCCGAGGCACTTCCACCTGACGGTCTGTCAAGAACAGCTATGGATGCTTGCTGCTTTTCTGGCGGGGAATGTGCATGCTTTCCTCGGTGGAATGGAAAGTTTGTGTCAGCTGTTGGTGGATGCCACTCGTTTGCCGTATGTTGCAGGAAGTATTGACTCTCATTGGGCTGAGGGGAGGCATGGTTTGTTGTAAGGAGTCCTGGACCCGTCATATTTCCAAGACTTGTGCGCTTCGCGAGCCCTGCCGCGTGAGCAGGTGTGGGGTGAGGCATTGCAAGTACACCAAAATTTCCCTGATCCGCTCTTTGAGAGCCCCAAATGCTGATGTTTGGTAGGCCATACCGATCTATAAGCACTGGGGTTGCTGGCGCCGACGTTCTCGTTGCTGTTGAATTTGTCTGAGAGCTTCGCCTCTGTGGTGAGACGGGCCCGAGTGGTTGAGGTAGAATGAAAGGAAACGGTTTCCCGCGTGGTCGTAATGGCAGTGGAGTTCTTGAATCTGTCATTTTGCCGCTTGTGATGTTCTCAGGAGCGGAGGACGTGTTTGGTACACAACAGCGTGTTGTTGCCTGTAGATCGATTGGTCCGGGTGGCAGAGTTGGCTCTGATGCTTCGCTTCTGCATTCACCACCAGCTTCGTCGGTCAAGTGAGGTTCGGAAGCTGGAGACGGGCGCATTCTCGTTAGGCAAAGATTGTCCACATATATCTCGATGTGTTTACTCGGAGGGAAAAGGGTGGGTCAATATCAAATGGGATGGAATAGTAACTGATTCGCATACTTTCTCGGTCTGATAGCATGGGTGTGGCACTCGCAAGCGGAAAAGTTGAGCAAATGCTGCCACGTCCCTCATTCTGAGGCTAACTATTATAGGCTGCCCAGGTCAGCTTTATGCATCTAAATCTGTGGCAAATGGCTCACCGGTAAAGTTCAATGATGCAAGCAGGTGGTCCCGAGGATTTGGAATTGTGGGACCTTTGCTCTTGGGTAGGGGTGGCTTCGCCGCATTCATGCAGCTATCTCAACTCACATGAACACGATGGAGGGCCGGGTATGCCAGTCTTTACATCCGGAGACTGTCTCTGCAGCTTTCTTCGGGTGACAAGTCATCCCCTCTTTATTGCGCGCGCACATGTATAACACGCTTGCAGTTTGGCCAGTGCAGAGTGTTGGTCTCCGCCGACAAAGTGATTGGATGCAATCTCCTCTAGTGGACAGGCATACTAATCTTATTATAATAACGTCTTTCCCTATCCATAGCTGCTTGCTTATCTCATTTCTTTCATTGTAAAGCTCAATCCTAGCACACATGCTCAGTAACGCACTGCCTTCTTGAGCTAGCAATCAACACCATGAGCTCCACATATTCGCCCTTTCCCATCCTCACACTCTGCTAACAATTGGAGCCGGCAGAGAAGGCCGGAAACCCGCCTGATCTCCAATTTAGACCGCAGCCAGAGCGTAGTGGTCTTCTTCAAAGGAGTGTCAGGAATGATTCAATACTTTGCAATTGAAGTTCAGCTTATCGATGTTGCTGAATTAATGTTAGCAAGTTGGTTGGCAACTGACCTTAATATAACATCACCCACTTCGATCCTTGTGAGAACTAATCACATCACTAGGCAACATATTTTGCATACTGGATAAAGTCTAACCAAGCAAATCTGCCACAATAACCATACGTGGAATGATTATACTTGGCATGTTAATCACTGCGTACTACCAGATTTCCAGAGCCTTCCCAGATACCTAGGTACTGATATTAACATCGCGATAATTCAACTCCGTAGACCCTCAGAATCGTAGTGTTCCACAGGCTTTTGTAGAAAACAAGTGCACCATCTTAAAATTTGTGAATCAGTAGCACAATTTCAAGTTGTTCATCCATGTTGGCTTGCATCTCTGCAATATGCGGCTTTTGAGGTTGTCTACATAATGCCCACAGTTTATGAGCCTCCGACCGATCATAGAACATGTTTTCGATGAAATTAGGAAGTCTAGAATCCCTATTATGGTTATTTTGGATGCCCACAAGCAACAAGACTGAGAACCATTGTGTCGACGAACTTAGTCCATACAACAGACTAGCCTGAGCAGTATTCAAACAACATCCCTTCTGTTGTTTGAAAACTGAAAGAAAGTATATCATTGTACACTCAGCTTCAATAGGGATACGAATGCTTTCAAGACCCTCATATTGACTCATAAATGCGCAAGCCTGTATTCTTGATGTCGATTGTGGGACAATACTCAATAATAATCTTAGATTTGCCTCATTGTCCATTTATTTCAATGGCCGGGGTTGTATAGAGAAGTGCTAAACAGTGATTGGCTCTGGGATAGGGATTCATAACCGTCCTGTTTCTGTCTTGCAAATCATCTAATGTGCATTGCGATCAGCTTTCCAGGATGATACTGTACAGAACCTTCCGGAACCCTGACAGATATCAATGACCGTCCTACTGTGCTCCTGAAAATTCATCTCATGTGAAATACACTTAATTCCAGAGAACCTCCCATCCCTGACAGGAAATCAATGATTGTCGCCTTCCGTCCTTCCCTCCCGAGTTTCCGTCCGATATGCCGTGGGCTCCCTTGCACAGAACATCATTGTACATCTCGTTTGCTAGCTGGTGCGTACCAAAGCAGAATGCAGCTCAAGGCCTTTGGGACACTGGTTCGTCTCATATGTGTGAATGAGTGCAGCATTCACGGCGGCGTCGTTTGGGTATTTAAACCCCCTCAAGAATTCTTGCCTCTCCATTTCTCAAATCTTCCCCAGATCCGGAAGGCCTTATTGCATCTTCAGAGACGAGCACAACAGCTTTCCAACGACCTCGAACATAACTCAGCTACGGCAACTCATCTTACCACACTTCCTTACAAACTCGGCTTATCTCATCACCAATCCACGATGGCTCCGACCCTCACTACTGATGACGCCAACGTCCTCAACCGCCAGGCAATGCGCGGTGATACCAATGAGCTGGCCAAAGCCGTCGACCGCCTAGCGGCTCGTGAGGCAGCCCAGGGAGTAGGCAAGGCGGAGATTCTACTCAGGACTAAAGACGATGCTGGCAACAATGTTGTCCACGCTGCCTGTACTATGGGCAACGCTAGTGAGCTACACCTCCCGAAAGTCTTGCCTTAGGAAGCACAGTACTAATGCATCTTCTCAGACATCATCGCGTTTGTTTGCGGCCACGAGGCCTTCAACTTCCAGCCCGGCATGCTCAAGTCCATCCTGAACGCGAAGAACAACAACTCGGAGACCCCCATCCACGTGGCCATCAAGCACAACCAGCCCGCATGTGTCGACCCGCTGCTCCAGAACGGAGCAGAGCTGAACGCAGAGGGCCCATTCGGTTTTCGCGTTGCCCACATCGCCGCGGACCGCGGCCATCTTGATCTACTTCGCATGGTCCTCCAGAGAGGCGCAAACCCCAATGCTGTTTCGAGGTCTGGAGACACGCCCGCCCATGTCGCCGCCCGCAAGGGCTATCTGGGTTGCTTAAAGGTTCTCTTCTATGAGTTCCAGGCCGATCTACGCGCATATAACAGTAAGAAGCACCCGCACACTGTTCCCATTTTCTTGGAATATAAATCTACCAGATCCACACACTGTCTCAAGGCCCTGGGGTGGTGGCAACTTGCAAAACAGACCATGATATCCTTTCCCCCCTTTCCACACGATACCTTTTCTTTGTAGCTTTATCACTAACGCCGAGTACTGCAGTGGCCAATATGAGACCAGCGAACATCGCCGAGAACAACAGCTACGAGGAGATCATGGTGTGGATGAGGGAGGCAGGCCTCTTCTGAGCAAAGTTGGGAGATCCGGGGCAGAACTTTTTCGTCGTTGCGGTTGGGAAAGGGGATTTGACTTTTCATGATGAGAAGAGGGCCAAGGAACTTTTGGCAATTAATTGAATGAGACCAACCGCATTTGAGTCAGATCTGGAGGTTTGTGTACTAACTGTGCACAACAGCGTGAAGTGCAAACCAAGTGAAGACGCAAACGGGTGTAAGGCAGCCGTGATGATGACCTGAATTAGGCAAACAGAATTCGGGTGAAGAACTTTCGCTCGTTAGCTGTATCTACTGCCAGCGTATGGGCCTTTGGGGCTGGGGGATATAGGATGAGAGTCGAGCTTGCGGGACGACGCGAAAGGCAATTTCCATCCGATCTTCAATGTTGGCAGCCGCTTGAATCTGACAAGAATTTTCGAGATTATGGTTTGTGAGGTAAACCTTACTTGCTATTTTATGCCCCTCTTCTACATGCTCTCCTGCTAGTCTTCGGGGTTGCGATCTTGTAAAAGTTTCTGTTATGCTACTCGGGAATTACCCACCTACTTAGGCAGTCAGTATCTATTCACTGGATGTTTGCAGAATCCTCAATGCTCTAGATAACAGAAATTGATCCGAATTCCCTGCTCTTCGCGCCATCTCATTGCTCAGACAGCCCAGTGTCGTGCGCCTAACTGCCCAAAATTTGTCTTCGCCTAAGCCTCTCGCCGCCAAACACGTCTTAGCCTAGATAACTAGATTGGAGATATCTTGTATGATGAATCTTCTTTGCCAAAAGCTGTTTCCTCCGAGGCCAACTTTTTTTTCCTGGATATTTCATGTTCTCCCTACTCTTGTGACTCTCTCAAACAATTATACACAATCGTTGGCAAACTCGACGTAACGATCCGCAATGCTCAAGTCTGTATTGGGAAGAAAAATCATGAAATGTGGATTCCTCAAAGCGCTGGCTAGCTCGTATCTCCTAGATTCAACAATTCTGCTCCACTATCCCACAATCTTTGTCACGCTGCGGCTTGGGGCCGATGGCTGGGAAATATCTCCCTTGGCCGCGACGACTACCTGGCTCTTGATGCTCTAGTCGGCTCCTATGATCTGAACAGTTTTGTGTCGAGGCGAGGCCATATTGACGCTGTCATGAAGAAAAAGAATGTCACAGACCTCCAAAAAATTCTTGCGGTAGTGTCTTCGCTTCGGTTGAGTCCGAGTGAGTTCGCAGAATTAAAAGCGATACTCGAACATTGCATGCATGCTTTGTGCACGTTACATTTCAACTTGTCGCATGCGGCCTAATTTACCGCACTTGCTTGGTATTGGCCTTATTCTTTTGAATACATCGTGCAGAGCGAGCTGCGTCCTCGCTGATTTTGCTAAGCTTGGCGTGTTGTGATACAGCGGGTGGCTGTAGCCCAGGCCGAATCTATTCCCAAGGCACGGGACGCCTATTTGGAAGTGGGTGATATCTATTGAACTTGCTTTCATTCGGGTATCCTGTACGCTTGGCCTTGGTATAGTCTTCAGACATGCCCCACAGCGAGAGAGCTGGGATTGCGGGCAACTTCCTATTCGGAGGGTGCATTGTTTTCATCAATGCTGGGCAGAGCAACATGAAGTCATGAGCTGCTACGACATGGAAGTTGGTGTTGCCATTTATGGCCCATATTTGTACCAGTTCACCATTATTCCCGGCTGGAAAATCCAAAAATGAGAAAACGGGAAAAGGACAAGGGTTGGGGGGGGGGGGGTTGGCGGCGAAATCTGAATTCTTTTCCACTGAACAACCACGGAAAGAAGTTCAATTACCCAAATTCATAGACTGGAGGATTCTTTTACTCATGGGTACACCATTGCGCAAGAAACAGTGGTGAACGATGAAGCCAGGGCCCGTAGAGCATTCGCAATTCATCAGAGTCACCCACGATGTTCTGGGAAGACGAACATGTATATTCTAAGTTTGCTTGGTTCATACGCAAATAATAAGTTGATACTATGAGAAGCGGAAAAATGTGTCTTCTGTCTGTTGAAGAGATGAACACTGAATTGTGGGCAAGCCAATTGCACCAACCCTAACCCCCCTTTTCCTTCCTTCCAAGAGGAGAATGAATGGTGCTGCACTGCCAAAAATACAATGTCGGGTCTCAGTACTGCAGCGGTCAGCAGAGCCTTATGCGCCCAGTACGCAGACATCAGGGGCTTGCGTGTCTCTCAAAGTCGAGAGATGGTGCCAATTGCGGAATAGTGCGCAGGCAGCCATTGGGGCGCGCTCAATCCCACCACGCTTAGCCCCCAGGCAACACGAAGGAAGGATTCCCGCTAATTTCCCTGTGGAACAACGGCAGCCTTAATTCACAAAAATATTTCTTGCGAGCTGTGACTCCGTGACGCGTTTGAAAGTGTCACAACCATTTGCAGCCCCCAATATTATTCTTCATCCCTCTGCGTACAGTGTATCCGTGTCACTGCCACCCTAGCACAAGTCATTGCTATTGCCGGTCATATCTTCTAAACATACGACCTGCCGCAACAGACCCACTCCGAGAAATTTCACTCTCATCTTGACTCCAGCCAGGCCAACTCAGAAGAGACAAATCCCCAACATGTCCTATAACAGTCCCACAATCCAAAATGGCCGCTTGAGCCACCGACGCAACGCCTATTTCAACCCCCGGCTCTTCCGCGTCTCGGAACTGATTCAGCACCCAGTTCGGATCACTTACCGCGAATTCTGCTTTTTGGTCTGGCTCATCTATGCCTTGGTTCGAGGATTCATCTGCGCCAGGAACATCGTGATTTTGATCGGATATACGGATGTGAGGAATGTATGCTTCATGGGGCTTACCTTTTACCGCTGTAGCTGGACCGTGGCTTGGGCTGTATTTGACATTATCTGGGTATGGTTGTCAGAGGTTGTTCCCTGGGCCATTCTGTGTGCGGTTGTGGTGATTTTGGGCGAGGCATTAATGAAGTCGAGATGACTAGATGGAGGAGACACTTAAAAACAGGGTCATGAGAACGGTCAAAGCCAGAATTAGGATTCGCCCGACAGGGAGGTAGAATTGCGAGAGGAAGCCGTCTATTCATTGTGAAGGCCAAAGGAGGTGATGTAATTGCTTCCAAAATTGCAGTAATCTATGAGAACCACTGTACTTCAGCTAATGAGAACATGCGAAGCAGTTGTGCTGAGAAACAGTGCATTATAACCCTCGAAACGCAGACCTAATTTGGCAGCAATGTCTTTCGTCACAATGTTGAAACCTCATACCCATCCTCACGAAATATGCATTGTATCAGTCACCACCGGAACCCATCCATTCAGTAACGGTAGTCGTGACTAAGACAATATGTCCGTCATAGCCCATTGCGGCTCCCGTGGTAGTCGTGGTTCCACCCTGGTCAAGAAGCTGGCTTGGCCAATCCGCATGCCATTCCGCCCGTACACCTGGATCACCATCCATCGCCGCCAAATGGGCTGCTATATTGTCAATGATGTTGGCTGATGATGAGCTGGCGAGGGAAGGAGATGTAACACTAGAGCTGATGTCACTGGCGAACCGATGCATGTCGAAGGCCGGGAATCCTAAGCTCGGGGTCGTGCCAGGACCGACTACATAGGTACTCGGGGAGAACCATCCTTCGCCGAGGACATGCGTCACCGTAAGGGTAGGCACTTCGATATGGGCCATACCGTGCGCGGAAGCCATAGTCGTCGTCGAAGCAGTGGCGGTGAGAGCGTAAGTCGTTGTTGGCATTGGAATATGAACCATGCCTGTCTCCTCAATGCCAAATATGCCCAGTGTGGGAAGACCATGAAGCCACGAATTGAATGGGGCGAACAGAGACTTGAAGTCCGTTGCGATCTGTAACAGGAAATTGTCTGTTGGATTAGCCTTACGGCGTGGGAGTTCGACAATCGATGCCGTTGCAGATGCGGCGAGATTGATAGCCAGAGAAGGTGGCGGAGCGGTGATAAATGAGCCGAGGGTCTTGGTCCCCAGTGGCCCACTGTCCTCAATGACGAGATCATCAGAGTCGAAACCGTGCATGACGTTGCACGCCGCCGCTCCAACATCACCCACTGCTTCTTTAACTGCATTTTCAACCTGTCTCATGAACGCGAAACCAAGGCCAAGAGCGGGATCTGCGCCAGGGAACAGTTCAGTAAGAGAGTCGCCAGCCAGTGCCAGGAACGGACTCAGCGTTGCCAGAACCTCAGTGGTGTTCTGAGGAGCGGTGGATGGCGAGTTGATGTCACTCAGCCACGTACTGAGCCTGGCTGCACAAGCCGACGCGCCACCTTCGGGTGGAGGATACAGACAGGACCAAGTAATGTTGTCCACAGTCCTGCCCATAGCGTTCGACACCACAGTACATAGAGAGTTGCCGAAGCTTAGGCTAGGGCTGAAATCAGGCGTGTTCAAATAATTGTCGACAGATATATCGACGGTGAACGTGCTTGAGTTCAAGGCATCTTGTCTCTTTTCGACCATCACAGCTGACGCGTGCTTGGCACCAGCTCCACCGATGGCACCGACTTGGCTGTAGAAATTGTCGATCACTACCTCCGAGAGTAAGCTGCAGTTTCCCTTGTATAATGACATTCCAGATCCCTCAAACACGAGCGCGTTGTCTCCTGGTATTTGTAAACCAAGCTGACCACTGATAGGATTGTCTGGAGATAAGTCCAGAATGTATGATTCTCCACTGGCAAATGCTCCTATGTATCGAGGATTGGTGGCATTTTCTCCGAACGAAAGAATCATGGGATTGGTCAAGTCGACTGTGTCTTGAGGAGTGACCGCTACAGCGACCAAATCCATTGAAGCCGAGGGTGTCGGGAGTGCATAGCACGACGTTGGCGAGCGCGGAACAAGAACTGTGACACCAGTCAACGACAGACCGTTCAAAGCAACGGTCGAGTAGGTCGTCAAGATCCGCGAAGATGTTCCCAGTGTGAGGCTGGAAGGTAGAATTGTTGAGATGACAGCGGGTGAAGAAGTGCCAAAACTGATCAATGCCGCAGACGATGCAAGGGACATTTCGGCGCTGTCGAGGCTAAGATTCGCAGGCAATGCTTCCGGGATTCCTGAAGTGGTCAAGGCAGAAGAAGCAGCAGTCGGGGCGATCATTGACGAGATCACCTCGATACTTGTGTCGGTGCCGGGAACCCCAGAACCAATGACAGACGCTCCAGTCAAGGCTTTTGAAATGCTTGAGGACAGCAGTGGTCCGAGGCCACCGGATAGAGAAATTGCAGAAGCAACCGTGGGTACTGCGGACGTCGACACTGGTGGATTCGATAGGAGACTTGACAACGGCCCCGACCATGGCGAGGATACGATGGAGAGAGAAATTGGGGCTGGAGCTGCAGACGACGGAGCACCAGGAGATGGGAAAGTGCCCGTCAGAGTTGAAGTCCAAAGCGAAGGCACAACAATCACAGGCGTCGAACCTCCGAGAATTGAGACGACCGCGGGAGTAGAAGCCGTGCCAGGGGTGCCGGTGGGGATTGTAAGTGGCTTTGTTTGATTAGCCGTGAGGTCTTGAAGGGCCTCAATGCTACCTACCGGAATGTCAAATGACAACAGGGAGGATTGCGACGAGGACTCAGAGCACTCGCATGCTGTAAATACTGTCTGGGTGACATAGACGGTTTGAGCATCAGCAAGCCAAGCGAGAAACAAGCCTGCGAGGATCACTGAGAGAGGCAGGCTACTGAATAGCGCCATGGTGAGCATCAAGGGCAACAAGACCATCTTGATGGACCGACGATCCACGTCTGCGATACAAAATGTCCTCAGTAGAAGGCAAAACAGAGGCAGCAACAGCAAAAGTGAGAGAGCAATGGCAAAACCAGTCGACGAGATTGTATGAAGAGAGTTGATTCACGTGGCCAGCAAATACGATCAGAATGCAGTTCAAGCAGCTTTGAAGGGGACTAAGCCATGGGCCTTCCTGAGTTCGTCCAGACACACGAAAGGAAGCAGCGCTTTCGTTTCCTTGCCACAGGAAGGAGCGAGCACATCATTCTCAACATGACACTGACTTTGCAGTGTTCGCGATTGCCAATGAAGCGAAAGGCCAGACAGAGTTTCCTCAGAACCTACAAGGGATTTAGGTAAGCACATGTAGCCGCGAGTGAAGTCCCTTTTGAGGAAGTCCAAAGTGGGAGTCATCGATGAGATTGACTAGTCAGGCACGGGTGGCCCTGAGCAACAGATAAGGTGCACACTGGGCTATGCACTTGCACGTGCACTTGCACTACACTCTATATTTGAAAAAGGAATAACAGTCAATGCTTTGAGTGTTTCGCGAGGTTAGGGAGAGACCGTCCAGAATCGTAATTGGATGGGCGGTTGTGGAGTGTAGATAGAGGCAAGCTCACTCCCGTCACTTGCCAACAGCCCCGGCCTTCAATTCAGGCTTTTCTTCAGCCAACTTACCCATGCCGCTGTCAAGTTAAGAGAGCTTGCAGGTGGGCAAGTAATACAGAATGCACTGTAAACCAATCAGCAGCGGGGTGTAGTGGGGCACCTCTTATCTGCACGTGCTGATTGCACTAACAATTTTCTCGAACCCTACCGGCAACGCACCCCAAATTTCTGCTGCCATTGAAACTTCCAGCGACCGGCCGCCCACCCCACACCTATTCGACAACGACATCGCGACATCGTACCGAACTTCGGCCATTTTCTCCCACCGACAAGTCGATACCCCTTCAATAACTCAAAATGGCCAAGATCTCGTGAGTGCGGCCCCAATTCCACTGGCGGAGGACCGACTCTGGCGTCAATCCAAGCTGTTACGGACCGAGCGAAGTGTGGTCAATCGGGCACGACGAAAAATCGACGACAAACTGGGAACGATAAAAAAAAATTACACCACATGAGACAGCTGCGCTTCGAACCCCGATTTCGATACCGTCACACGACCGCGAACAGCTTGGATAGGCGACTGGAAGAGATGGACAGCAATAGACAACCAGGGACAGGGCGTTCGTGAAAAAGTTTTACTGACGGAGGTCTTCTCACAGCCGTGGTGCCCCCGGTGGCAAGCTCAAGATGACCCTGGGTCTTCCAGTGTATGTTTTCCCGGTCCTGCAGAAATCGACTCGCGATACAACGAAATCAACATGATTTACGGACTAGCTGGAGATAAAGATGGGGAACTGACGGGACTGTAGCGGTGCCATCATGAACTGTGCAGACAACTCCGGCGCACGAAACCTGTACATCATCTCCGTCAAGGGTATCGGTGCCCGCCTGAACAGGCTGCCCGCCGGTGGTGTCGGTGACATGGTGTACGTATCTCCAAAACTGATGCACAACAAAGAGGTTCTACAGGACCGCCAAGACACTCGACGACACACAGCCCTACCCGACGTTCCCAAAGCCACACGCCCGAACTCATGACCTTAATCCGACGCGCCGCGCACTTTGCTGACATCACACCCTAATAGCATGGCCACTGTCAAGAAGGGAAAGCCCGAGCTCCGAAAGAAGGTCCACCCCGCCGTCATCGTCCGTCAATCCAAGCCCTGGAAGCGTACCGACGGTGTCTTCCTGTACTTCGAGGACAACGCTGGTGTCGTAAGTACACCCCGAGGATCAAACCCAAGCAGGAATCCGCAAACAAATGGAGCCGCGGGGACAACGCAATGATTACTAACAAGAAATTCATCAGATCGTCAACCCCAAGGGTGAGATGAAGGGATCTGCCATCACTGGCCCCGTCGGAAAGGAGGCTGCTGAGCTCTGGCCCGTGAGTTTACCCTGCAGATTGCCAACGCCACAAGTTCATACTGACCGCGCCCCACACAGCGTATTGCCTCCAACTCCGGTGTTGTGATGTAAATTGGGACGTTGTCGATGGTGGGAAGATTTCCGTGCGAGGATCAGCGACGAAGGAAACGGGTCATACAAAAAGAACGATCCAATACGAATCCGAGACCATGTTGGCTCGGCAATGAACGGGCTTTTACGGCGTGACTGGCAAAAGGAAAGAAGTCAGGCTTTGCATTATTTTTCGGCTGGCGTGTAACGGAGGTTCATACCAATGGCATGAAATTCACCGACCAAGGGGATAAGGTCGGCTCAGCTGGTGCCCGTTCAGTCCTCTCGATGCTGCGAGGTGGGCCGATGCAGGGTAAACGGAAAACCCGCCCCCTGCAAGATGTCCCGATAGCACAAGATTCCAGCGTCAATGACCAAACACGCTTCACGATGTGTAGACGACCCTGTGTGGTGGCAAAGAAGCTGTCTCCGTAGCAAGCTGCAACAACCGCTGGAACCTCACGTGAGCCCACGCCACACTGTCTGCAGGCGTCTGTAATTGGAGCTCGCGCACCCAGATCCTGACACGTGCCTGTCTGCACGTCTGCGAGATTGGTTATTTGAGAGAATCTACGTATGAAGCCTCACACTTGCCCGAAGGCGGAACCAATCATCCCAATGCTTCCTTCACCGGCGCCGTCCACACTTTGGCGCTTTGATGATGCCAAGACAAGGCTGCAGCCTCGCCGACTTAAATCCCCTGCCCTGCTTGCTTCCCTGACAGCCCATGCGGCTGGTCGGATTATTAGGTAACTCAACACATCAGGCGCTGCAGTGAGAGGCATAGCATCCGTGTCAAGGGATTTCGTGCCATCTACTCCTTTATGTCTCAAGCAGCGGTGGAGCTCTGTACAGCCAAAGGTGCAGCGCGACGGCGCTTCGAGGACAAAACTGAGGCCAAACTCGTGGAAGTTGGGCGTGGCAGGTCGAATGTGATAATTCAGCCAGAGTATATCATTAAGACAATTGACACGATCCAATATTTGCAGTCCCAAATGTTTAATCTGAGAGCCCTGGTCCTAAGTCAATTTATTTGATAAATATGTTGAACCAGACCTGACAGCGAATTGCAGATCGCTTGGCCAGATAATGCAGATTGCTGACCTGCGACACTGCTTTTCAGCATTTTAGCAGGACGGCCAGAGTATCAAGAAATGTCTGGTGACACAATGACTTCCTATGACTTGTTACTGTCCTCTCCATGTAATTGTGGCTGAGCCCATGCTGGATTGCGGCACAGCATTTGCAAACTAGCCAAGCTATCTAGGAATCTCATCTCGCATACGATTTCATCGCGTGCAGATGCTCTGGGAGTCTAAAAATGGTGGTGAATTAGAGCTCACCAAGGGTGAAGAGGCATGTCCAGAGTTGGCGAGCATCAGATTGACTCGAAAATCGAAACATATCCATTCCGTGGAGCATCTCATTCGCCAGGGAAGAATCAATTACGAGTCTTTGACAGGGTTGTCTGAAGCGAATTCATTGCCTTGCGACGACGCTGCCGTCAAATTGACATGTAGCGTAAAACAAGCGGAATGATTCGTATCCAATGGGATTCGTTGAGTAGATAAATGGGCGAACGGCGGCTACTGTAGACTCAAGGTAATTTTAGACAAGTACGGCACCGCCCAAAATAATCTTAAACTAGCAAGATAAGTCAACGAGAGTTCAGAGAGAGCCATCGTGAATCCGTGCTAAAATTTTGAGGGCCCGAGTAATATCGTGTGCACAGACAAATGAGCTCTTTGTTTTTAGACGTCTTTCGGCTCACATTGCATGAGCATATCTTCTCCTAATTCTGTACAGCCTGGGAAGTCAATCGGGACACAGAAAACAGCAATCGTATTCTGATAGTGCGGTTTTCTGAATGCCTCGATACGCGTGAGCTGTTTGAACCGAGGCAGAAATTACAAGGCTGATCATTGTCAAGTTCTCACTCATCAATGAAGACCGAGGACTTCAACTTTTCAACGTTTCTCAAACGTGGCGCGCAACGGTCGAGATCTAAGCCTCGACAAACGTCGTTACAGGGGCGGGTAAGCAAGTACACTTTTGTAGACGCAATTGAAATTAGCATTGTCAGTGTTTGTTAAATCATCAGGACCTATTTCCTCCTGATGCCAATGCAATGCCATGTTACCACCGTCGCTATGCTGAGCCAGTGCGCTGTGTGTGTCCCCCCTCGAGTGTATGTATGTATAGAAGAAAGAGGGCGCGGAACGAATATCAATCAGCCTCTCCCTTCAGAAGTTTTCTTTTTTGGCCCAACCTTCTCCCGTTCATGCAGCAGATGATGCGATTCCTGTTACAAGTAGAATACATAGAAAAGAAATTATACAATCCACCATCACCTCATCTGGTTGGACCCGTTACCTCGCTCAGTTCTGTGGTCCCCAGCCGGGGGCAGGTCCTGCTCCGCCGTGTCTGTCACCGTTAAGCTCCTCTCTGCCACTACCGTTGGCGTACGGCCGTGGGTGAGCCTCCCAGATACCCCCGATGAGAGGCATGCGCGCGGGCGGTGGCCCATCTTGCATGTACCCGAGGACCTGCCGGTCATCGTGCTGCATGGGCACCTGCCGCGGTGGCGATGGAGCGCGTATGCCGCCAGGGATGGCAGGCGGACCGTTGTACTCGCCGCTCATGAGCATGCCGCCAAAGTCGCGATGGCGCTCTTGGGGTGGCAGGCTTTGGCCCATGTCAACTGGACTCGGCTGCGCACTACCCCCTGTTGCCGGAGGCGGGAGGTTCGGGGCTGAGGAGGTCACCGGGGTCCGGGACTGCGATGGTGGCATCTCAGGCTGGGGGGTCGGTGTGGATGTCTTGGTCGGGTTCTTCTCATCGCTCTGTTTCTGCTTCTTACGCGCGAGCGTTTCTTTGCGTTTGTTTACTGCTTGGCGCATTGAGCCATTCGCCCATCGAGCTGTGCAGGAGAGTTTAGTATGCAGTCAACGGCACTTGAGAAATTAAGAATGTTGGAAAAGACTTACCTTTCATGCTTGCGCTCATCTTCTCGCTCTTTGTCATGCTCGCATAATCCTTTTCACTCAAATCCTCTCCTTCCGCAGAAGAAGGCGCGGGAGTAGCACGACCTGATCCCGGAGGCTTGGAGTTGCCCCGGCTGTTCGTCGAGGGGAGAGATCCCGGACCACCTGGCAGGCTGCCCATCGGCGGGAATGGAGGACCATTCGGCATCATGGGCGGCATGGACATGGTGGCATGGGGAGAAGAGTTTACCGGGAACGAGAATTGTCCCGGGCCGGCTCCGGGCATGGAGTGAGGCTGGAGGTGGGCACCACCGTACAGATGTGGCTCATAACCAGTCTGTCCGTGGAAGCTGGGAGGCGGCTGGAGCGGCGCGAGCGGAGCTTGGTGACCGGAGTGAGGATAAGACTGGTGGGGCGGCGGGGGTCCGTTAGGCTGGGGCGTCGCATTCTGGCGGTTTCTGTTAATAATCTTGATCCTTGGCTGTTTCTTCCTGGGAGACTGGGGATGTTCGATATGGGAAGGATGTTCGACGGGGGCGTTGGTGTGAGGGGCGGAGAAGGGGTTCTGGGCACCAACCGGGTGAGGCGGAGGTGCTGGCGCTGGTCCAAGCCGCACTGGAGCAGGTGCGAGTAGCTGGCCAGGACCGCCTCCCGTCACGTTGATGAAGGGATTATTAGGCGGAGCGAGAACAGAAGCGGCTTGCTGAGGCATGTACCCATGGCCGGGCGGTCCATATGAACTGCCATCGAACTGAGACGTTGCAAAATTAGGAGGCACTGAGGTGGGCTCGGGTTCTTGATCCTTCTTGGCTCTACGACCTCTCTTTGGTCGGGTTTCCGCCAGCTTATCTTTAATCGGATCTGCCAGTTCGGAGTAATTCTTCCTTGGGCGGTTACGGAAGGAGTAGTTGCTTCCAACTGTGTGCATCGAGCTAGTTGACGACGAGGTAGATGGTCGAAAGTCTTCGGTTGGCGTGACGGTGTCGTCGTTCGTAGGAACGCTGCTGCCCGCACTGTAGAATGTGTTTGGAGGTATCTCAACCTGCGTTGCAGCAGCAGACTTTCGGTTGCGCTGCCTCTTTGGAGCTGGCAAAGACGGCTCGCCTCCTTGCGGGAACGTGGACTCAGCATAAGGCTGATGCTGATGGTTAGCTCCATCGAATGATGAAGCAGGGCCGTCCGTGGCGGCACCACGACGGCGCTTGCGGGTCTGGGGTGGCTCGTCTTCGACGCCATACAACTCGCGGTCTCTGGTTGCTTCGGCATTGGCGAAAGCCTCCTGCTCTGCCTTCTCGGCCGCTTCCTTCTCAGCAGCCGCCCTGGCCGCTGCCTCACGCGCAGCCTTGGCGCCAGGCTTTGGTCCCCTTCGCTTCTTCACTGGCTGCTCTGGTGGCGGCGCCTCGGGCACCTCAGGCTTTTGGGCTGGGGTGCTGTCGTCTGCAGCAGCTTGAGCTTCATAGTCGCTATCGAAGTTCTCGGCATTCTTTCTGCGGCGGCGAGTCTGCTTCGGCTTCACAGCCTCCATGGGAGTAGGGGCTCTACTAGCCTCCTTACTGTCATCGGAAAGGATGCGGGGTTTTCGAGTTCGCTTGCCTGTGACAACACCCACGGGGTCGTCTACCGCAGCCTCTGCAGCCCGCTGGCTAAGCTTAGGCCTGTTGCGGAGTCGGTTGTTCTGAAGACCATCCCGCTGCCCAATGGGGTCTTGCCTTCCGATCATGCTTGGGCGTGGGTCCCATTCGAAACCATATGCCTGTGCGGCAACCTGATCTTGATTCCTCTCAGCAACTTCGGGATTGCTTTCGGGGTGCTTAAGCTTGTTCTCCTCGACGAAGTTCGCGCGGATGCCCTTGACTTCGAAGTCCCTCTTCTCAACAGAGATAGCCCCGTTCGTCTTGGCCATGTCTCTGGCTTCTCGAGCCATCAGAGCAGCGTCGTGAGCGCGACGACGGACTGCGTTGTCTTCGTCTTCGGTGACCAGTTTTCGCTTCTTCCACTCTTCTTGCCAGGCACCCAAAGCGTTGGCAGATGCTTCAAGAGCGTTGAAGAGGTCTTCAGTGGACATGTTCTTGTAATCGTCAAGGACATTGATGAAGTCGGTGGGGGACCTAATGCGTGTAAACGCGTACTGCTTGCGTGCCTTGACTTTACGAATAGGCTCAATCACTGGCTCTGGTGATGCGTTTCTGCTAGCAGGCATCGACTCAGCAGCCGGCGTTGGCATATCCGACATAGGCGCAGGTGTAGGTGCATTGGAACCCGTGCCACCATCAAGCCGAGATTGATTTTGCTCTTGGCTGCCTGAGTCCCGTTCTGGAGCTAAAGATTCAACATCGTCCGCGGGTTCACCAGGATCCTCGGAATTCTGGAGGTTTGGGGTTTCCCCAGGGGTGGGAACACCATAGTCTTGGGCAACTTCAGGGTATACATCCTGAGCATCTGTATAAGGCGTGAGAAAGGAGAAATCCCGAGGAGTATGGGCTCGCATCGGTCGAGGCTGCGCAATAGTCTGGGCTGCAGCCGTGACACGGCGTTTGCGAGGTACTCGGGGCTCTCGAGGCTCTTGCTCAATACTCTGTCGAATCTTTGGAGGCCTTCCAGGTCTTCGCTTCTTAGGCGTTTCGGGGCTTTCAGGAGTAGGCACCGAGGATGCGACAGGGTTAATGTCAGACTTGGCCTTGTCAGCCTTCCTGCTTGTAGATGCTCTCCTTTCTGTCTGAGTGGGTAACTGGGAGGAGTCTTCTTCGGTTGCACTTGAGTTTCCGGCTAAGCGGCCCAAGCGCCTCTGAAGGGAGCTTATAGTCAGCAATTGCAACATAATCCAACTTACAACTAATTCACTGCGGACAAACTTACACGGGTGCGCGGAAGTGAATTCGGGGTGTCTTGGTCGTTCTGATCGTTCTGATCGTTCTGACTGTTATGCAAAGACTCGACCACAGGCTCCTTCTGCTGATCAGATTCCAAGACTTTCGTCGGTTCTTCGGACGGCTGCTCATCCACAACCGAGGAAATAGTATTTCTTAATTCTCTGGCGAGCGCCGAGGTTCCGACTGGCCCATCAGGGGGCATGTCCTGAGTGGCATCTGAATCAATTGATTCTTGAGAACTTGGTACTTTGAGGCTCTGAGAATGGTCTTGAAATGAACCTGCTTCCATTTCAGTCCCAAAGGCCGCAGGTTCTGGGTCCTGAGAGGTTTGAGCAGCAAATTGAGAATTATCAATCTCAGATACTGCGGAAAGGGCCGAAGTAAGTTGCTGGCCGAGATCTGGTGGGCAAGGAGCAGAATCCTGACTGTCTTGGTCCTCAACCTTCTCTTTCACATCTTCCTGATCAGGCTCATTTGTAACTGAAAAAGGAATAGCTTCTGAATGATTTGGCTCAGTAGCATCCAAAACTGATGAAGCGGGCTCTTCTTTTGCGACGAAGCTTGTTGCGGCCTCATCTTCTTGTTGAATCATCGTAGGTGACGCAACCTGGGTCCCAATGACAGTGGACTGCAGAGCATTTCTATTTTGAGATGGAGACTGCCCAGAAATGTTGCTTGCAGTTTCTGAGCGTTGACTACTCGAGGAGCCAGTAAACTGCATCGTCAGCGGCGCGCCAACCTCAATAGTGTCTTTGAGCTCCGTATCGGAAGGCAGCTGATCGGGTGATTCAGCCGGCCTTGCAACGGGCGCAGAGATTGATTTTCTTTGCTGGGTCCTGCGGCGTTGGGGCTTGGGCGACACAGTCCGCTGCTTTTCAGGCCTGCCCCGCTTTGAAATAGCAGCAGAAGAGGGCGGCTGTGGTCCCTCTTCGTCGTTGTGAGGGTCGGCCGTCGACCGTCGCTTGCGAGCACTACGTGCGCCAGAGACAGTGATCTCAGTCCTGTCGTCCTGGAGCTCCTTGGGCGGCTGGTCTTCCTCGTTGTCATCGTTCATTTGAGCATAGTCAATACGAACTCTTTTCCGAAGTGAGTGGCCACCCTTGACTTTGGCTTCGTCCTGGTGATCAGCCCCGTCGGTGGGATACTCGAGCGTCCGGGCTCGCTTGCGGCCGGGCGAGTGGCGGGGGTTCTCGGGTGTGGAGAAAGTAAATGAGTGATTAAGGCCTTGTCTGGGCACCTTATCCGAGCGAGAGGCCGCTCGGTGGTCGTCGAGACTCATGGCGTCAGTCGCCACAGATGGGAAGTCCACAGACGTGGGTGATGAGATGTAAGGGTGAGACGGGGTGTGGTGGTTGGCACCTCTCACGCGACCTCGGCTGGAGGAGGGCGTGCGGGCGTTGATAGAGGAGGGCGAGTCCCCGAAGTTGATGATGTTTGTGAGCGAGACAGGCGAGTGACCATAGCCGTGGTGGTTACCAGAGGAGGAAGAGGGCCGTCCTGCTCGAGATGAGCCCCGAGGCCTGCCAGGACCTCTCCTGGTACCGCGCTGTTGCTGAGACTGATGAGACTCCATTTCTGCTCTGCATGCAGCCAATCAGACGGCCCCGCGCAGGGCAAAGAAAGGACAATAGGGAGAAGAGCCGGCCGCTGCTATTCAAAGATCAGACTGGCAGCCAGACGTCAGCCCAGTTCGCTGCATTCCATCAACGGGTGGCCAGGAGATTGAGATAAGTGCAAGAGCAGTCGGGGGTTCAATGACGGAGAACAATGGGGGCGACGCAGTCCATGATGAGGTGTGGTGCAGACAGGTAGTAAGGGTATTTACGTGTCAGATGAAAATAGCAGTTGAGATGACATGAGCACCAGAGCAGGCTTGGCTTGGCTGGGCTGGCCCAGCTTTTGCCGCACACGCACTCGCACTCGCACTGCAGCTCAGCGCAGCACTGCACAGCAAATGCAGGCCAAAAAGCACCACGCACCGCGAGCCCCCTTTGGCCGGCAACTCGAAAAGGACGTCTTTGACATACCTCAATAATACCAGAAAATACAGAAAGGTCTCCGTGGTGTAAGTGCGAATGAGCTGCAGTAGAGTGCAGGGCGTCGTCAAGGGCAGAAGGTGCCAATATCACAATGCGAAACGTGAGGGTTGAGTTGAGTTGACGCTGCTGCTGGGCTCTGGGCTCCTGATCAAGACGGCTTCGGAATTTTTGGGAGGCTCTTCTTGTCGGTCATGGCCCTGCCAAACCTGCAATAAGCCCCTAAGGCGCTCGGGCCACCCTCTACTCTGGGCGTGAGCAGGTACAAGCTCACAACGTGCATTCCTACCCCTGAGAGAAAGTACCTCCGGCCTTCCGCTGGCTGTTTTGCAAAGCAAGGCCCGCTCCGCCAATCATCTTTCAAGAACTCATGCTAGCCTCGGGCTAGTCGGTCTGGGACTAGCTCCTTTTGGGTTGCTTCTTCCCACTCCATTGTCATGGTCCCCTGCTGCAGCTGTTGCAGCTGCTGGGAGAGCCTTGACGTAGCAGATCAATGCGGGCGGTTGCGTTTGACGGGAAGCTCAACCAACAACCATAAACAAGATCATACTATCACTACTACTACCACCACCAACGACATGCCAACATCGCCAGCTTGAGCACCCCTGGACTCACGGATTGTTGCTGCACCACACATTCTCTAGCACTTCTGAAGAATCCATTTGATCTCTGCTATAGCTGGTCTTCGTCTCTGTATCCACCCCCAATCGCATAGGACTCCGCAATGGCTAGCAAGCGCGGCACCAAGTCCTCCGCCGCCGACGAGATCGACGAGCTGTTCGAGGGCATCGGCGACGATGCAGCAGCCCCTAAGAAGCCTGCAGCCAAGGCTACCGCAGCCGGAAAGCAGAAGCCAGGCGACGACATCCTCGCCGAGCTCGAGAGCGAGCTAGGAGACAAGGTCCCGTCACGGCCTCACACTCCCCGCGTCAGGGAGACCACAAAGCCCGCCAAGCGTGTCGGGACCCCTACAACAGATGCTGGTCGTCCGTCAACCGAAGAACCCAAATCCGCTCTCCCTCGAAAGTCAGGAGAGAGCACTCGATCGTTCCACGCGAGCTTCACACCCAGCGCCACCTCCTCCGAGCTGCAAGACACCGAGAAGGCCAAGGGCACTGTCGAGCAGCAGCAGACAGCAGCAGCAGGCGGCGGCGGCGGCTGGTGGGGCGGGATCCTATCAACAGCTTCGGCTGCTATGAAGCAGGCTGAGGCGGCCGTCAAGGAGATCCAGCAGAATGAGGAGGCCAAGAAATGGGCAGACCAGGTGCGAGGCAATGTTGGTGCTCTTAGAGGGCTGGGTAAGTCGAATTCTTATCACATTGCCTTATACAAGCCAAGGCAAAAAGAGAATGGGAAACAGTCCATGAACCAAGCCGTCATCAGGAATCACAGCCTACACATGCTCTGGTGCGCCTCCCTCTTGACCTGTGTGCAATCAGACCACATGTGTATTCGAGTGGATCACTTGATAGGTCTGTGAAATGCGCTACGTCTGGGAGAGATATGACCAGGAGCGCCTAAAGACGACCGCATGGGAAGCGCGCATAAATGTGGATCATTAACTCGACTGTTCATCGAGGACGAGAACAGAGATGTGATCCTTCTCCGCGATAAGGTTCTGTTTGCGACCTTGTGGCACCACCTCGTCACCTCAAGCAGTCGAACCATCCTATCTCTAGCCCCAGTGGGTATTGAGACGTGGACCAAGAATGCCGTCCACTCGTCAGACCAGTCCTGCACATTGATTCCACCGTTGCCACCGGCAAGGCTACCTAAGCGCATTTGAGACGCAAGGCTGACACTTACATCTAGGCGACGGTCTTGCACACAGGGCACTCCCTACTCTGACTGATATCATGAACACCCTCGCGCCCCCAATTTCGCAGCACGAGCGGCTTCTTATCCACATCACCCACGACCTCGTTGGCTACCCATCGCTCGACCCCATCATCTACGGTGTTTTCAGCCGCGTTATGGCACAGGTTGAGGGCGGTGACCTGATGGTGGTTCAGCGCGGGCACGAGAACACCATCAAGTCCCCCTCCAACGAGAAGAGCGGTTTCTTCTCCGGGGGGCACAGCACAGCCGGTTGGAGAGACGGCCCCTGGTGGCGAGACGTCGGCTCGCCCCGTGATCTCGGCCTGATCAAGGGTCTCACCGAGGGCACGAAGCTCTGCCGCGCCAGCGCCGAGGCCTACTCCACCGAGTACTTTGCTGCTTCGGGCGGCGTTGAAGGCGCCAGGGAGCGAGCCATTCAGCCCGTCAGCGAGAGTAACCCTGTGCGAAGCTCGGATCTATTCCTGTCCGTTCAGGCCATCGTCACCGACGAAGACAAGGAGCTATTCGCAGGCGCAGCGTCCAGCGAGAAGGAGAAGGAATCGTCTTCTGTGCTTGAGGAGGGCACCAACGACGCGCAGGTCTGCTTCGCGGTCTTCATACTCGACCCTGTGCACGAGATCCAGTTCAGTGCCATCAGCCAAGCCGTGCCAGCCCGGTGGGTCCGCTGGCTGGACGCCCCATCTCCGTTGACGCCTGCAAGCAGCAACGATGGCAGCGGCCGGGGTGAGGTGGAGAACGTGCCTGAGGAGATCAGGGACATCGTTGAGAGCGGTGGAGTGGACCCGCGGGAGTGGGTGGCTGAGTGGGTTGAGGAGGTGCTCACGCTCTCGATTGGTGTGGTGGCGCAGAGGTACGTCGCCCGACGGATGGGAGTCGGTGAGGGCGGCATTGGCAAGGGCAAGAGGAGAATGGAGGAAGTCGTCGCTGAGGGCGGTGGTGAGGCTGCGCGGGCAGGTGTCATCTGATCTCCCCACAGTTGACTTGCGCTCGCTACACACATGAATAGGGGCATTCTTTAGGTTGCGACAACATCGCGTTGAATGCATAATGATAGCTGCATGAACGCTAGGATTCCAGGACTGTTGTCGATGATAATATCGATTTTGACGGGAGTGTGGCTCTAGGCTTCAGGGTATTCCAACGATACGTTTCACTTTCAATTGTCATGATTTGTGGGTACGGTGCAGTTGGTATGAATATACTAATAGCTCTCATTGACCCCAAATCGCTTCGCCTGTGACACATCCTGTCAACCTAGGTATCGGCAACTGTTCCGGGTAATGAGTAATGTCCTGGTTTACTTTCATGGGACCTAAGGACAATTTATGCTCAGGAGCTAAATATTTATGAATTATACATTTGCCCAATAAATTGGGCCTCAGAACTCGCAAATTGATCGCGAGGCTTAGAAAAAGCTACATTATAATCAGCACGTAGGTTTGCGTGCGGACGGGCACCTAATTTAGTAGTACAGAGGCATTTTTCTGATGAGTTCCTTATGACATAAGAACTCTCCAGTGTCGACATTCTATTTAACTCCGCCGTCAAGTCTGTGAATATTCTCTTGCACTGCTGGTATGTACAAGCAACAGTTGCGAATCTCCTCCAGGTCTGTCATCGTCCGTAATTATTCCGAACTCGCCTCCGAAATCTCACGTCCCTGTCAGGCCCCATCTGCGCGAGTCGATACCCTTGTTGCTTACAGGTCCCAGCAGTCTGGTTACATCTCTCAACGCAGCAACCGCTATGCTCTGCCATCGCTGTTGGTTGACGGCGTTTTGGAACGCGGGTGACTGCATATGTATGTACGAATGGGACGGCCCAACGGCTGGTTGCAGGTGCGTTCCAGACATCATGCCAAAGCCGGACATTTCACGGGCCGCTCTCATGGGTCGACATTGTGGCGCTCGCCAAGATGCCAGTCAAAGCTTGGCCGATCCGATTGATCACCTCCGTCCTGGGCACACTAGGGGTCGTTCAGCACTCTCAGCACATCATCTTTTTCCAATTTCAAGGAATAGATCCTCGCATGTTTCAAGTGTATCTATGTGTTCGTAGATTTATTCAAAGACTTTTGTTTCTATTCTCCTCCGCACACTTGCTACACACGGGAGTGTTTCACTACTGCTATCGTCCGCGTCTAAGGGACAAACCACAGCAATATCAATGGCCTTTATGATGTCAACAAATTAAGTGAGCAGTGTGAAGGTCTTCGAGCCTTGAACCTGCGACGAACATGAGCGCCGTGAGTATAAATGATGAGATTCTCACAATCTATTATCCCATGTATTCATAGTATTTGTATAACATGAAAGCAGTATATTGCCACATCAGTGAAAGTGACTCTATATACCACCCTGCCCCCATTCCGGGCCATCACTGATACAATTCCAACATGACTGAGGATTCAATCTTCATCAAATGGGGCCAAGTTTCGAGAGTTCTCTGACATGGCAAGCATCCATTGCCATGTGGTTGTGAGATGGGGAACGAAACATACAATGTCTTGAGGTCGAGCAAGATTCCAAAAATTCTCCATGCATTCAGGTTTGAAGAATTTACCTGAGCCTTGTAGAAATGAATGGCCCCTGAATGACTTGATCGACGCGGTCCAACATCTCAGCAATTTGTCTTGATTCAGTTTTACCCGCCCAAATGCAGTTCTGGCTCAGCACCCTTCCCACTCTGCCTTCCACTCATTTGCCCTCAACAAGATCTAGTGCGGATACGTCGACTACTATTTCAGTCGATATGACTCTCAGAGGTGCCATTAGGCATGCCGCAAGATGTAAGTGTACTGCACTATTTTTGGACATTTGAAGTGAACCCCGGGTAGTAGGCTCGGCCCAAGTAATCAGATTTACGATCTTCATATTCGATATCCACGACCAAGCCCTTTAATGAGCTTATATTTATATTTATCCAGTACAGCATCACATATTTGGAGCGATGATTCCAGGATGTTGGCCTGTTACAATTGCCTGACTAGGGTGCAGATCTTAGCAGGGGTCGATGACTTGAGAAGAGTTAAAACTAGACTGTGCCCGCTTGCGCCATTGCGGATATGTTCGACGTGCTGTCTGTTTTTGCGGCAGTCAATCCCAACCGATTACGTTTCACGTAACATTGATTCGACCTATTCTTTTCTATGCCCCAGGTCCAACAAGCTAAATCGCAAGTTCTTCTCAGGTACGGTCACGCGAGCACGGGAAGAGCCGTTTTGATTTCAGTGTCCGGCCCAACGCTCCCACATTTTCGGTCCAAGCCCCAAAATTCTCGCCGTGACGAGTTCGCGGGCCAGTATGGTGAGCTCGATTCCACCCTGGCAACAGACCGAATGCCACTGTAGTTTCCTGCGACTCAGCAGGTAAGTTGAAGTTTTCCTGAGCCATAGACAAGCTTTGGACCTGGACCAGCCCAGCGCTTTTGCCAAATTTAGGTAGTGTGTGGGTCCCTCGCCCGCATGCCTCCACATTTCCGACGTCCACTCTACCTCCTTCGGTCATGCCCTTTTGATACTATGATTCTGGCTTATCTCTTTGGAGATATCTCGCGCATCAACCCCGGCCAATGATGTTCCCATGGTTGCATGATGCGATGCCGCAACTTGCGAGCCGCACCTCACAGTCCAGGGGTGGGAGGCAAGCATTGCGCGGCAGTGCCGAGGCAATGATACCTGCTATGCTTGCCCCTGTCCATTGAATGTCCGGCAGCGGTATATTTGAATACAAGACCGCTTATCTGGGCCCAAGACGCCTTTCATGTTGGTTTTTGTGATCCATTCCCTTGGGTAGATACATTCTATCCTACCTCTTTTTCATCTCGCTGTCCGAGATCAGTCCGCGTTCACGGACCGTTCTTCGCCATGGCCACCGAGATCCACCAGGTCGGGTCAGAAAGCCCTCCTTCGTCCAAGAAGGACCGCATCGAGGAGAAAAACACCGTCGTCTCGGAAGACGTCGAGGGCAACTCTGACGACGACAGCAAACGCTTGGTGGCAGACCGGGCCGAAGCAACAGAGCTAACGCCAGTGGAGGCTTTCAAGTGGAATGTTGAAGGCGACCAGTCTCCATGTATGTTCTTGGAACGCTCGTGAATTTAGGAGCACCGAAACACTGACGTGAATATTAGTCCCAGAAGTCGCGGCCTGTGTACCTAACACAGATGACCCAAACCTCCCCTGCAACAGTGAATACCCTTCCGTCCCTCCTATGACTCCTGTTGGCAATCCTTCTGACGTTCTCCAAGCTTTCCGTGCCTGGTTCCTGACAACCATATTCGTTGTCGTCTTTGCCGGGGCGAATCAATTTTTCGGTCTACGTTACCCCTCCTTATCCATCGGCTACGTCGTTGCGCAACTTCTGGTCTTTCCCATTGGTCGTGCATGGGAAATTCTCCCTCGCTGGCGGCTTCCTCTGGGCCCCCTCTCTTTCGATATCAATCCCGGCCGCTTCAGTATCAAGGAGCACGCCCTCATTGTTATCTGCGTCAACATCAGTTCCAGCATAGCTTATGCTTCGGGCGCACTTGTCTCTATCATCAGTCCCGTGTACTGGGACCGTGACTATGGCGCGGGCTTCTCGTTCCTCTTCCTCCTGACCACACAGATGCTCGGGTTTGGTCTTGCCGGTCTTTCGCGTCGATGGCTTGTCTACCCAGGGGCGCTCATTTGGCCGTCCACGCTATCCTCCGCCGTTCTTTTCAGGGCTCTGCACGAGCCGCAGGATAATTCGCCAGCAAACGGATGGACTATCTCACGATATCGATTCTTCTCATACTTCACGATCTTCGCGTTCGTGTTGTTCTGGTTCCCGGACTACATCTGGACAAGCCTAAGCACTTTTGCCTTCATCACCTGGATTGTGCCGCACAACCAAAAGGTCAACACCATCTTTGGAATGAACTCGGGCCTTGGTCTCCTGCCAATCAGCATTGACTGGACGCAGATCAACTATGCCGGCAACCCTTTGATCACGCCTTTTTACATTACTTGCAACGCATTCGCCGTGGTCGTGCTCTTCTATCTATTCCTGTCGCCAATTCTGTACTACTCAAATGTATGGCAAAGCGCATACTTGCCACTGCTCTCTTCGAGCACGTTCGACAACACCGGCTCAACGTACAACATCACACGGGTCGTCGACGAGAACCTTAACTTCGTGCTCTCCAAGTACCAGGAATACTCACCGATGTACATCTCAATGTCTTACTCGTTGACGTACGCTCTTTCATTCGCAGCGGTTACGGCAATCGTGGTGCACACTTATCTGTACAACGGCGCTGAAATTTGGGCCAAGTTCAAAAATTCGAGGCATGGCGGGGAGGATATCCACAAGCGGCTGATGAACAATTACAAGGAAGTGCCTGACTGGTGGTACGGTGTCTTAACTGTTGTCATCATGGCGCTCGGCATCGTGACTGTCAGCTACTGGGACACCGGATTGCCAATCTGGGGCTTCATTGTGGTTTGCTTTGGCATGGGTGTGATTTTAATCGTACCGGAAGGAATTCTTGAAGGAACCACAAATCAAAGAGTGTAAGTCTGGCACCGCACGGCTGGAGTTCCTGGCACTGACAAATGATATCTTAGCTTCCTTAACATCATCACAGAACTCATCGCTGGTTATGCCTGGCCTGGAAAGGCAATCGCCAACAGTAAGTGCCTCTCGTATACAATTTCAACCTTCCTGGAACAGCCTCCCGCCATATCCATAGTCTGTCTCAGTGGTTGTTCTGAGGCCCGTTGTCAGGCCGCAGCTTTTGAGATAAGCAATGGGCATATGATAGGCTTCTACACCAACTTCAAGACAACATTCCTTCCTCAATGCTTTGACAGCTGATTCTAATTCCTGCAGTGATGGTCAAGTGTTACGGGTACAATAGTGTGAAACATGGCATGGACTTTGCCCAAGATCTCAAGCTCGGCCAATACATGAAGATCCCTCCGCGGGTTCTGTTCGTTGGGCAGATTTACGCTTCAGTTCTGGCAACTGCAACACAAACTGGAGGTTAGTCGTCATACCCAATCCCTGGGATGGTTTCGTGCTGACGAATGCAAGTTCTGCGCTGGATGATTGGCAATATTCCCAAGCTGTGCCACAGCGATAACACACAGCGCTTTACCTGTGCCGGTGCTAAGGTCGTTTACAACGCATCTTTGATCTGGGGCACAATCGGTCCTCAGCGCATGTTCCAATCTGGACAGATCTACAACGCGACGATGTATTTCTTCCTTATAGGACCCGTCGTGACTGTCCTGGTCTACTTGACCTACAGGAGATACCCCAACAGCTGGGTGCGATATATCAACGTGCCAATTTTCTTCAATGCAGCTGGAAACATTCCTCCCGCGAACACTACGCAGTACAGCCTGTGGTTCATCTTCGGTTTCTTGTTCAACTACCTGATCCGTAAGAGGGCCTTCGCTTGGTGGAAGAGATACAACTATCTCTTGCAGAGTGCTATGGACACAGGGACTGCCATCGCCACGGTTGTCATCTTCTTCGCCTTGAGCTACCACAACGTGAAACTCAATTGGTGGGGGAATACCGTCGGCTCAGACACAGACGATGCCAACTCTGTGCCTTGGCTGACGGTGCCCGACGGTCAGATCTTCGGAAAAGGTCCCGGAGAATTTTAAATCGGTGTGGGCACACATGGACTTGATGCGTGGAGAAGGCAATTTTGAGGTTTTGACTAGACGGGAATGAAAATCGTTCGCCCTCAATGAAAAGCGGTTCACTGCACGTGTGACCGGCCAGAAACTCATACAGCTCAACCCGTCCTGTGATTTTCATGTATGCGCCTATACTCTTCCAAACCTGCAAAATAAATGCCCTCGTAAGCCTTAGTCACATCATTCCACAACGTTATTGCCCCAGACTTAATGTCGCCCGTGTACGGTGTTTAGAGCACGCAGTTAGAGTGGCGTAGGTTTCATCGATGTCACTAGTAAACTACCAGCGAACGCGATATCGACTCGCGTATAATACGTATATTTGCTCGGACACGGCAAACTCAATCTGCAGGAAAGCTAAATTCAAAGGTCTGCTGGCAAACCTGATCAATGACCTGGCCCTGGATATTCCGAAACCTTTGCAACCTAAACTACTGGACCGGAAGTCTCTGAACAGTCTGCGTAGTTGTGGGACAGCACCTCTTGCCGGACCTGCCGGTGACTTGATCCTCGACCGTACGTACAACTCGCGTGCTTACGTCGCTATCTTGCATCTTTCCAGCGGGGCTCGTTTTGCCAGTCTCTGTCGATATCAGTTGAACTGCCACACGCCGTCCATTCAGTCTTATCAAATGCCTGTGCGTGTGGCATTCTCGGTTCGAATCTGTCTGCAGTGTCTTGCAATTGCCTTTATCATGGTGTTTGGATTGAAGCACATCTTCCCTGCCCTCCTCGCATCACAAGCGAGCTTCACGAGGGCAACGCAAGTCGTGCTGGGCGATACTTCCGCCGAACAGCCCCAAATCGGCAATGTTGCCTATAGGCTTCCGACTGAACGCACCTTTCTACTGAACGTGCCAGCTGCCTATAGACACGAAGAACCACATCCGCTTGTGCTCTCGTTCCACGGAGGTTAGTCAGTGTTCGTGCTGGGATCAAGATATGACATTGGCTCACATGCGCAACAGCCGGCGGCTTCAGTGAAAAGCAGCAACGCATTACCGAACTTTCTGATCCATCCTTGAACATAGCGGGGAAGCCATTCCTCACAGCCTATGCACAGGGTGTGAATGATACAGAATGGAACATGAGACATATCTGGAAAGGGGCACCGTATGAGAACAGCTCAGTCGACGATATCGCCTACGTCTTCGACATCATCAAGTCCATCTCATCCACATATACCGTCGACCAATCCCGCATCTACGCATGCGGAAAGTCTAACGGCGGAGGCTTTACCAGTCTCTTGGCTTGTCGGCCCGATACTTCAAGCATCATCGCCGCGTTTGCACCGGTCAGCCCGGCTCTGTACCAGGGCACCTACGCTTTCCACAACTGCACGCCATCTCGGCCTGCGCCTATATTCCACGTCCACGGTATCGAGGACACCATCACCCCATTCTACGGAAGAACACCCGAGGAAGGTAGTTTCGGCCCGGAGCCAGACGTCAGGTTGTGGAGACGCCAGTGGGCAGAACGCAACGGCTGCGCTAGAGGCACGTACCCTGGCCAGTTTCCACAGCCCGATCACGTAGAGGAAGTTCATCCGGGTGCATGGGAGGAGGTCTGGGACTGTCCTGGCGCAGAAGTCAGGTCGCTAAGCATCGAGGGCCTTGGTCATGCGTGGCCTTCGACCATTGGGTTAGACTTAGCTGGGCGGCCTAATCACACCGCGAACTTCAATCTTACGAATCAGCACCTCGTTCAGTTCTTCTCGAGGCACTCTCTTGGTAAGGTTGCCGAGTAAGTGGTGCTGTGGTTCCCAGGACGATTTGGTTCCTCAGTGTCTTTGAGCCATGAGGATGATGGTTGCTGGACCGAAGACCTACCTAAATGGGAGCTCTCAAGGATTGAGAAATGCGTTCTATTATTTGAGGCCTCGCCATACAGAAACGCCAGTAGGCGAAGACAACTTTATATATGTATTACGTATAGCACAGTTTAGCCGCGAAACATATAATACAGGGCGATCAACACAGTCTCAATCCACAGGGAATTGCTATTAAACAATTCAAACAATGCAATACTTCCACTTTATACGCCATGGTGCACAACTACGGTGTATAAATTCATAGTACACGTCCCCGTCTATTTCGGCATGGCTAGTGCATGTATCTCAGCGGTACGCAGACAACTCTATCCTTGATCGCAGATTTCAAAAGCGAGGATTCGGTCGTGAAATCCAGAAATATAGAGGCGCGTGCCCATTTTTAGGCTTGATTGTCACCCTCGGCACAGTGCCGCTAAGCCAACTTTTTAAATTTCCGCTCTCCAATATTCGATTGCATACTCCATTCTTGCTCAGCTCTTCCCAGCAAACATTGACTCCAACTCCTTATGTCGACGTGTGAGCGAGCACAGCTATTCATGGTGAGTTTAAGCTCGGGAGTCTGCTTCGCGGATACAGTATCTATGTGATGAAGAGGTAAAATCGAAAGGAGGGAGTTCCAGATAAGAATAAAATAATCTCTTGTCAGATAACGTGTTATCCCATAACCTCTTATAAGATAACCTCCCATAACATAACCCCCTATAGGATAAACAGGATAACCTGCTATAGAATATTCTGTTCTAGGATGACCTTCTGTGGGGTAGCCTTCTGTGGAATAACCTCCTGTGGGATAACCTCCTGTGGGATAACCTCCTGTGGGATAACCTAACCTCCTGTGGAATAACCTCCCGTAAGATAACCTTTTGTAGCGGGTGGGAATACTGTCTATGGGGTAATCTCCTATAGGATGATCCTATATTGGGACGAAGTCAGAAGTTGTCTATACGGAGCTCCGCAGTGATGGTTTCGCATTTCGTTTTCTGGAAGAAGAAAAAGCAAAGAAGGGTGGTGTGGTTCCCATAGTGTATGTAAAGAATCTCGAGCTATTTCTATCTCAGCATCTAGAACGTATGAGAAGGCCGGACCGCTCGCATGAGGATTATGACCATTATTCAATTGGAAGTGGAAATGTATCCGTAGCTACTGCATCGGGGACTCATTTTCTTCTGGAACTCAATACTGACAATGAAAAGATCGATTAATAAACGAAGTTCGGGCTGACTGTCGAAGGCAATCTCTAATTCCAACCTTCCAACCATTCATAAAAAAGAATATTATATTCGCCTGTTGGTTTATGTAATTTTGGCGTATTCCTGGGGCCTGTCCGGGAACCCCTCAGCTCTTCCCTTGCTCCGAAGCGCTCTCCACAGTCTTGGCAGAATCAGCCCCAGCTGTCTTCTTCATAGCCTTCTTCGCCTTGACCTTTTGTTCATGCATATACGCCCTGAAACCACTCCCACCACGAATGTTCTGCCTCGCTCGATCTCCACGCAGTGTCGAGAGCGTGCGCAGAGGTGGTCGGATGCCCTCCTCCATCTCCACGGTATTCCGCCTGTGAGCTTCCATCTTGCTCGGCGTGATGCTCTCGGGGGCCCACCTCTTGCGGATAAACCAGGGCAGGCACGAGGCAACCCATTCGTCAGGACACTTGCGGATGAGCACGCCCCATGGTAGTGAGATAGCACCGAGACCAATCGACAGACCCCATTCCTTGCCGTTGAGGGGTGTGATCTCGAAGGCTTCGCCGCCGACGAAAATAATCAAGACCTGGCCACCGATCATGATGAGATTAATCCCAATGAAGAACCAGTTGCGTGTGATGCCTTCGAAGATGTTGATCTTGTTGTCAAGGCGGCGATTGTTGACCTCATTGAAAATTTGTAGCCACACGAAGGTATTGAAGACCAACGTCTTCAGCCTCGTCACCTCGTGCTCAGATGTTCCGTAGCCCATGAGAGTTCTGCCTCCAAAATTTAGACAGAACGTAATCGCCAACTGGCAGATTGCCTGTCCAATGATCATCTTCGCCATGCGAAGAGTAATGAGTGATGCGGACTTCCGATCGGGCTTCCTGTCCAAAACAGATCGAGACGGGGGATCCGTTGCCAACGCCAGAGCAGCAAATGTGTCCATGATGAGATTTACCCAAAGCAGTTGCACGGCGTTCTGTAGTACAAGTCAGAGACTATCCCCCAGGGGCTTAGAGAAAAAGGAGAGAGGCTCGAGTATTTCCTCCAGAGTTTACTTACGAGTACCGATTCTTCCTCAGCCGAAGCGACAGCCGATACAAACGTAAGGACAACAGCAGTAACGTTGACGGTAAGTTGAAATTGCAGAAACTTCTTGACGGAGTCGTTGACTGCGCGTCCCCACATCATACCCTTCACAATCGAAGCAAAGTTGTCGTCCATAAGAATAATAGCAGATGCTTCCTTGGCAACTTCGGTGCCCGCAATTCCCATACTGAAACCGATGTCGGCCATCTTCAGAGCAGGAGCATCATTTGTGCCGTCACCAGTGACCGCGACCGTCTCCCCTAGCTCCTTGAGGGTGCGGACCAGGATACGCTTGTCCTCGGGACTCGAACGCGCAAGAACCTGTAGCTTGGGAACGAGCTCCTTGAGTTCCTTCTCGTCCTTCCGGCGAAATTCTGGACCTTCCATAGCGATGCCACCATCTTCGGGGTGGTATATGCCACATTCGCGTGCAATTGCGCAACCTGTGAGTATATTATCGCCCGTAACCATACGAACTATGACCCCAGCACGCTGACAGTCCTTGATAGCGTCCTTGACAGAGGGACGGAGAGGATCTTTGATGCCGAAAATAGCCACGAGAGTCATGTCTTCGTGGACCTTGCTCCAATCGGCAGCTCGAGGATCGTCCTTGGATTCCATGCCTGCCGGTGGCCACGACTCAAAGTCTCGGTAAGAGGATGCAATAGTCCGCAGTGTCTGGCCGGCGTACGATGTGATAGTATTGAGAATAGATTGGCGCACCGAATCCTTCATCTCGACACTAGTGGCGGACTCGGTATCGGCTAGAATGCGACCGCATTTCTTGACGAGAATTTCTGAGGCACCTTTGGCATATACTCGATATTTTCCATCCGGAAGCTTCACAACACTTGCCATGTACTTATTCGCGGAGTCGAATGGTAGGACTTGCACAATATTGGCATTCGAGCGTTCTTCCTGGACTGGCCCAGCACCGAGATGATCCCGCGAAAAAGTCAACAGAGCAACCTCAGTCTTCGAGCCGATGAATGTCTGCTCTCCGTCTTGTTCACCCTCGAAAGCCGTCGAGTTGACTGCGTTCGACTGGATTAGAAGTTTCTTTGTCTCATCTCCCAGGGAAGCCACGAAGTCGTTGACGGGAACATTGGCAACAGTCTCAACAACCTCATCAGGAGCATCGCTCTTCTCTGTGTCATCGAGTGGTGGATCCGTCCCACCAAAGCTGTTGCAACTTCCAAGGGTGCAAGCAACCACAGTCATTTTGTTTTGGGTTAGGGTGCCGGTCTTGTCTGAGCAAACGGTTGTTGCATTGCCCATCGTTTCGCATGCCTTCAGAACTCTCACAAGGTTGTTGTCTTTCATCATGCGTGTAGTCGCGAAAGCGAGAGCGAGCGTCACTGCCAGGGGAAGTCCTTCGGGCACAGCTACCACAACCACCGTTACCGAGACAATCAACAGGGTGAGAAATTGCTGGCCTTTTTCCGATGGGGATGCGTCATTCCCAGGCAAAGCTGCCAGAAACTTGATGAACAGGACGATAAAAAGGATAAGCGCAGCACCAGCACCAAATTTTGCGATCCAGTCAGCCAGTATGTTCAGCTTCTTCTGTAGTGGGGTGTCTTCCTGTTCTGTACGGAGGGCCATTGCGGTTCGTCCGTAGCTCGAGTTGACACCGACAGCAGTAACGAGGAAGGTTCCCGTTCCCTCCTGGACTTTGCTTCCGGAAATGATGAATGGGTCCAGCTTTTCCAGTTCTGGCTGGTCCTTGCCAGCTTCGGCTGCACCAGTCAAGGCAGCGAATACGTCGTTGCCGGGGACCTTCTTGAGGAGGTCCGATTCGCCAGTCGCAGAAGACTCGTCGCATTTGACACCGTACCCGTCAATGAAGATGCCGTCGACAGGAATCATGTCGCCAGTCGTTAGGTGCATTACGTCACCGACCATTACGTCGAACACCGAAATTTCTTGCGACTTGCCAGAGCGGATCACCTTTACCGTACGGTCATTGTGTTTCTTGTTGAGCTTGTTGAATTGCCGTTCCATCTGAAAGTCGTTGAGGGTGCCTACCACCACGACAATCAGAATTGCCACAATGATAGCCACACCCTCTACCCATTCGACCTTGGCCTCGCCAGGCTCATGAGGAGTGCCAAAGGTCTGATAGAGACCGAGTGCCAAGGACACAATCGCCGCGATAGTGAGTAGGATCAGGACCTTGTCATTGTATGCCAACCAAGCGAGTTCCAGCAGTGATTTGCTCTTCTTCTCGGGCAGTCTGTTGTCGTTAAAGACGTCCTGTCGATCGGAGAAGCCGTGGGTCGCCGCCTGGTGTGCACCAGATGCGGCAGCTGCCGATTTCTCCTCGCTCGGCTCCGGTACATTGTTTCCGAGGGCCCCATACTTCGGCGCACCTTTGGTCGCAACATCCTCGAAAGCCACTGCGCCATCGAGAATGTCTTCGTCAACGCTAAGCCCGCTTTTGATATCGGAGCGCAGGCCCTTCTCCAGCCCAGCCAAGCCGCCCATTGCGTAGAAGGCATTGAGGCTCTTGGGGTTTAGCAGCTTGGAAAGCTGACCAGGAGAGAAGGCGAACTTGTTTTTCATGGTTCTGAACATGTCCTCCGTGCCAGGGTCGGGCGTGAGGGCATCGTTGAGGTCCAGGTGGAACTTGACATGCTTGGATGGGCCATTGTCCTTCTCGTCGGTGGCCATCGTAGTCGTATTCTCTGCGATCACCGTTGTGGCATTCTCCCACTCAGACCCTGCGTTGCTAGCCATGCTGGGTATGATGTAGTTGATGTTGTTGCGTTCCAGGATGAGCCAGGTAAAGGTCTGCTAGACGACACTCTCAGCACGTCTGGGACGTGCGAAGGATCAGGCCACAGGACAGCTCAGCAGCTTGGAGCAGCTGATTCGACAATGTGTTTGTTGAGGGGCGTGCAGGTGGGAGTCAGATGGGTTACACATGCCCATCAAGCTCAAGCTCAATGTGTCTCGTTCCCAGGCAGTGTGTGCTTAGTGGTACGAGGGTGGGAGAGGAGTAAGAACGAAAACCAGGGGAAGGGGCGAAGGAGGGAGAGACAACAAACAAAACAACCCAAACAGGGAAAACAGGCTTGCAAAATCGAGGCGACGCAAGATCTTGATGAATCTTGATCGGGAAAAGAAAAGGGAAACAAGATGATATCTGAGACAAAACAGCCCTCCCTACCTAAACCTTGCCTGCGTGGCTGCCGAAGTGTGTGGACGGTTGTACACAAACATTGGGATTGCCTGTTCCTCACTCAGCCAGCCGGTATCCATCCAGGGGCCCGATCCCCGGGCCAGCTCATCTCACAGGATCCATGGATGAGAGCGGATTGACATCCTCCTCGTCAACACAGAGCTTGGCATACCACTCTGACAGCCCTGGCCCGCCGCCAATGTTGATTCGAGCCACAGCAGCACCACGGCGGCACTGCAGCTGCAGACGTGTGGCCCATGGGCAGCCATGGGGGTTATTCCAGGTATTCTGGGCCCAACTTGGCGCTGCTTGGCGATTACCCATGGCCAGCTTGGCGGGCTGCCTCCAAATTTGAACAGCTTCTGGATGCTGAATACCCCCTTAGGAACAGCCCCTTTGCTCTTCTCGGGGCTGGCGCAGCAGAACAATTACGCCCCAAGGCAGCTTTCCATGCCCACTTGGCGCAGGAAGCAGATGCTCCAGCAGCTATATTCGACTTTGAGGCCATTTGGCCTGGTAAGTTGTGGCCCTATAGCCCTGTGGGGGCCCACATCTCACCGGCTCGCTGCAGGTGCTCGAATCAGCAATGCTGGCTGGGTGCGTGCAGCGCAGCACATAGATAGATAGCACTGCTCTGCTTTTCGGCGCATGCACACCTTTCTGCCTTGTCTGCCTTGTCCTGCCAGCCTACCTCTCCTGTTCTAGCCAGTCCTCAGGGGCGCTTGACGCTAGGAAATTGGCTAATATTGGCTTCGAGCACAAGCATTCGTCACCGTCGCGTGTCCAAGACTTTGCCAAGCAGCGCCTCCATAGTCGTGGGTAGCAACATGTCGCGGTTCAGAACCAGGCACAAACGGCGGTGACCTCTCGCTGATCGTGCCACGGGGCACGTGTGCTTGCGTGTGCTTGTCTTTCCTGCTGTGTGAGCCTCGATCGCGTGCGCGGCGGACAGGGTGAGATGCCGAAGGTCTCCGTATGTGAAGTGTAAAAAGAAGAGAAACGACCTTGCAGGCTAGCTACGCGAAACTGCTCCTCTTGAGCTCCAGAGCTGAGCTCCAGAGCTCCGCATTGTCGCAGTCTAATCCAGGGTCCAACCCTACCGTCTCTTTGTGAGACCTCGAGTCCTGATTCAGCGTACCACGCGTCTGCATGATCATGTCCTTAAGTAGTGACCCTACCAGTCACCACCATCGGACGAGTAACATCGTCGATCTTTATCTGCCCAGACACCCAGGGAGGCACATTGGTATTACAAAGAACGGATTCAGCAGGCTTACTGCCTTGTGTACCAGTTGCACTTTCCGGAAGGCCTCCTATATCGGCACTTTCGTCGACGTGGTGTGACCCTGCCTGTGATATCCTGGAGCTCCAGCTGCTTGGATTCATCCGTGTTGTAGCACCTGGGCCGAGCAAGAAACATGCCAAACATCTTCGCCCTCGTACTAAAACGTACTATCGGAATACGATACAGCTTGCAGGGTTCTCCAGTTGAAGCTACCATTGGAAGAAGTTCGCGTAACTGAGGCATCAGGCGACGATTTCTTGCTCGTCTCCATCATTCCAGAGAAGTCGGGGTAGTTGCGCAGACATATGCGATCAGGCTTTGTATGTGACACCCTTGTTCTAATGGCTCTTGTTACTCAGGAGTTGATTGCTGTCATGATGACCAGGCTCGGTGACAGCCGGACACTTTGCAACAACACGGCTCGTTCTCGTGACGCATGTAAAGCTCGTTCCTCCCTATGTATAAAAGCCCGTGTCTGGACCAAAGGACTCTGCCAAATCCGCTGGAAGTCGCAGCTTATTATGTGCCACTCAAATATCGAGAGAGAAACCGCACAGATCAAACAGATAGAATATGCCTTTATTCTGCAAATCCGAGGAAAAGAAGCGCCGAAAGGCCGAAAAGCGCGCAGAAAAGATTGCAAGGGAATGGCAGTCTGACCGACATGCCGCGGAGGTATTGGCATGGCTTGATCAACAGATCGAAGACGGAGTTCCCATGCACAAACTTGACATGCGTAAGTCAGAGACCTCCATTCCCGAAACAATCCTAACCTGAGTGATGGCCTGGTAATGAACATGACTTTTCAGGGCTGCCGCCTCCTCCCTACAAGAATCCTCCCAAGTATCCAAGATAGAACAACAAGTCATGATTCGTTGACTGAGGGCTTTATAATGGGAGACAAGGTGTACTTTGGAGTCGGAGGCGATATCGTAACCTGGTAATGTAAGAAGAATGTGTTCAGATAGTCACCCGCTATACCTTGCGACGAGTCGCCTCTCTTGCAATGTCAGGCAAGCCCTCACAAGGTCCAAATTCCAAGACTCTTTGAGTTTGCAAATATGACTTTCGTCTCTATTTGTGATGTGTACTAAATGGTCAGCCCCGGCTACGCGTCAAGCCCGCAGGCTTCGCCTCATCAGGCCCTGCACACGTCATTCCGTCCTGACCTAGATCGCTTGATAAATTGAAAAACACCGAAGCTTTATCGAGCTCACAGTGTGGTGAGATCATATTCGGGTGATGGATACTATTACAATGTAATGACGATCCCCAAGATGCCGAAGTCTCCGAGTGTCATAAGCACTGCCATACCCGGACGATACAAGTCCTGCGCCACATCATATTTTACTCTTTTCGTAATCAGGCCCAGTCAAGGCATTTTCCAAGAAATCCTGGTGCCTAGGAATGAATGATGCCTTGTAAGGCTTAGGCATGGCCACTAGCTCGCGGGCATCCCTAATGCCAGTGATGGGATTGTCGTCAAAATTGCCGTGTTGCTCGATCTTGAAGCTGTGAAGCACTCTCATGAAAATCAAGTACAGCTCCCTGTTGGCCAGTAGCGCTCCTACGCACATCCGGTACCCTAGGCCGTAGGTGAATAGTGGCGCATCTGGGTGCTCAATCCACCGTTCCGGTCGAAAGATGTCGGCATCAGGCCACAAATCAAGGTCTGAAAAATTAGTCAAAGCTGTGCATCGGTTGGGTGCTTGGAAGAAGCTGGAGTTGCACACACCAAAGTTGCAAGCCATGTTGTTGCAAAGCATTAGAGTGCCAGCCGGGATGATCTTGCCGTCATATTCTATCTCCTTGATAGTCGATCGAGGAAGGTTCATCCGTACCACGCAAAAGTATCGCAAGCATTCCTTTACCAACGCGGCTACATATTCACACTTCATGTCCTCTTGTGGGTCGCAGAGTGGTTGTTCATCGCTGTACATTTTGCTGATCTCGTGGTAAGCTTTCTCCTGAATCTCAGGATGCTTGGAGAAAAAGCCTAGACTCCACGTAACTGTGGCCCCCACTGTTTCGAAGCCAGCGGACAGCATCGATAGGCTGATGGATCTGACCTCTTCCTCGCTAACCTTGGCCTCGGGATCGACCATGACGTTAGCTTGAATGCAGGAGGAGTGTGTGCCGTTCATTACGCGCTGCCGCAGCTCCTGGTCGAACTTGAGGATATACGCGTCCCGACGATTCCTCAAGGCGATGGCTCGCGCTGACTTTGTAGGAAAGAGCCGCCAAAGTGGCACATAGTCTTGAAGGGAAGCACTGGATCCACGGAAGTAGTTGAGTTCCTCTTCGACGTGCACGATTTCCGAGAACAGAGCGTCATCTTGAGATCGCATTCGTACACCCCAGTTCAGTGTCAAGACCAGGGACAGTGACATGCGTTGAATGGCGTGCATCGGGTCCATGCAAATAGTGCCATTTTGCCCGTATCTCAATAGATCCTTGACGAATTGCCGAGTCTCTAGATCAAGATGGTTGGTCTGTGTTGAAAGGCAGCTTCAAAGTCAGACGTGCGATCCCAAGTCTTTAGAGGAACATATTTCTTTGGGGGTGTGATTCAACGCGTTTGTTCCGAAATCACTTACATATGTCTGTACCATAGGCCTGTTCAAAGCTGCTGCTGCAGCTCGACGGCGTCTCTTGAGTGAGTCACTGTACGGAGTCTGTCCGATTGGCGTCCCTGAAGCATCATTGACGAGCTGAGAGACATCTTTTAGCTGCAAATCCTCAACAATTATCAAGCTATACAAAGTCAATGTTAGGCATCATGCAGAACTTACTTTGTGCAAAGTGTATAATTCAGGCCTGGAGCTTGTTGCATGGCTCTGATGACTGAAAATATGCTTGGCCGCCGATGCAGTATTGACAGTTACAGCTGTGATATTTCCTAACTTGATCTGATACACAGGCCCGTATCTCTGCGACCAGTCTCGACAAGGCTCTGCCACACCCTTATGCGCGAAGAACGGCAGGTGCCCAAATACAATCTGTTGTGGCGGGCTTGCGAGGCCAGCAATCATAGTTTTCCGGCGCAAATACTCATTTATCGCAACATAACCCACCAAAGCTGCCAAGATGCCAAGGGCGAGCGAAGGAAGTAGTCTGAGCACTACGAAGGCGTTGTTTTGAAAGGAGTCCATCGCCAAGTGTACTGATTCGGCGAGCTATTGGAACGAATGTGGACGCCTCATGGCAGGAAGTGTTTCCAGAAAAGGGCAAATAATTCTTGGCGGGTTGACTTTGTGTAAACAATAAATCGTGAAAGGGTGAATTGTCTTCCGAGGCTGACAACACGCTGGAAAGGCCGAGCGTTTCTTTCGCGCCCAATAAAGCTCGGGAGCCGAAGATGTCAGAAGTATTGGGGCCGACTTCATTCTCTACGTCATAATTCGCACATTCTCCAAGGCTTCTCTACGATGCACTGCGGTTACCTGACTTGGAGGTATTGTGTCGGTGGGCTGTGGCTGACACCGGAGGCTGACAGCGATGACCGCAAAATGCTGACAGCGACTGCGGCCACGATAATGTGGCGAGTTGAGTCCTTTACATCTCATGCCAATATGCATTTGATTGACCCAAAATGAAATTTTCACGAAAGAACTCTCATATTCTCGCTCATGAAATTGCTTATGATACTATTTTCGGTGTCTTTGCCTTCGGATTTATTCTCGTTGCTAATATAGCAAAGCTTGTGAACTTGGCGAATAACCGCGCTCGATTATATGTCGATATAAGAGTTAGAGTCATATTGTGAGTGCAGAGTTGATAGGAGAGAAGCGGCTAGCTTGCTGAAGAGCGGAAAATTCAATTCGCTTGCTTTGCGGAGGCAGTGTGTCGAGGGTATTCAGTCAGGTCTGGAAGTCAGCAGGCGTCTCTGAATTCTCGGATAAACAAGCCTGTCAAGCCTCATTACGGTAGTCTACCCATTCCAAGAATGAGAGCGCCTGCTGGGCAGAGACACGTCTCTCCGGCTCCCATTTCAGCAATGCAGTTATCGCAGGAGATAACAGCTGAAGTGATTCAAAGTCGTAATCTGAATACTCGTCCGCTTCGTACTCGTCCTCTTTCTGACACTCTGTGACAATGGCTTTCCTCCTCTCTTCGAAGGCTTCCTTGTCTTCTGAATCGTGGCCTGAGCATAGTAGAAGTTGTGTCAGCTTGGGTATTGATTGTGAGAACGCGCTTTGTGTCCTACCGTTCAGTTGATGGTTCGCGCTTGGTCCTTCCATTTCCTCCCACATCAAGTTCCATTGTGGTGGAAGTGCACCCAACTTTTCCACTAACTTCCCAATGAATTCACGATCCGTGCCGTGCCGAAATGGGAACGGTGACTGCTGAAAATACAACACATAGATCTGTTTGGGGTGAGTTAGCTATTGCCTAAATAGGCCTGGCCTTCTTCTTTAATTAGCGTGATGAAAGAGACCTACGACACATCCCGCCCTCCATAAATCATGGCGAAAGTCTATTGATGCACAGAAAAAAGTCTCTGGCGACCGGAGATCTATGGGTTGAGGAAGCGACGTGACTGCCTGCGTTACTGGGAAGGCCAAGCCCCAGTCTAAGAGCCTGATATCTTCTTCGTCTCGGTCCGTCCACACTGCAGCATTTGGAGTCAGCTATCAAGACACGAAGAAATAGACCTTCACGAAAATGGGAAGGAACAAGCCACCATAGACACATAGCCTGTCTAGCCCGATTACAAGCTATAGGCCAAGTGGTGAGACAGACGACAGATAATAAATATTTCTTATCGAAAGGGTTGAAATTGTATTCAGGAGATGCTTACTATCCCAGTCTGCTGTTTTCACTAACATCCGAGGCATGTTCGGTGGTAGTGCCTCTCGGCCATTATTCGTTGAGGTCATGGGCTGCCCACCCAACGCAACAAAGATGTCCTCTTCGCCATTCAAGGCCACATCGCATGTGAAGGCAACATTACCAAAAGAAACATCTGCGAACGGACTTTATTTAGACCTGTGTTATGGGAGTAGAAGAGCAACACGTACCTCCATGAACTATGCCGGCATGATGCGCAAAGTCGACCCCCTGAAGCACACGCTTGGAAGCTCTAAGAACCGTATCAGGTCGTAAGGTCTCCCCGAAGAGACTACAAGCGCGGACTACCTTCGCGACTGATGGGCCAACCAATTCCGTGACGAGACAGTTGTGCGTGCCGTTAGGGCCACAGACTTGGAAAGTCGTCAATAGCCGAGTGAAACATCTTGGTGCCTTTTGGTCACTGCTGGCGTAGTATTTCTCCAGCGCCTGCAGGGCTTGGATTTCCTGATCTTGTTCTAGTGGGCCTTCACTTATACGAGACTGTTTGATCTTCAATGACGCCCATTGGCTGCCGTCCGAGGTTAGCATAGTCGTCGCAAGTGATGAGGGCGCTCAGTGGTTGTACCTGTATTGGGTATCCTGCACAAGCCACACAGTCGCTTGGCCCCCAAAGCCTAGCTTGTGCCTGACTACAAACCTCCCGTCTTGGAAGGTATCGCCAAGAGCAACGGGGTGCAAGCCTCCCTGCCGGTAGTCTTCGGGTGGTTCGTGTGGCTGGATATTGGTAGCATTCGGGTATAGATCTTCAGTCCACTCCACCATGGTGATATGATGAGTGACGAGCGTGTTGTCCTGGGCCCACAAACCCATCAGACTGATCTTGACACAGATTGGCACTCGGTCAAGCCGCCAGTTGCTCGAGTAGCGACGCTAGAAAGAAAAATTTTCTCTGGCATGAGATGGGACGTTACTTTTGAATTATGCTCGGCACAGAGAAGCTGAAGTAAAGTGGATGTCGCGCCTCGCAGATCCTGCCAACGGTCCGGAACTCCGCACAGCGCGCGGCGTAGCGAGCAAATGACATGTGCATCTTGACAACAACTGCCCAGAAGACTCCAATAATCCAGTTCCCTTCTCTTTAACAAAATACGTCACGCTGCACAGCACGCGAGAATGTCAGATGGTGATGTAAGGCAAAGGCAGCACGAATGATCGAGGATTAAGCTCGGTTTCGGGCTTTGCTTTACGATACCGGTACCGTGTGGTTGAAAACGCAAGGCCGCGATATAAAAAGACCCGTACACGACTTACGCTTGTGTGTGTTCGGAAATGTCTTAGTTTCGCGATAAGCAGGCCATCCTTTGCTGCAATTGGTGAGTAATTCTACCATGCTGTAGCAAAGTTACATGCAGCAATCCCGCGAACCCTCAAGCTACCTACTAAGCCAAATCATATCCAACAAAACTATGCGTGCATTATGCATCGAGGAGCATACCATGTGGGTGTGCCGTGACATTCAAAGTACAGTAATTAGGAAGCGAGTTCAATGAAGGACAGGGCTGTGATATCTGGACGTCGTTTCTGGCCTAGTCTGGATCTTGTGGTTGGTACCGCAGTGACCTATATTCCTATGGATGGAAATCAGAGACCCAAACAATGTTCTTCGTCAAAAGAGTGAGATCGTTGCTCGGAGAAGTAACATTCCCGCCCGGTCAACATTGCGATACCGATGCCGAGGACCGCCACGCTAGGAGATCGAGTTGCAGACAGTGGCCAAATGCGAGGGATTACTAGGCCGTTGAGAGATGAAAGAGCTGCAAAGAGCCGGTCAATCCTGCGCGTAGGAGTGCTTCTCATCGGACCTGGCCCCCAACCTCGCCTCAGCTCATGCTGCATGCAGGTTAGTCTGAAGTTGCGCATAGCTGGCTCCAGCCTTTTGCCTGGGCGAAGGATTTGAATCCCGGTCTCCACGTTGAGAACCCGAGGTTGAAGTGACTATTTGTTTTAATGCGAGCAAGGAGTGCGACCACGGGAGTATCTTGTTCACGGGACTTCTGTCAGCTTTCCATCGGTCATTTTCAAAAGTCCGTCCTTGGATGTCTGCAGCTTTTGATCAATTGTTGTGACTTTTTACTTCGTGGATGTCTTAAATGCTTATGTGATGAGTAATTTGGTGGGGCTCAGGGCAAAATCGCCTTGATCGATACCATTGCACACCATCCTACACGATTTTGTACACTGTGCCAAGATAGTTTTCAGTGGGAGACCTCGATCTCTTTGCGCTTAAATTGTGGGTCCACAGTTGATGAGGCAAACCCGTGTCGCATGACGACCTGCGTGAGAATACTCATATTCCTTTCGTGGGACGACAATCCTTGGACAGGACTCGCCATTGGTGACCTTCGTTCTGAGTGGCGCTTCCATGTGGTGGAACTAGTTTTGGAGTATTTTGAGATTGTGACCCGCCTTGGGACTATGTATAGCTGCGTAAATCAAATACGCAACATCATGTTCTCGTTCCAAGGTGGCTTCACCGGTGCGGTGAGACCGACCCCGGGGACAAAGCGTCGACCGCGTTGCTGACCACCCCAAAGAGCCTAGGGTCCACAGAGAGGAAACTCTTTGCGCATGCAAACAATCAAGACGTCATCAATTGGGCCGTCACTGGCCAAAAGTCCTGCGGACATTTCCGCCCTGGGTCACGCTCCCATACGAAGCTTTTGGGACGGTTTCGGAGTCACTACACCCTTTCACAAGATCTTGCGCACTACATGATAACGATGATAGCCCAAGTGACTGGGTAGAAGCACCTATGTGGAGAGATCAGGGACTCCCACGAGCTCGCAAATATTGTAGCATTGCCAGAACAGGGTCCTCGAAGGCGCGAAGGCGCGCGTGCACGATGCTGTGTCCACCACCACGCGGAGTCCGATCGCGCGTTTGGAACCACCACTCTCATCAGATCTCAATGAGACATATACAAAATGGGTCGAGTCTCGGACTTGCAGGAAATGGTGTGCGGAACACTTCCGACGCTACAAGCGTGTCGCGCTCTCCATCTGCCGTAGTTGAAATGAAAAGCGCGCAACTGGTTGGCACGTGATGGCCCGACCCGTCCCGTGTGCAGTATTCAGTTTAGCTTCGAAAATCAATCTTACATCCAGAAGACATGTTGATCATCGAAAAAAGTGGTGACAGAAGGGATGCAAAATTGGACTGTGCCCCCCGGGCAACGGGAGGGGCCGGGTCAAGGCTTGTACCATCTCGACCCGCTTCTCCGTGCGACCTCCGAGCAGTCCGGTCGCGAGCCGAACCTTGGAAAACCACCATCACTGCCAGACATCTTCACCCCTGATTCAGGGGGGCTCAGGGGGTCTCTCCACGCCAGGTAGATCCAAGTGAAGATACTCCTTCAAGTTGCTCACCAGAGCCTTGTAAAGCCGGCCACACACCGTGAACCTGGAACAGAGCACCACCGCCCTTGAGATGAAAAAAAGAGGGTATCAATATTCAGTTCTGCACAAGAATACCAAAACCTATCTATCTAGCTCAAGACATGTCATGCCACGTCATGTCATGTCGTTCATTATCGAAACAAAATAATCTACCCTGGACCCGCAAGTTTTCCCAGCCGACCCAGTTCCGATCTGCCCAGCCAGGCGCCGTCCCCCATAATGCGCCACCCCCGGCCCGACGCGCATTGCAATCCGTCTATACCTGCCTTATTCAGAAACGACCGCCATGTTCGATGAGATGAGCTGGGTGGGTTGTTTGTCCTCGATCTTGTCAGTTTCCAACAACGAAGTGCTCGCCCGTGCCGGCTGGAACCCCCTATCCCTCTACATCCCGTGTGCGCTCCAGACGCCTCCCATATTTGCACCAGTCGACTCCATCAGGCTCTGTCCCCAGTCCGCCCAGTTGAAGTCCTCGTCCATGTTCACATCAATGTCCTCGGGTTGAACGTCGGTATTTCCAGCAGGCAGCGGGAAGCTGAACGCCCTCGCCGGCGTGCTCGCACTCATTGGTCCGCCGCCCCCACTGCTTGCCGTCGTCACAGAACCAGGGGTGCCTCCAAACGTCTGCGCCGCGGTCGTCGCAACCGGCGCGTCGCTCCACAACCACGGGGGCAGATTGCCCTCGACTTTGAGCGCGTCGACAAGAGGTGTTTGCTGCATTCTTGGGTCGGTCGACATCGACGTCCCAGGTACCGTGCGATTCGATGCCGCATCGCCATTGCCATTGGCGAAGTTCGCAAGAGTCGGGTCCTGCCTCGGAATGGGGTCGCTGAAGGGGAAGCCCACATTGTTCGTCGCAGCACGTGCGATGTCCGCGTATTGAGGTGAGAAGGCTATGGGCCAGAAGCTGTCGGGCTGGAAATGAGGCTGGTTCATGACGTTCTCAACAATCTCCATGGCCCTCTCGTCACCTACATTCTGACCAGGCAGCCCACCACCGATGCCCATGCTAGTCGGCACCTGTGACGGCGGGACAGAATCGCCCTGTTGTCCTGATGGTTTCTGTTGCGATTGTTGCGGTTGCTGCTGTTGGAGGAAGGGCGCGAAAGGTGTATTTTGCTTTTCCAGCTCGGGCGGTAGGCGCGGTGCGTTCACGAGCTTCCGCCACCGCTCGTTGGCTACTGCAGTCTTGACTGACCCAGGCATGGCTGCGAAGCTTGCCGGTGCCCCCGCGCTTCTGCGCTCTTGTAACTCCAATTCCTGCGCAGCCGAGGGGTCGGCCTTCAATCGAGAAATTTCCCCTTCGCGGTGCTTCTTGGCCTTAAGGTAGATCTTCTTGAGCGGTAACCAGACCGATTGATCTCCTGCTATACGGTTCAAATCCTCAGGATTGGGGCTCGCAAAAGTAGCATTCAAAGCTGCCCATGCTCGCTCGACAGCAGCGCTCCATGGGCGACGAACGACCTCCATCAGCACGTATGCGACAGCGTGCCAGGCTGTGTAGGTCTGGAAAAGCCAGCGCCACGGCCTAGACCGTGGGTCTGAGTTGAGCTGGTGGTTGTACTCGAAAATCTCGGTGGCTGCGGTGAAAATGCGATCGCGGATTTCGCTGGACAGTGTCTCGCCTTCAGGCCCAGGGAAGAGCATAGGTTGATAAATGACAAGCGTCATCTTTGCGACAATCACGCGGGCTATGTTCGCCGCCGTCCATAGAATCGGATCTTGCGAGGCGTCTGGACCCAGGAAGAATTTCCCCTCCACGCTCGCGTATACCTCTCTGACCATGTTCTCGCGTTCTTCAAAAGAAATTGCTGCGTCCCGAGGGCAGGACCCTGCATTTGCTGATGACATGGTGTGCAAACGCCTCGCAAGTCCGCAAATCTCGTATCTGATCAGCGAGAAGGTCATGTCTGTCGAGCCTTGCCGTGGCTGAGGCATCTCTGTCATTTCTGGTGTAATGTCTGCGTCGTTGATGTTGAGTGGGAACTCGGTATCGAAGGTCCGGTCGATGATGGTCAAGTCAGTGCCCTGATCCTCGGCTGCTCGAAGGTCCAGAATGCAAAGCGCCCAAAATAGTCGCCGCCGCATTTCAATCTCCAATGGCGTCAAACCCGGGAACGACGTCCCATCGCGATGAAGGCCCATCGACTGCCCCATTCGAACAGCGAGCCCTGTCAGTGTCCAGGACACTCGAGTATCATCGTGACGTCTAACCAGAACCAGGAAGAGGATGAAGGCCTGGAGGACAACCATTTCAGAAGACACCAAAAACTCGGCTTTCGCAAGAGACTGCTCCAACGCAAATCGATACTGCGAAATCAACCTTGGCCTGTCGACTCCAAAGTTCTTCTTGGTCTGTCCCCTGTTAGTACTAATAAGCAGAATAAGGACCGCACAGCCCACTCACATCTTCCTCGTCCATAGAGGTGATGGCTGCAAAGTAGATTGCAAACATAAGAGCTTCATTCCCGGGTGTCAAGCTATCCAGATTTTTTCGCGTCTCTTTCACGAGGTTTTCGACGGTCGGCACGTGTAATACCTTGACAATAGGGTCCACATTCTCTTGGTAAACCTGCCACATGTACGGTATTTGTGAGGGTAGTGGATGCAAAGATCTCAAGTCGACATCGGCTGATCTATATCCAAGAACAAATGCGTGGTGATCACCTCCTGATCGATTGTTCGCGGTGGCTATTATGCTCTCGTCGTCCGAGTCACTCGATTCCTCGTCCGTGAGCTTCTGGGTCTCGTGTCGCAGCTCGTCCAGCTAAGTTGTGGTCGGTCAGCCATATGTGTTCCCATTGCACAGAGCCTAGAACTGGTGACTGCACCTACCTCGTCTGTAATCTTGGACCAGAATGCACTGCTGACATATCTGGTCTTGCCATGGTCATTAATCACCAGCCTCCCAAACTTCTTGTTCACGTTGTCGTGTCGCGCCGCTGGGGTGCCAGCGCTGGAATTGAAATTGTAAGGGGCCGCCATCCTGCCGTCACCCGGCCCTGAGGGCGACCCCTGACTATGTGTACTGCCTGCCGTCATACTGTCTGCTCTTTCCAGTCGAGGCCCAGAGCCAGGCGTGTGGAAGTCGGTGGCGGCATTGGCGGCCGTGGTCTCTGGGGAATTGCCGCTGCTAGAGTGATTCCTCGCTGTCTCGACCTCGATCTGTCCGCTCAGCTCCTCGACAATGCCCTCCAGCTTCCGCAGTCGCTTCATCAATTCGATCTCGCGTTCGCTGGAGGGCTGTTTGGGTGGTGCATTGGGGTCCTTTGGTCGCGGGCGGCGCGGTGCGCGGCCGGGGGCGGGGAAAATGCATGGGATCTGGGCTCGACGGCAGTTCGAACATGGCATGTGCTTGTCGCAGCGTACTTTTCTCCTCCGACAAGTGACACAGCTGCGCGGGTTCAGACGATCGGAGGGCGTGGCCGTCGGCGTATACACCTGTGCGCCTGGAAAGGCAGGGTGTGAATGCGGCTGTGGGGATGTGGTGTTGTGGTTGAATGCGCCATTGTTGCTGGGCGAGTCGGTGGACGAGGGCAGGTTGAAGTCGGCGAAGGACTCGTCCGGGCTGGTCGGGTTGGACGGATTCGAGCCAGAGGTTGGGGGAGGCCCCGTGTTATCCATATTGAAGCTTGGACTATGGTCTGAACTGGGACTGTCTGTCTCACAGGGACCGTGCAGAAGTGCCGCAATGAGGAGAGACGAACGATCGCGGCCAGGCCAGACGAACAGTCAGTCAGTCAGTCAGGCTCGGCTCAGCCTTGAGCGTGGACTTGTCTCTGCGCTGGAACTCCTGTATGGTGCGGATTTCCCAACCCTGTCCGCCAGAAATTGGGAACAGGCTATCGGTTGGAGGAATGGGAGGGTTTCAAGGCTGAGTGAATAAGTTCTGGATGCAAGGCGGCGAGGTTGTGTTGAATTTAGTTGGGGTGCCGTGGGAGCCGCTGTGCCGTGCGGCGCGGTGCGACTCAAGCTTTGGAGAGGATGAGCAACCCGGACCTTGCCCTGGTCTCGGATCGACGATACGCGAACGCTTCCCTTTTCAGTGGTTGGGATTGGGATTGGGACTATGAGTGGGAGGGGGGAGTGAGAGTCTTCCAGAAATTGGCGAGGCTGAGGCACTTGAAATCTGGACTTGAACCTCGACGGCGAGGGCAAGGCAGGAGCAATCTGATAAGGGCAGTGCAGGGCCGGCGAATTTGCTCATCGGCTGCAGTGTTCGGGCAAAGGGACAGGAAGAGAAGAAGGTGTGAGTGAAGATTAGTCTACCGGGTAACGGTTGTAAGAGGAAGACCAGACCAGCTCAACCCAGCCCAGCCCAGCCCCTGGGCCACTTGGGCAAGTTTGAGGGTCCATTTCTTCTGTCTGACTGACGCTCCCGCTCCCACACTCCGTTTCCACACTCCGTCTCTGTCACGCTCTCCAACCTGCTGGCTTCTGCCTTCTGACTCCTGCCTCCCACCACCAGCCCAGCGCCAGCGCCAACGCTACCACCGCCGAAAGACCGACGGACGGGCGAGACCGTTGCATGGCGTTGCGCTCCCGTTGCGGGACCGGCTGGCTTTGCAGCTCTGCAGCTCTGCAGCTCTTTTGCAGGAAAATTATGTCAGCGCGGGGCACTAACAGCAGGGGGTGCACAGGGTGCACCTGCAACCGGTCTACCCAGTCAGGCCTAGCACCGATCCGCGAGGCTTTATTCCTTATGAGGCATCTCTTCATCGGCACTGACAATCCTTGTCCTGCCGTACGTATAGATACGCACTTTATCACGTTTATCACGGCACGCATCGAGATCCAATGTCCCATAATTTTCCTGTATTCTTCCGAGTCATGCCTGCCCCAAAACAGGTTGTCCACAGGTTTGTCTGTCCAGAAGTCTGTTCAGAATTAGATTCTATGGTGAGGTCAATCACAGATAGCCACCAAACTATCGTGTCTCGAAAACTCGACTGGGTACAGTATGTTGGAGACAATCGCTACCTAGGTACCCCAGCAATGCAGGCGGAAGACTCTCCCGCTCTGCCCCAATGCTACCTGAGTGGTCGGTGAGAGCCAATGGCTGCATAGGGGCTTGTTGACCGAAACTCTGGTATGCATTAGCACGATTAGGTGCTGCGTGCTGGGCGATCGGCTCTGCGTCTCCGTCTGTGGGCTGCTTGCTATACAGCTATAGTATGCAGATTTACACCTGCGAGTGTCTTAGCGCTATCCTGCTGCCAACAGATGTGGTCAATGGCAGCCATTGCATTAGTTAGTGGTGACGCTCTGGCTCTGGCCTCGGAGCCTTGGCGGGTAGCATCCACGGCTGCTGAGCCGAGCCGAAACACTCGGCCGAAGTCTGACGACCTCACTGGCTGGAACAACTCTTTTGTCGGTCATGCGCGCCCTGTCATGTAGTCCTCGGTGCCGACGCGCCTCCGATCTCGCTGGGCACGCTTAATGACGGATTCAGAATGGCTCTTTGTGTGATGAGGAGTCATATACGCAATAATAATACAGCACGTTATTCTACAGTAGGCTATGCTATTGGAAGGCTGTCCCGTGTGGGCTTGCCTAGAAACAAGTTCCAGGATTAGTACTTCGAGGTACGATGCCAATTAAAAGCGATTCCTTCCAGCATTAGAGGCACCATCAATCCATCAATTAACATTGGTACCTGGGCACGTATTTGAACTCCTGCTGTACGTAGACTTTAGTTGCCAGGATGAAGACTCAAGTATAGCTCCAGTTCCGCCTGTAAACCCTTATCATGCCGGTTGCCCAGATATATGAATAATGCTCCTAGCAGCGCCTTGAAACATTACCATAGGCCAGAAAATGTAATTGCTTCGGATTGAGTGGTATCGTCCTCATGCTGTGGTGAATTTTACTTGCGCCGTTCCTCCACATGAGGGATCACCTCGGCTTGCCCGGCCAAAAATGGCCGGCTTGAGTGTACCTCGGCTCCGCGCAGCGCCACCTTAACCAGACCATCATTCCCATCTGGACATCTGAAGGACGCCCAAACCCGCTGTAATAATGACTACAGCCCGGTGTCTCCGCCGTGGGCTCAGTGGAAATCGCATAACTTTCCCAGGATTTACAGGCCCCTCCCAGGTATTCTCAATCCGGTCCCCTCGCGGTGCTGCGCGCTGCTCATCGACTGCGATATCAAACGGCAGAGTGCGTCACCAATCTAAAAACCTGGGACCGCCCGGGCTATGCGCGTCTAGTATGCCTCGGTCTCAGGGTCAAGCTCGTCAGCTCTCGTCAGCCGGCTCTCCCAAGAGCGAGAAGCCGTCCATCGCGGAGGCACGGCCAAGCTCCAGCATCATCCTTCTCTCCCCTACCAACCAGGTCCTGCTCCTCCACCGAGTTCAGACATCAAGCTCCTTCCCCTCCGCACACGTCTTCCCCGGTGGAAACCTGTCGCCCTTCCACGAGCCTCCCGCCCCGCCGCCCGACTCACGCGAGCGCCATGCGGACTCACTGGCATACCGCCTCGCCGCGGTGCGCGAGACGTTCGAGGAGTCCGGCATCCTCATCGCCAAGCGCTCCCTGGCAGACGACGTGCTGCTCGTCGTGCCGGAGGTCGAGCGCGAGAAGGCACGGCGCGAGATCCACGGCGACAAGGTGAGGTTCACCGAATGGGTAGAGGCTGGACTGGGAGGCACGCTGTGCGTGGACGACCTGGTGCCCTTCACCAGGTGGGTCACGCCGCCCAACATGCCGAAGCGCTTCACGACGCAGATGTACCTCTATTTCATGCCGCTGGCCGACTCACCGCGGACGCCCGGTGGCGGGGGCGACGGGCCTGTCGACGTGGATGTCGTGCAGACGCCAACGTCCGACGGCGGTGTCGAGCACACGGCGGCCACGTTCGCCGACGCGTCGGAGTGGTTGCGACAGCAGAGCAAGGGGGAGATCGTGCTGTTCCCGCCGCAGTGCTACCTCCTCACCCTCGTGGCGCAGATCTTCGACTCGGTATCCCTCGAGAGTGTCGGGGGTGATGCGGAAGCCAGGTATGCAGCGCAACGCAGAGCCCTGGTCGACTTTGTGCGCCGGACGCCCACGACGAGTAGAGGTGAGGCGGGCGGCAAAGCTCTGCATCCATCGGCGTTGATCCCGTGGTCGGAGAAGGTCATGAGCCCACACACGCTATTTATACGGGATAGCGATGACAGGATCGTGCTGGGAATCGATAAACCTGGCCCGGAGCTGAAAGGCAGTGGGGCAGGTGGTGACTTCGAGAGGGTCGTTTTGGTTAAATTTGCCAAAGGAGGGCCTCAGGACGTTGAGGTTAGAGGAAGAGATGAGGTCTTAAGGGAAGAAAAGGCCATTAAAGAAGCGGGCAAAGAAGCAGGGAAACTTTAGATACGGGACAGAGACTCAATAAGACCCCGTCGATTTCCCTGCAAAAGCATCTGGCGTTTATTGTACGAGATTCTGGGCTAAGTCCGTATGGCGGAATAGCAAGCCATTTAGTCGGTCTCCATCGTACAAAATCGTACATACTGTATATCGCAGCAATTTGAGAAGCCCTTCTCGTGTGCAGTAATCGAATTACGGGCCAAAATTTACGCGTACGTTTATACATACCCAGACCTTTAAACCAATATACCCTGTGGAAGCGGGTCCCGCATGCATACACCTGTATACAAAATGTCCTATAGTCCTTGAATGCACCCAAGCGCTAGAGCTATCAAAGTCGTTTCCTCTCCGTGCCACGCCAGGTCCCCCGCCAAAGGCAACATATACTCTTCGACTCACACCACTTCTTCACATCCATGGGCGACGCCTCGCTATCATAGCCCACCCTCGTCAACTGGCCTGCGTTCAGCCAGGCAGTAAGGTCCTCTAATATGATCGGGTCATACATGAGCATCTTCTCATGCCATGACGGGTTCTCTGGGTCGGTCGTCCGAGGCGCTGACGTAATGGCTCTCGTGATGTGGCTAAACAGCACAGACTGCTGTGCTGTAGGGCTGAGGTTGAGAGATATCTCCGTATCCTCGTTAATGGACATGTCCACAGCCTCACCCCCAGGCGAGGTAAAAACCCGTTCCGGTGAAGAGAGGCCTGCAGAGTCGTCGCTTTCAAGGTCAGAATCCAATACCTCTACCCGTGCTCGAGTGCCTGTTTTCCGACGCTTCGGCGTCGAAGCGGAAGGTTGTGCCTTCGTCGGCCGGGGTATGATGGGATCTGCTGCTGCCGATGCCGATGCATCCTTGCGTGGACGACCGCGCTTCTTCGGCGGCGATGCAGTACTTGCCCCTTCAGATGCCGCTACAGGCTCGCTGGTGACCACATCAGGGACTTTCTTTGGCTTCGCACGCGGTCTCTTGGTTGATGAAGAAGCTGTCTTGGGCGTCGCTGCAAAACTCGCCTTCTTTCCTTTCGGACTGGCTGATAAGGCACTTGTAGAAAACGATGCTGCTGCAATTGGAGCTTGAGTCCTGCTCTTCCAACATTGATCGAGTAGTGCAAGCATTCCACTTCTGCTCTTGACGGCCTTGAAACCAAATGAAGACACCTCCTTCGCCAGCTTAGCGTCTGTGAACAGCTCATAATTGGGCCGTGTCTTCTGAATCTTTTTCGGCATCGTAGATGAACCCTGTCCGACGTCTCCTTGGCTTTGTTGTTGGTTACTTGGTGGTGGTGCGTCGTCTTCAATGAGCGAAAATGATTGTCTAAATGACGCGTCCGAGGAGTTGGCAGCAGCGGCAGCAGCGGAGCTGATTGTGACTTTGGGCTGGGTCAAAAAGAAATGTGACTTGGGAACAGGCGGTTGTGATGATGTATTCGAGGTTGCCACAGGCATGCTCTCAATCTCAATGAGGGATGGTTCGGCGGTCTCAGTCTCGGTACCGCTAGCAGCTGGTAGCTCCGGCGGCAAGTCTTTGGAAGGATCCAAAATTGCAACCGCGTCGTCTTCGGGGAAAGGCGATCCCACAAGATCAATGATCTCGACATTTACTACTTCGCCATCTTCGTCTCTGGCACTCACTGACCAGAGCCCTCTACCGCGTTTCGTCGATTCCACGACTAAGCCGTTTGCGCGGGAAAGGTTCTCGGCAGATGGGATATTCTCACCCATGATGTTTGACGCCCGCAACGCGGCCTCAAGGTCTCTCAAAACAGTTGGTGATTCTTCCCGGGCGAGCTGACTTGATGTGCCAAAGACAAAGTCTTGTCTGGCCGATTGGCACATAGCAGCTTTAGGAGACAGAAGTACAGGCCGCTTTGGTGGTGCCTTCTTCTTTGTAACCTTCGTAGTCTTTCCCTTCCTTTTGCCTGCCGTTGTTTTGGAAACATTCCCCTCTTTATCAACGTTAAAGTATTCGAGGATTGAGTCTTCTTTGATTGTGTCCTCGGGGAGGTTGACAGCCTTCGGGGCGTATGCTGCTGTGGCGACTTCCGTGATTGTCCGAGGCTTCTTCTTGGGCGCCTTCTGCTTTATTGGAGAGACCTCGAAAGGGATTTTATTCGGTGACTGGCCAGTTGAGGTCATTTCAATGACTTTTCTCTTGCCTAACGTAATTGGCTGCGGGTTGACCGGGGCGCATGCGGGTTGGTCGGTGACTTTGTGGGCATATGCATCGTGTAGGTTCTTGAAGATGTCTCCTTTGACAGGCCCATGTTCTGATGTCAGCAAAGCTGGCGATGTGTGTGCCGGGTTGGTGCCTGATGGAGCAATTGGTGATGGAAATGTCTCCGTCCGTGTGTCGTCTCGTGGCGTCCAATCCATCCTCCTTTGTACTGCTGGCTCTAGATTGATCGGTTCCGGGGTCAAGTTCCTCGTCCTTGACTTGGTGGATCCGCCATTCTTTGCAAAATGTCCACTGACTGTCTCGGCTTTATTTGCCCTCCTCTTCTGTGTCTTCGGTTCGCGTGTTTCGACAGCATTGGCTGATGCGTCGGTGTCTCCCAGCTCCGCAGACACCTTATATCTCCTCCATGGCTTGTCTCCCAGTGGGCTCTTCTCAATGCCATTTTCGCAATCGTTGCTTTTGAATTCTGCGCTTGTATCATCGCCGTTGCCCTTGGGCGTGACTCCATCCGAGGACAGCACGATCACCTCCTTCGCCACACGTTTTGGGGGCTTGGTCGTCTTGCGCTTTGGCTTGATGGCGGTCTTCTTCAGCGCAGGCTTCTCTGGCTCGTCGATGATATCGGAACAGTCGTCCACACCAGCCTGTGCACTGCGGAGTAGATCCGCAGCGCTCGTGAACGTCGTGGTTGCACTCGCAGGGATTGGCAGAGCAGCACTTCCGCTACGCAGCGCTGTCGCTTTCGGCTTTTTGGTGGCAAATTCTTTGATATCGGGAAGAGGCGACGAAGAAAGCATCATGAGTCGTTCATGCGACGTGTGGGCTCCCGGCGAAGTCGCGATAAGGCTGCTGCTAGCCATTGATGATGATCGTAGGGCGGGGCTCCAACCAGAGAAGCGGCTGCGCCACGCGCATTGTTGGAAGTTCGGGAGCTTCAGTGTGAACGGAGGATACGTGTGTCTGCGGTGCAGCTGACACCGGTATGTGAGTGAATTCTGAGAATTGGAGGTATTGGATTGTTGGCTTTCGCATGCATGGTGTTGGCTCCCCTTCCCAGCAAAACAAAGGCACGCTCCCCTGGCGACTGATGGCCCGAGGCTCTTGGCACAGCGCGTTGGTTCCACGAGATCAGCTGGTCAATGGGCAGCCACCCGCCATCTGACTAAGAAGGTACCTGGGTACATCCAGCAAAGACGCCAAGCGTGGAAAAAAGCGGGCGGACGCTCGGACCAGCCCACCAAAGTCGAGAAAGTCAGTAAATTTCAGCAAACACCATCATCACCCAAATTCAGTGAACCGGAGACCTCGACTGGACGACTTTCTTGACCCCCGACAAACCCACTCAACCCGTTTAACCAGACAACCCCCCAAAACCACCGCCAAAATGGAAAACGACCGTGGCGAGATCGTCGATCTGTAAGGGCAAACCTCTCTCCGGGCCTCGACTGCAGATGGAAACGAAGGACAGCGGAAGGAATGCGTGTGTTCAAAGTCGGAACAAGATTGGCTAATCCACCCCTCTCACTTCAACAGCTACGTCCCCCGCAAGTGCTCTGCCACCAACCGCATCATCAAGGCCAAGGACCACGCCTCCGTCCAGATCTCCATCGCCAAGGTTGATGAGTCTGGCCGCGCCGTCTCCGGCGAGAACCACGTCTACGCCCTCTGCGGTTTCGTCCGTGCCATGGGCGAGTCCGACGATGCCCTGAACCGATTGGCCCAGCGTGACGGTCTCGTCAAGAACGTCTGGAGCGGTCAGCGATAAATGGGAGGTCGGGAATTGAAGGCGTGAAAGAACATGGGAACATGAAGGTATGCTCGGGCCCGGCCATTGATCGCGCGGTCGCATCGGTCAACAGCGCGACATGGTACAGCACAGCACAGCAGATCGGGCCATACTGATAGTTTGTTGCCTCACAGGGCTGCGGTTGTTTGTTTTGGCATCTCGGAATGGCTGGACATTGGGCATCAAAGATGATGCTTCATGGAGTTAGACGGCACGGAACTGCATCTTGCCAGTATTGAGATCTCACGAAACCAACGTCCCCGGACTTTTCTCGAAACAATTCGATACCCGGACGAGCCAAACATGAATGTGACGAACATCCCTTCGAACCCCATGCGCTTCATCGTGCTCTCTATGCGATCGTGTCGTACCAGCGTTGTGCACACTTCCTGCGACCGTGCCTACCATGCGTGAATTGCCTCGGCTGGCGAAGTCTGTCCGGATGCGCCTGCGGGAGCAACTCATATCCGGGGATTCTGGGGCTACCTCGATAGCTCCCATGCCGTAGATCGACCAGGCCTTGAAAAAGCCGCGGCGCTCAAGGTGTACGCCGTGGTACAGATACGGGTCTGACATTTTCATTTGCCAACTCGATCCATTCATCGGCGGATGATCAGTCTTTGAACGACTGCTATTTATCCCTGCCAAGCGCAGCTTTCTCGTCCCTTGGATTCCTTCTAACTCTTGTGATAGAGAAAGTGTTGTAGAAACCCGGCGAAAAAAAATACAGCCAAATGTGTAGGCCAGGAATGAGGTGACCCGTCACAAGTAGAACGACGACCACATCAAGGGCCTCAACAACCGGGTAGTTCAGGTCCGTAAGGTCCCTTGCGTCCACGCGTGGTTTTGCAGCTGGAGCTTGGGACCCTCTCTGTAGGACAACCTTAAAGGTGCGCGATGACTTTCAACATGACATGTGTCAACTGATCTCCAAGATTCTCCTATCGACTAACGTATACTGCCTATGAAGCACTGCACCTATTAAACTCTGTTGGACGTGTCTTCGATGCTTGCGGATCCTATCAGCCCTCGTCCGGAAAGCTGCTTAGAACCTTCCACGAAGGAGCGATGGGGTCCAAAGTACAGGATTTTGATCACACAGAACCTCTCGGAAATACTACCGACTCTACTTGGCCACTTATGGTACCTGCCAAATATGAAGACTTGCAGATATTTGAGGTCCTGCATTGAGACAAAGCATGGCATGTTCCATGACTGGGTGGTTCCCAATTTACTGGTGACTGAGCTCAGCCCGCTCGATTTGATCGATGGTCAGCGTTGACTGGCAAAAGCTCCTCGTGTTCTATGCCTAAACAGCTCCTCCCTGTCGGTAACCTACTAGATCGATGCCAATGCTCCCAGTCGGCACGCCTAAGCTTGTCCAGAGACACGACATACAGTGACTGCACGTCTCTTACCGCTGGAAACAACACTGTGCATTATATTCCATACTTTTCAAGAGCGCACTCATGGGAGTACAATGAATGAGCTTTAGCAGCTTCGCTTCTCAGTCCGTTAACTGGAAACGTGGAATTCAAGCCCATATCCTTTCATCGACTATACCAACACGTGGTGGCTATCTCCTAGGCTCCTCAGGCTCCCAACCCTGCCCTGTCCTGCCCTGGCAGCCGGTTGGGGCAACGCGCCGGCACAGGCGCGCTAGCCAGGAACAATGGTCGATCTGCAGGGCCCATGACGCAGATAATGAGATCGAGAGATCTGGAGAACCGCGACCAATCCACTTTGTTACCATTTGGGCGGAATCATGTGAAGGGTTAGCCTGTAGGTCTCAATAGGTAGTTTGTAGTAATTCAACTTTTGACTTTGCAACTCCGTCTCACATTTCACTTCATGAGTTTACATTGTGTTCATTTTGCAGCAAGATCGTGCATTGGATCATCTACCAGAGTCCGCCTACTCGCAACAATGGCATCCAAACGCAAAGCACCGCCAGCCACTGGTCTGGCCAACGGGGCCACCACGAAGAAGCCAAAGACAGCATCCCTCTCTGATCCCCACCCATTCCACAAAGAAGCAGAGGAGCACGGCATAGTGTTGCGGAAATACTACCCTCACGAAATGAGCAATGCCCGTGCTCTAGCATACAACGATAATGCGATCGCTCGTCCCATCGAAGAGCTTCAGTCCGCACTACAGCAGACCATTGCTGCTCGCAAGAAGGCGAAGGTCGGCGAATCCGTAGTACACTGGTTCAAGATGGATTTGAGGATAAAGGACAACACAGCACTCTCGCTGGCGAGTCAAAAAGCCAAAGACGCAGGCGTCCCGCTGATTGGGTTGTATGTGGTTAGCCCGCAGGACTGGGAGGCGCACCTGACTGCCCCCATCCGTGTTGATTTCATGCTGAGGACGCTGGAGGTTTTGAAAGCCGACTTGGCCAAGCTAGATATTCCATTATACGTTGAGGTGTCGGAGAAGCGGAAGATCATCCCTGAGAGGATTGCTGCTCTGATGGACGACTGGGGTGCGAACCATCTCTATGCCAACATGGAGTACGAAGTCGATGAGTTGCGGCGAGAAGCAGACATGGTGAAAATGTTGGCCGGGCAAGAGAAGGCTTTCGAGATGGCGCATGATACATGTGTCGTGCCTCCTGGCAAGCTCATCACCGGGTCGGGGAGGCAATATGCTGTATACTCTCCATGGTATCGCTCCTGGGTCGCACATGTCCATGCTAATCTGGACCTATTGGAGACGTTCGAAACCCCAGCAAAGAACCCCCCTTCTGCGAGGCAAAAGTACGGAAAGCTCTTCGACAGCGATATCCCAGAGGCACCAGCGAACAAGAAACTCTCGGCCGAAGACTCGAAGAGATATGCCTCTATCTGGCCGGCCGGAGAGCATGAGGCGCACAAGAGGCTAGCCAAGTTCTGTGAGGAGAGAGTTGGCACGTACGGCGCGAAGCGAAATTTTCCTTCGCAGAATGGAACCTCGACGCTGTCAGTCCACCTCGCAAGCGGGACAATCAGCGCGAGAACTTGTGTAAGGACGGCCAGGGACCGCAATACCACCAAGAAGCTCAATGCTGGGAATGAGGGGATCCAGACGTGGATCAGCGAGGTTGCTTGGCGGGATTTCTACAAGCACGTCCTCGTGAACTGGCCGTATGTATGCATGAACAAGCCTTTCAAGCCTGAATACTCCAACATCGAGTGGTCGTACGACAAGGACGAGTTCAACGCGTGGACTCAGGGCAAGACTGGCTTCCCCATCGTTGACGCTGCCATGAGGCAGGTCCAGCAGATGGGGTACATGCACAACCGCGCTCGCATGATTGTCGCTTCGTTCCTCTCCAAGGACCTGCTCATTGACTGGAGGATGGGTGAGCGGTGGTTCATGGAAAATCTGATCGACGGCGATTTTGCATCGAACAATGGCGGCTGGGGCTTCTCTGCCTCGGTGGGAGTGGACCCGCAGCCATACTTCCGAGTGTTCAATCCGCTGCTGCAGAGCGAGAAGTTCGATGCTGACGGAGACTATATTCGGAAGTGGATTCCAGAACTTAAAGATGTCAAGGGTAAAGCTATTCATGATCCATACGGCCGAGGGGCCGGGGCGATTGCGAAGAAGGCTGGTTATCCGAAGCCGATGCTTGAGCACAAGGGCTGTAGGGAGAGGGCGTTAGCAGCTTACAAAAAGGGCATTGGAGCTGAGAAGTAGCCAGACATGTTGCTGATAGCTCAAAGAGAATACCAAATTCTTTTCATGCTCATGGCCGGTCTGATGCATGGATCTTGCAGAATTTATTCAAAGGCCATGGAGTCTACATCGAGACAGTGTCCCATGCGTATCTCACAAACCATTTGCTAAAGACTAATTCTCAGTTCCCTCGATTACTTCGGTGGTCTGAATAGACACCAAGTATGGGCCTGTGTATGTGACTTGAAGTGGTTACAGATTTTCCTCCACATCTAGAACGGAAGAAGCAGCAGCGTCGACTGCAAGCCCGTAAACCAGCGTACCTTCCCATTGAACGCGTACCGAATTTGTGTGCAATGCGTACCTGTGATCTTCAACCCCAATCTTAGACCTCGAGCTCCCCTTGTCGAAAACCTGCGAATCTGCAGGACAGTTTGACTGGACGCGTCAAGCTCGACTTCGACCTCGACCTCCCTCTCAATCCTCACCTCATCGCCTGGACTTTGACTCCTCGACCGCGACCTCGAATCCTACTTCAAGCCGTACCAACCTGCCCCTCTGATTTCGAATATCAACAACTGCTTATTTGAGTCCCTTCACGCGGCAATACCATGCCTCTCAAACGAGAAGCTGAGCCGTTCATCAAGCCCGACCCAGACGCGAAGCGCGTCAAAAGGGAGGGTGGTGACGACAACTTTAGTCTTTCATCGATTCCAATGGCACCTCCTTCCGCCGCCTTCGCATCTTCGAACTCTTTCACCATCGCTCCCAAGACCGAGGTCGGAGATCACAAGCCTCTCAGTCTGGTAAGTGGTTCACAATGTCCTGCCGTTTGTCATCTATTCCTCGAAAGCACCGCAGCATGCCGATAAGCCCTCGACCCCTAAATCCCTGCACACTGACTGCCACTTTGCTTCTGTCGTATCAGCGCTGTCCGATGAAATGGCATCGTGTTCTTCTGGTACGTTCTCCGCTGACACACTTGTCCCATTGCTCAAGGCTCCCAATTATGGCGGAGCCACTCTCAACAACCGCAAGAGAAAGTTCGGCAACACCATCAAGGCTTGGCGCGGTAATGTCTGCGTCTCGGCCCATTTCAACAAGAGGAACATGGAGGTGGATTTCACGATTCGTGGCACATATCCGAAGCAGTGGCCCTCCATGGAAGTGGAGGCCGAGATTTTCGAGAGGCTCAATAAAGCCAAGTTCGAGATTCAGCCGGCTGAAAACTGGGGCTTTCTCGACCGCAAGGTCTTTGCACATTTAGACAAGGTATGTTTAAACTGATAAGCGCTTGGGATGAAATCATAGCTAACCACTTACCCCGTTTATAAGGTCACTACTCCAGCCACGTTGAATTCCAGATGCACAGTGCGCGTCAAAGATATGGGCGTAAAGAAGGATGAGAACTTTCCTCTTTACTTCAAAAAGGAGGAGCACCTCTCTCAAACAAAGAGCGAGCATCTTGGTTAGACAATCACCGACGCGAAGATGATCGGCTTTTGCACACATTCGAGAAAGGATTGACGGAAGGATTCTGCTATCATCCAGCAATGACACCACTTCCTTGCCAGCTGCAGTCGAATTGGCAGTAACAAGTTGTCGACTTCCGTACAACGATTACAAAGACACGCATCACTGTTGCTTTTGCGAAGTATGGGAGCGAGTTTTAGATGTGCTAGTCCTGTAAGTCTGCCATAGTCGGATGAGAGGGAATCGAGGCAAAAGTAAATGAGGCCATACAGCCCTTAAGAGATCAGGACCCTCACTCAACAATTAATCAACCCTCTTTCCAAAGATGGGCAGATGGAGAGAAATAAATTTGCTCGTTCTCAAATTCTTTGCGAATCCGTCTCTTCATGAATGTGACTTCCCAACTTGGTATGTACTGTATATGCATGTGGTTATTCGATGAACGTACAAACTTTGGGGCAAGTCAGAAGCCCGAGTAAAAAAAAGCTTACCTTTACGCAGGGGCAATATTGCTTAGGCGTTGCTGTTTCAAAGATCGAGCCACCCCCAGGGGCATGCAGCACATGGCTGAAACGCCTGCTGTCCCGATGAGACACTGGAAGTGGACCACCGAAACTACGCGGCTCGACAACTTATATATTCTAACAATTCCGCTCCTGAACTGCTTTGTTCTGGAGGTTTTCTTCTGCAGTCCCTTTGTTTCCCGGGGTTCAGCTCCTCGGCGGTTGTTGAACTCGTCAAAAGTCTGGGCCCCGACCAACACGACATGGCCCATGACGTCCGACTCGCGCCCTGCGACTCGAGAACCTCGGCACAAAAACCCAACCGTGACCGAGGAGCCATCGACAACGATGTTTTCAGTTCCGCCTCTTGAGCTCCGTCTCCCCTGCGACGGAAGATCGGAGGTGTCGAGCACCGAAAGCCATCACATGCGATCCGCATCACGATGGAGCAGGACCGCAATTTGCCGGTTCCTGCTCGCGGTGATCGTGTTGAGCGCAAAATTCTCCGTCGGCTGACTGGGGCCCGTCTGCTACCTCCCGCCGCAGATGTCAACAACAATACCAACCCACCCAGTCAGCCAGATGTCGAGCCCCCCGTCCGGCCCCTACTGGAGGCATCAGTCCTGGCCGCTTGGCTGGGACTGGGCTGAAAGTGGTCGCGTTGTCGGATTAGTACCTGTCTGACCCACACTTCGAGATCTCGTCTACGGTTACTTGACCCATGGGGCAAGATCTTGGGGTGGTCGTGTTTGTCGGACAAAGCCCGTCTGGCCCCGCTGGAAGGCCTTGCGCACATCTCACACACTGGATGAGCGCGGCCTGGAAGCCGGAGAAGTCGGACGGGCGCCATCTTCCGCAGAAAGTTTAGACGACGTCACGCCCGGTTCCCTTTTCCTCTCGTCAGGGGAGACACACACACACTACAATACAATCACTTTACTACGCACAAATGTGTGTCTGAGGAAAAGCCAAGCACGACAATTGGAACCGGATTCGTTCGACGCTCGGTCTCGCGCGCCCATGGAAGTGTCGACTCTCCGCCGGAAGCATATTCTCTGCCCCGCCACGGTTCCTGCAACACCGCAAGTTGAGCCGTGTGGTGTGAGGCGGAGGAGCTGGAGGTGATTGCGAGTCCGCTGGAATGGAAGCCGCGCGGATCTTTGAGAGAAGAGCGAAGGGATTTCGTCCTGGAGGCGTTGAAGATGGAACTCAAGTCAGCCCCTCGTAATGCAGAGTGTGGGGCAAATTACTGTGCCTGATGAAGCGCTTGGGAAGAGACTATTGAACTATGGCCGTGATCATCCTCCTTCGGGTGGTAAGGCCGGCTAGCTTTGGTCTTGGAAATTGTGTGGAGGGTCCCTTGTTGGAGTGCCTGGACCTTTTCGTGGTGCAAGGGATAAGATGCATCATTTGATTCAAGGTGTATCGACGAACACAGGCAGAAAATCCAGACGATAGTAGATCATTTAGGATCATTCGAATGCTTGCATTGCTTCTATAGAATACATACATAGAGGTAGTCTTGATTATCAAATTACAGAGTATCACTGCCGATGACTGGCTTTGCAGAAATCGTCTTCTTGACGGGAAGCGATCTGAACACTGAGGTCCTGTGCTCGTCGAAGGCGCTCCAGCAGACAGCCCTTGCACATGAAGAACTCTTTTTGCGTACAGAAGCCTGCCCTTGAACGCAGTAGTGACAGTCACGCTAGACGCCTGCCGGATACATTTCTCGAGTAATGGATCCGGCAAATTTTCAGTCACGTTGGTTTCGGGTAGCTGGGAAGATCGGTGTTCAAAAACTGAAATACACTCTGGGCTGAGTTCGCAATGCCGGGTCGCCTGCCCTCTAACTTTCATGCCTTGCCAAGGGCAAAAGCTCCTCGATCAAACTGCTGCTTGATTAAACTTGAACAGTTGACAACCCAAGGCATTACTGCGAATTTTGAGAATTTCTTCAATAAACAAGCAAGACGAAGCATGATTCATAAATGAAGGCTGGAGTTGGTTTATGCTGAGGCAAACTTCAGGGTACGCGCTCAGGGCACCCCATCACCCAATAGGCGCTTGCCCGACTAGGAGCTAGCACTAACCACGGCACGCAACCTGGTCCGTGCCAGCAAAAGAGTTAGCCGCAGTGCTGCACAGTAGCCCAGGGTGCCAGGTTCAGCGGCCCGGCCCACTTAGACTCAAATTTTCACAAGTGGATATCGCATATAACCTCAATTTTCTCAGCCGATCCTCAACGAAGACACAGGCGTCTTTCGAGACGCCCGGCTAGCTCAATCGGTAGAGCGTGAGACTCTTAAGAACCTCACGATTCTGACAGAGATACATCTCAAGGTTGTGGGTTCGACCCCCACGTCGGGCTCAATTCCCGGCGAACATCGCCTCATCTTTTGCCTTTTTGGCTGTCGTGTCGAGGATGGGCTTTGTCGACCTTGGTGTGGCTATCCTGAGCTGGGTTGGACTGTTTGTCACCCATCCACCACTGAGCAGTGCCCAAAGAGAGTCTCGTTTGATGTCTTTTTGGAGGTTATGATCTAAACTGTCCTCGCAGAGGGGGTCGTCCCACATGAACATGCCCGATGACTCATATTGACTTTCGAGATCCCGGGGACTTTTGTGCTGAACGGGTTGTGGTCATCGAGTAAAATAACGAAACACACATGATTGACTGTACGTGACAGTTTGGAACCTCCAGCGACCTGCCGTAATTGGTAGTTGGGCGTCAAGGCGTCTAGGCGTCTTCAGAGGGATGACCAAGTCAAGTAGATTCGGGAGGGTAAGATACCGTTGTAGAGCTCGTCATCTTCGATTCGTCTGCTGTGGCTTGGCAAGGAGAGCATCCCTGGAATTCTGATCAGCGCCTTCACCAAGTTGAGACTGGTGATGGAGTCAATCATCCGCGAACACGACGGTGACATCTTGTATAAGTGTCACTGTGGACTAAATAACGCCATCGATTTCCCCGTGGCGTCGAAACTCTTTCTGTGCTTCCCGTGCTTGCCAGCGAACAAAGTCTTGCTTGATTAGGTTCGCATCCATGGCAAATGGCACCAGGTGAGCTTCTTCGCCAGAACGAACACGAGAAGGCACCTCCCACGGCAAAGAACGTCCATCCAGAGATCTCAAAACACTCGGACAATCTGTGCACCACCCGCCTGGCATCCGTTGAAGTTCCGAAGGCAAGGTTAAGAAATGGCGCGGACTTATAGTAGAAGCCCCAGTTGATGTCTTGTTGTAGTGACCCGGAAATCGAAAAGCACAAGGCTTCGCAACATTGCGAGACAGACTCGTGATGGCAAGCTCAAGGAGTGACCAAGTCGCTGCACGAGGATTTTACAGCCTGGCACCCTGTTGCTCCTTGGCTTATGTCTTCACGAGTGAACTCAAGCAATATCGGGGCGTGGTCGAGAAACTGCCTCATGCGAACACGGGTCGCAATTCGAGGCTTCAGTATCCGTCGAACTCACTCGTGGCGATTGCGACCAGGGAGGGTTCGTAGCAGTGGTCTTGGCCTTCGAAACATGTCAGCTCATCGGAGGAAACAGATCTGCCAGATGTATTTCAAGCAGGGCACCGTAATGCAGGTTGCACATTGATGGCTCGAGGATGGGATGGTAGTTGGCGTTGGAGGAGACAATCTATTTAAGGGGCCGAGATGGCGCTCGCAATGGGCCGAGGTCGCCAGCCCCCACCCAGCTGTAGTGGCACCCCAGAGCCTGGAAAAGCGCCGATTGGCGAGAGTGGCCCCTATTGAAACCGCAATCCGCTGCATCCATGGAGCTGTCAGTGGCACTATGCGTTGCACTACGAGGCTGCGAGCTGCATACTACGATACTGTAGCACCGGCCCTTGACCCTCGGGCCCCACTCTACTGTCCCTTGTCAGCTTGGCTGCCGAGAACACCTCTCCGGCTCGTCCCTTTGTGACATTGGCATTTGTCCTTGGGAGGTGGCTTAGCCTGTCTGCTAGGTCGACTTGATTCCATTTCACTTCACCTTCCGCCAGCCATGGTGACCGACGTGATCCAAGTCTCCTGCACAGCATTTCTATTGTCTCGGTCCGAATCGCAGGATGGATAATCTGACCCAGCTCGCCACGGGTGTGTGCTTACCCCCCCTCCTCCTCTTCATCAGCTCTCCCTTCCAACCACGATAACCTCAATTGTCGCTGTTAAGTCGTCCTGGCGCTGACCTCGACCTCGTGTGTTTACAGACATCTCCTGGTCTTCCCTTCCGACCGAGTGGCTCCTGGCTGAGCTTGCGAAGCGCGACGATGTGGCGGACTCGAAACCTCAATGCGGGTCAGGCAGGAAAGGCTCCTATGACACGTTTATGCACGTCTTCGCCTTGGTTCTGATCCTGGCCCTGAGTACAATAGGTAAATATTCAAGACCTATTTGCTGCCGTTGGAACCGAGCCAGAGGTTATCGCTGACGTCCTGTCTCCACAGCCTGCGGGTTTCCTCTGATCTCCAGCCATTCCCGCAGCCGACGTTCCAACAGCATCGTTTTCTACTCCCAGCACTTCGGCACCGGTGTTTTGATCGCCACTGCCTTCGTCCACCTCCTACCGACTGCCTTCCAGTCCCTCAACGACCCATGCCTTCCATACTTCTTCAGCAAGGGCTACAGGCCCCTACCCGGATTTATTGCCATGGTATCCGCGGGTGTGGTTGTGGCAATCGAGTCCTACTTGACAACAAGAGGTGCTAGACACTCTCACTCGCATATGTGGGAAGATGACGAAAGCGACGACGAACGAGGAGCACATTCTGCGCACAGCGGAGGTATTCTGGCCGCCCGGCGTGGACTGAACCGGCCAACCAATATTGCCTTGGAGGATTTAGGCGCGTCGGAGGGCCTTATGGCCGGCGCATCTCCGCTTCCGGAATCAACGCCCACCTTACAAGTGAACGGGAAGAGCAGTGGTGTAGCCGGCGACTCCACAGGGAGAAGACACGACAATGACGATGAAGATCGTGAGTCGATGGATTTGGAGCTGAACATGGACGAGCTCTCAAGTGTGCCCCTTGATGGAGAGAATTCGAGGTCCTTGATGAAGCCCGATTCTGCTCCCAAGAGCCCGACAGTACCTCACATGCCAAATCCAGAAGAGCAGAGGCGTCTGATGCTGCAGTGTCTGCTCCTTGAGGCCGGCATTCTTTTCCACAGCGTCTTTATCGGGATGGCTATATCGGTCGCCACGGGCCCGCCATTTGTGGTGTTTCTCGTGGCCATCGCCTTCCATCAGACATTTGAGGGACTTGCGCTTGGCTCTCGAATAGCGGGCCTCCACCTCCCCAAATCATCGCCTCGGCCGTGGCTCATGGTTCTTGCCTATGGGACCACAACGCCTATCGGCCAGGCAATTGGGCTTATTGTGCACAACTTTTATGACCCAATGAGCCAGACGGGACTTCTCATGGTCGGCTTCATGAATGCTATCTCCAGCGGGCTGCTGCTCTTCGCAGGACTGGTGCAGCTCCTGGCTGAGGACTTTTTGACCGAGAAGAGCTACAAGACCCTGCATGGGCGTAGGAGAATCAATGCCTTCATCGCGGTTGCGGGTGGCTCAATGCTCATGGCACTTGTTGGTGCTTTTGCATGAGCGCGGATTCTGGCACCGGAGTTTGAGGGTTGGGATGCCTGGAGTATCTGATGCATGCATGGCGTTGGCGGTAGATCTAATCCGATACTGTTTATCTAGAATTGGCTTTTTTTGCCATGAGACATAAGTCGTAGAAATCTTACCAAATTCCTGCAAGACATCCCGGGTGAGCGTGGGATGACGTGCTGTGTGATATTACTCCATTTCATAAACTCTATGTACGGGTGTCATCCTGACCCTTCCAGCCTCCACTTTCACATCGGAAACTCCCTGCTCAATTGGGTTCTGTAGACCGCGATTTTGTCTTCCAGAGTGTTCGGGGTATGCATGGGACCCTGGCAGCAGTGTAAACATGTGATAGGAGTGCTTTGCGCGGTGCATTCCCATATGGGTGGATAATTTTCGCCTTCGTTGCTAATTTGAGGCCCATGCTCTTTTTCTTGATCTTTCGTGCTGTCGCCTATAGCTTGGTGGGAGTTCTGAGTGGTCAGTTGACGATGGGTCGAGTTTTCCCATCACTTCCCTGCGGTTCCGAGCTGTTCTTGTGCTGGACGATTCTGCGTCACATGTTGGTGCTGCCGGATATGATCCGACGCTCACAACTTAGAAGCGGAAGGTGAGCGCACATCGTTGGAAGCGGTGCATAGCTGCACATTCAAGCAATCTCTCTGCGTACCAAGGTCAGGTATGAATTGAGATGTCCTCATTAAGAAAATCTGCAGACATTCTCGCCAAAGTCTCAAATAGTGTCTGGGTATTAGTTTCAGTGCAAATACCGACCACAGATGGTCTGTGTTGCCAGCGGCCGCAGTAGGTGTATATACGGTCCGAATACCCGACAGACATGCGTGCATCCTAGCATAGACACTGAGTTAAGGATTTGCTCCACATGTAAGAGCAGATACGAAAGTGCCAGTACGATTTCCATGGCGAATCACACTCAGGCTGTTTTCATGTACAGCTGGTCAAAAGGTGCGCTATTGCAAGCCCATCAAGTTGTCCTCAACATCGCCACGGCATGAATGCTCATAATCAATATCTGCGCGTGCCGAGACATACATGTAATGAATAAGTATGGATAGATATAAACTAGCAGATTCGAATCTCAAGGGTCTAAGTACCCGGAGGATGAACGTGAGGCCTTTGATCCTTGGAATCGCCTTGGAGAAAACGAGCACTCAGCACAGTATTGAAACTTAAGTTGAAAGGCTGAGTCAAAAGAACCAGTGAAATTATGCATGAGCAATGACTTGAATTGTGAAAACTGAAGGCGGGTGAGACAAAAGTGTGACTAGTGGTGGTGGGAATCTCACCACCCGCCACAAAACAACAAAAACAATTGATCTGGCCCGGGCTTGAACCGGGGACCTTCAGTGCTCTCATAAACAACTCGGAATGAGCTATTTAATGTTAGACTGACGTGATAAACCAACTACACCACCGGACCAAGTTGTTGAGAAGCAAAGTGGCTCGAGAATTATATTGTAGCATTGAGCGAAAAGTCTGTCGGATGTGGGGAGCACCCACCTCTATCCAGCAAGGATCGGCGAGTACCGGCGCCCACTTCAAGTCCGAGACCCCACGGCCCGGACGGTCACAGATAAATTCAGCCTCTGGCATAACCGCGGGTGCTTGACCGGAAAGGGATGAGGCGAGTCTGTCTGTAGCAACAATTTAGGCATTCATGTGTGCATTTCTTCATTCGGATAGCATCGCGGACTTGACCAGCCCTTGGAACATGTTTGCCGTCACCTCAATCACGGTTTCAGTGACTCATGGAATTCGATCAAACCGGTGGATGAGAGTGGGAGGTTGGGTTGGCACGGTTGGTAAGCCGCGCGCATTTCTGAACCCGAGCACCATACACACCGCATGATTCTCCCACTTCCTCGTCAATCGTGAGCCAAGATGGCGCATCAGTAGGCGCATCAGTAGGCGCCTTTCTGTGCACTCTCGAAATAAATCTCAAAACATCTTGGCCCGTCAAAGAAGTCGCGCTGCTATCTACTGTCTATTCCGGGAAACCCGAGAGGCCCTGAGACGACTAGAACTTGGCGCTCTGTTAGCTGGCCGGACTGGTCGCCATGTGCTCGGCTATGTGCTAGATCGTCCGATATGCTGTTCTCTGCAGGCACATGGTGTACGCCAGCTTTATATTGATTAAAGTTATTTTCAACCCAAACACTGGGGTCTTGTCATTCCCTTTTTGACTACACAACCACTCAACCGCTCGACTACCACCAAACCTTGGAACTTCGGGATGGACAGAATCGGCAATCTAGGCCTTCCCATAGTCGCGTAGCATACCCTTTGGTGCATGAATTGACGGTTCAGCCTTCGATTGATTAAAGTTACTCCCCACAGCGACGTCGTCTGATGTCGCGCCCCTTATAGCGAAACACATCACCGAATCTTCTACGTTCCCATCACGTCGAGACGAACATGATTGATACGCCTCACTGACGACGACTTCTATTTGTACGAAACAAGACCAGATGTTTCTGTGACTACCGTGATCCCTCTAGATTGGTCGCATTGCTTATGCTAAGTCTCGTGAGAAGCTTGGCTTAGTAGAGCCCTATACTGCTAAGAGATCTGGACAAAACCGTCAGTTGTACACTACGCCGTAGTGACCGAGATTCTATATAAATGGCAGGTCAACCTGTCTGAATGCCATCTTCCTATCCTCATCTTCCTCTCACCAACACACATCCAACCTAACTAAGCAATCGCGCCTTCGACAATCCGCACCTCTACAAGTATTTGCTTACTTCAAGAGTCCAACAGTTTTCAACACTTTCTTGATTGAGTGACCACCTGAAAAACACAAAGCCCCCCAACCAGCCACCATGCAGTACTCAAAGAGAGCTATTCTGGCCCTTGCCCTACTCAGCCCTGTATTCACTTCTTCAATGGCGCTGCCGCGAGTGGCCGTCAGAGACCACGATGCACTCTCTGTGACAGATTCTTCTCTCCTCTCACGGCACCTCCCCGGAGCCATGCCTGTCAAGCTGAGGAGCCGACACGGCGGCGGAGAGACCAGTGGCTTGAGCAGTGCAGGAGGTGAGTAATGCACTCATCTAGTCGTCAATACTGAAATCACACACGCTGACATAAATCGCAGGTGGAGGAGGTTCATCTACTGGAGAAACAGGAACCGGGGAAACCGGGACAGGAGAGGAAGAAACTGGTACTGGAGAGACCGGTACTGGGGAAGAGGAATCTGGTGCTGGAGGGACTGGCACCGGAGAGACGGGTACCGGAGAGACAGGTACCGGAGAGACAGGCACTGGCACAGGAGAGTCGGGTACTGGCACGGGAGAGTCTGGCACAGGAGAGACAGGCACTGGCACAGGAGAGTCGGGTACTGGCACGGGAGAGTCTGGCACGGGAGAATCTGGGACCGGAGAGTCTGGGACCGGTTCTGGTACAGGAGAGACAGGTACTGGCACAGGAGAGTCTGGTACAGGAGGGAGCGGTACTGGAACCGGCTCAGGAGCGGGATCTGGTACAGGATGTTCAGGAGGTGCGTCTCCATCTGGCACACCAAGTGCTGGAGGAAGCAGCGGCACTTCTGGTGGTGGTGAAAGTGGTGAGGGCGGCGCGACTGGCGAGGAATCCACTTAGACTGCCACTGGTGGACTGCACAGGAGAATTTTTGCACCCTCTCCCCCTGGATCTGGGCTGATATGTAGCCAGGAATAAAAGATTGTACTGCATATTACTGCCACTATCTACACCGAAGTGCGTTTTCTTTTGTCCTTTACTGGGGATTTCCGCGTACGGACCACGCTGTTCCGACAGCCATCTGAGCATTTAGCTCTCCAAAAATTTGGTAGAGCATGCCCTGAAAGGAATGCGATGTACCTAGATAATCCACATGATCTAACGATGCTTTGCATGTATTTCATTCATAAGGTGATCGCACCCAACATAATCCTGCTATAAGCTGGTCCAACGATGAAGACCCACGTGCAGTCGGTCAGTTGACACGGATTTCCTCTGGCATCCATGCGAATGTGTCCACATAAACGTTTTGCTATTCCTCGGTATTCCGACGTCCATACTCGGCTGCTTGGACCGAGGCGGCCCACTAATAGTCTCTTCCTGAGAATGCATCAGATTGACGATGACCACACATCTCCCGTATCGTAATTGCGCTTCCCAGGTCTACCGATACGATTCTTGTACTCATTCCGGCCAATGATCCTCCTGGACATGAGGCCAGAAGGGTGTTCAATTGTTGTGCATAGTAGGGGTTATGGACCCACACGATACTGGAATTGGGACAAATCTCCGATTGCGATGTAGGAAGAGAGGGACCAGCCAGTCCAAAGGGTGGGGCGTACCAGATCGGAAGGAGCACATGTATTCTATGGAGAATGGAAGACTTCATGGGACTCGCTTGTGTTGTAGTACTTTCTTTCTCACATGAAGAACAGGATGACATGAATGCTCTCGCGTTATTCGAAGTGGATTCTCACGGCTTCTTCCACATTTGCTGTCCGTGGGTCGCGTCCAGAGAAGAAAACTCCACTCTCTGCGGCAAAAGAGGTGTGGGGTTGCTTGGACCAAAGAGTTCCCAAGTCCCGACAGTACCTTCGCGTATGAAACAAGGAGACGGTGCTGGCTTACTCGACTGTGCAACCAAGATGTGTCGTCGGTTTTGTGCAAGCGATGCTTGAATCTTAACCTGGCATCTTAAAGACTAATTCGATGACGCAACCAAGCAACCTCAATATGACACCTTCAGCCCTATGCACAGCGTTGTGGTTGTTCAGTCAAGTCATGCTGGCTGCACGTGGGCGCCATGAGAGCCTTCACCATGCAAGGCCTTGCTGGCGGTTGTTCCTCTTTGGGCGATGGAATGCCACTTTCCCTCTTCGTCACAAGTGTCTATCGGCTGCAGCTTGATAGAGGCATCGATTGAGTCAGTTTCTAGTTACATTTGAACCTTGACCCGCGTTTGAATCATTGCTGTCATGACCAGATGCGTCTCTCGCACGTGGCCGTTGCGCCAAGTCCAAACTATCTCCCAATGCCCGGGGCAATGTGAGACATACAGTAGTGCGCGAGTCGGATCCAGGCCAGAAGACGGCCATTTGTTCGAGCACCCCAAGAACTCATCCTGTATGTGTTATGTACAAAGCGTGCACTCGACAGACTCTTGCCAGATGCGCTATCAAAACTGGAAAATTCTGCTTGCCCGTTTCAGGGGCGTGCAGGTGATGCTCCGCTGATATGTAGCATCGGCTGACATGTGCAGGTCGAAATACCACGTCGCGAGTGCGAGGGACGAGAGTCCGAAAATGGAAATCTCGTAACCCTGGTGAAATTGACACGGATTGTATCGAAGCCCAAAACAACACAGCACAGATTACCTGTCTGGTTGTTGGTCTCTCCCAAGCGTTCGGCACCGGAGAGATCCAAGTAACACAGACCCCTCGGCCCGCTGTTGTGCAACCCTCTGAGATGAGCACTTATTGTAACGGACATCAAGTCCTTGATCCGGCTGCATGAGGAGGGCAACATCTGATATTGACAGAGAAGCCGCATGCACAACTGCGAGCCAGCTCAACCTTGACGCGTACAGTTGACTTTCCAATGTCAATACCACCTGAGCACATGTCTGCCGGATGAACCCGAGTCTGGGCGGGTCAATTTCTACGTGGGAATTCTCAAGTACAGCGCTTGAACAATGTTGCTCAGCCCCCAGGTGCCCTGCCATTGAACACTGGTTTTCGAGGCGAAGAGAAGACTCAACATTCTTCACATCCCGTCCCTCCCCTTTCGTGGGCTTTTTTTTTGGTTCATGCCCATGGCAGGCTGATCTGCTTCTGAACAGGATTTTCAAATATGCCGATTCCTCACTTGTCGACGTGTCGATGTGGCGAGCGCGGCTGTGGCGCCACTGCCGACAGACCCAGTGCTGCGCCCAGCGTCTAAAATAAATCCCGGTGACGCGGTGGTTAGGTGTTGCTTGGTACGAATCTACGATGGTGGCAACAGACGACAGAGAGACCCCTGCCACACTGCTCCACTGGGAAAATAATCCGAGTGCCTCTCCCGTAAAAAGTGAGGGGCGGCCAGGAGGCATCCTGGCCTTGTGAGAGGCAGCCGCCGCCAAACAGAGTCGCAATGGGCCGTCAAGCTTCAGGGACCCTAGCTGCCCCGCCAGCGTGCATTGCTTTCTAAGTGGCGCAGAAGTGGATGTCAAACTCTGTTTCCCGGGGCCAACTCCCTCTCCCATTCGCCGCGTTGACCAGGACAGGCCCATATCGTCCCAAGACTTCTGGGCCATTCACAGCCCGAGGCCGTCGTTGCAGCACGCAATAGGCTGGAAACCCGACCCGGTCAGGGACCAATCGAGCCTCTGTCCTTGGACGTCGCTGTGATCGCTTCACCAGGCCGAGCGGGTAACCAGGGGGCCGCCGCTCGTAGTCTCTTGCAACGCCCTCCTGGTGTCTCTCCCATTTGTCCTCACCTTGCGTAAATATGTGGAGATCACCGGATTCGGCCATGTTCAACATGGATTGGGGCAACGGCCATCCGTCCTCAATCTCGAGGTCGAGCCAGCCGAGCCTGGTCCCTGGGTCCGCTCCTGAAAGTGGGTTCGGCCGGGGCTCCGCGGTGCTACTTACTGCATCTTCCCGTCCTGCCCGCTGCATGTTCTATGAATTCGATGCGTCTTTGAAGTTTCCCTTCACACTCACTTCTCTTGCCTTCCCTCCGATAGCATTCGCAAGCTCATGCCAATTCTCCGTGAACGGGCTCAAACCATGCGCCAATGAGCTCGAGACCACGCCCGTGGAGAGGAACTTGACCCTGGGTATCATACAGCGGCAGAGGAACAGTTTCCATCGAGCTCGAAAACAAGGCCGGCCGAGAGGATGTGGGACTATGGTGACGACAACCGCGGGCCTGAAATGGCGGCCGTGGCCCTCGTCATGACATCCCTGAGTGTCATTGCGGTTGCGCTGCGCTGCTATACTATGGTCGCAATACTCAAACGCTTCTTGATCGAGGACTGGCTAGCTGTTTTGACCTGTGTGAGTACTATTGGAGATCTCTGGCTGTTGAATTCACGCTGACGTTGCAGCTTGATACCAGCTCCTTCAGTGTGCCTTCTGCGCCTTTGTGATTCTTGGTGTATCACATGGCCTTGGAGCGCACGTGGAACATGTTCCGGAGGATCAACGTCCAAAGGCCTTGATTTTCAAGTGGGCAGGACAGATCGCTTATATCGTCGTGTCAACGATGGTCAAGTTCGTCGTCGGCATTTTCCTGCTCCGCCTCTGTGTCAACAATGGATGGCAGCGCATCACCATCTGGGTTCTATTGATTCTCGTGGGGCTTTTCAACGCCTTCTACGTCTTTGTTGCGGTATTCCAGTGCCAGCCTGTGCCATTCTATTGGTGGCGCTATGCAACAGACGCGCCCATCACTGGCACGTGCAACGGGAAAAAGATGGCGACGATACCTACCTACATTGCTGTGCTGCTGGGCATTGCGGGAGACTTGATTCTTGCCCTCCTACCAATCACCCTGATCAAGCACGCGAAACTGGACAAGAAGACCAAGATCTCTGTGATTTGCGTCCTCTCGCTTGGTTCTTTGTATGTCACACTTCAGTCCCACATCACCTCACCCTTCCATATACGGATGCGCCTCGACTGAATTTTGCTCAATTCGATTTTGCTACCTGTCATGTCACCCCTTCCTACCGCCCCACTAACATCAACATAATCTCAGGGCCTCGGTAGCTACTATTGCACGTATTCCATACGCTCAGCAGCTACTCTCCAATCCCGACTACCTCTATAACTTCGCTGATTTGGCGATTTGGAGTATTGTCGAATGCGGAATCGCCATCACAGCTTCGTCACTTGCTACACTACGCCCACTATTCGTCAAAATGAAGCTTCTTGCGACCAATCACTTCACAAGCCGCTTCACTTCATCGATGGGCGGCAGCGGTGGCTTGCCTAGGTTTACTAATAAGACCAATACCTTCGTGTCATCATCTCAAATGCAGAACCAGGATGCGAACAGATATCCTACGGTAACCGAAACGACGGCAATGAACAAGGGAGTTGGCCTACTGAAGAGCGCGCCCGAGACGAAGGATGGCGGCATTCAAGTGAGAAAGGAGTTCGAGATGTCCGTCATCACGCGATCATCCAAGGACAGCATCGATCAGCTCGAGGACGAAGTCAATGAGGTGATACGCCCAGGCGCTTCAGCTAGGAGCAGTACTCACAGCAGGGGCCAAAGTTTCCATCAAAGCCTCCGCCCAAGCCCAAGCCCTAGGCTGAGCCCAGCTCCTTCTGGTCCATCACTCCAAGACGCCCCTATGTTGACCACGGCCAAAGCTTCGACAGGGCCACCCCCAACACATGCCACAAATGGGCATTTTGTTTACACCGACCAGTATTCCAACGGATCTCCACAGAGCTCACGCTCTCATGAAGCTATCAGGAAGGGCAGTTTCGGCCAAGTTTCAACCCCATTCGGAGGCGGTCCCGCAGTCCACACAGACGTGTCATTGCGCTCACCTCCGCCCATTATGACCCAGTCACCTCGCCATGGGCATCAATCGACCAGCTCTCAAGATAGCTTCCGATCACCAAGGACACCAAGATCAACCGCCCCAAGCTTTCACCTACCAACAAGAGTACAACACTACAGTATGGCATCTTCCGCCTCAGGCCATAGCAGATCAAGCACTTCCACCAAGGGCAATAATTCCCGCGGGACTTTCGGGGCAGACGGCTTGCCTCCACCCTCGCGCATAACAGAATCTGGTTACGGCGAATATTCACCGGGGCTCAACAGTAACCCATCGAGCTTGCCCGGGAGTCCCGAGGTGCATTCGACAAGTCGATCACTTGGCGACTCCCCTATCACAACTCTATCCAACTCAAACACGACTGCGCGATTCCCCTTCGAGAGGCCCGAGCCCATCCCAGAGGTGAAGAAGACGAAGCGGAGAACGCGAGTGAGCGCCTTCCTGGCGGACAACTCGTCAGTGTCCAGTGTGGACACTGGGGACTGCAGTGATGAAGAGCTCACCAAGCCGCAATGGACGGGACATGGTCGCGAGGCGCCGCCTAGTCCATTGACGAGCCACCCGCCTTTATCTCCGAGGGAGAACTGGGTATGATGAGTGGGCATCACGAGAGTTAGAGCCGACAAACACTCACCCCCCAAAGTTAGAAATCACTTGGACCTGTCTAAGTGATCACTTAAGCCTGCGGCAACCTCTGTCGAGGCATCTAGAGCTCTTTCGTCTCCTCGCCTTCTCACGACATACCTTTAATTCCACTACTTACATCTACATATCGAGCGTTGGTGGGGATGATAGAGCGAGCCTGTTGAATGATTCCGGGCGGAGCTGGGCAGCACCCTGTGTATCTTTATAGCATGGCTCTAGTATTCAGGCCGTGATTCTCCTTTTCTGTTTTAGCATATACATATACCCCATAGAGAAATTAAGCCAGACTTCAAACGCGGCGCGGGACGTGAAGAGGTCTTATCTTCGTGTGGTCCGGAAACTCCAGGTGACTCGCTTCAAACCCCAAGCACAATGCTTTCATGCATGCTCATGTATTGGCCGCGATTGAAAGCTGGACGAACTGTGGCAGGGAAGACTGGGTCTGGCAAATATGCGATTGTTTGTATTCGAAGTGGGCTTGTGTGCTAGATTCTGAGGGCAGAAGGGCCCAGGGCACCCTATTTAAAAACGTGGGACCCCCAATTCACTAACCCCCTATTCACTACCACACGAACAGAAACGTGGAAGTGCTCACTGACTTGAAAGACATGCCGAAGAGGCGGCGGACAATTTGCGAATAGTGCGCTCAAGGGAACGAGTATACATGATTTACTTATCACGATACTTTGACTCTGATGAGACTCGATACTCTTTGAGGTGTCAACAGTCTGTCAGGCAGCCCGTCCTGAAGTCAAAATAGAGATATATTCCAAATCTATCTAGCGTTTCCATGGTCGACACGATGGTGCGTCAATTCTTTGAAAACAAGTTTCTGACCTAGCTTGCTGAGATCTCTTTGACAGACCATCTGGTTCATAAAGCTTCAAAGATGTGAAAGGGGTCCCAGAGCGAAGAGTCTGGTTGAAGTCATGAGACATGCATGAAGATAACAACAGACACCTGGGCAGTAAGCAGCGTTAAATACATCTCTGCAGCGCCTCGCAACTTTTTATTTTATCTTGTGGAGGGGAGAATAGGTAAACGAAATTCAGAGGTATGCTTGACCTGTCCGCCTGGGCCCCATCTTTTCACACATAAAATGTCAGCTTTCAGATGACAGGAGTGAAGTTTTCCAATTCCTCAGGGACCTTATGAGGGTAGACATGTTCTTGGTGATATTCCAATAAGGTCATTCCTTGCGTTTGAGGACGCCGAGTTGGTTTGGGTCCCACGCCGATGTCGAATTGCGTTAGGGGACTCACGTTGGCTACTACGATTTTCTAACACTCGCTAACAGCAACCCACCGCTGCCCGATCTCGGATCTTATCTGTCAATCTTATCAGATCATCGAGATAACGGTGACACACTCCGCTTTGGTTCCACGACATCCGACACGGCCATCGCTATTCCCGCCTCGTTAAGATCTACCCTCGCCGCTTTGGCGACTTCCGAACCCTTTATGGACGACAATACAGCAGATGGTACCGTCGGCGGTCGTTCAACTGAACAATGGCTCGCCGGACTCATCAGCCAGTCTGCGCGACTTGCAAAACTGGGCGATTTGCTCGATGACATCGACGACTTCGCCGCCACGGGCCGCGGCGATGAGATCCCGCCTGATCAGATGGAGTATGTGCGAAATTTAATCAAGGTCCTGTTGGATGGGAGAAGCATAGTTGCGGCATACAACTATGTGATGCTCGTGATGCTAGCTATCTTCACAGCATTCCATCTCCTGGAGAAGAGGAGGTGCCGGAAAAGGTGGCATAAGAGGACGCGCGCGTCCTCCACCGTGGCCGACAGGGAAATCAAACGTGATGATGATGCATCGGAGGCAATATCTTCTTCGTCATCGAGCAGCTCTCATGGCATCACGACTCCTTCGGGCGCGGTGAAAGATGTCGTCCAAGCGGATCTCGAAGGACTACCGCTGCTCGGACCGTGTGATAAGCAAGCCACGACCAGCCTCTGGGCGCGCACAAAGAGGAGGGTGCCTTACTGGCTTGAATATCAACCAAGGCCACTCCCGCTTGTCAACAGGACTCTGCCATCAAATGCAACGTCGCTCTTCGTCGGAGTCTGGATCGGCATCAACGTCTTTTTTCACATATACCAAGTCCATTTACTCGACTGGAAATATTTTTTCTGCTTCGCTGATCGAGCCGGCTTCGTGTTCATCGTCAATCTCCCTCTACTCTACCTCCTTGCTGCTAAGAACCAGCCGATCAAAGTTCTCACAGGACGCTCATACGAGGCTCTGAACGTCTTTCATCGGCGAGTTGGCGAGTGGATGTGCTTCGAGGCACTCGTCCATTTCGTTGGTATGATTATTTGGCGCTTTGGCCTTCCACAACCAACCTGGATGACGGGTACAGATGGTGCGTGGGCGTACTTCACTCACCCGCTCATCGTACTAGGCATCGGCGCCTTTGTCGCATACGAGCTGCTGTATTTCACATCCTTGGGAAGCTTTCGTCAACGTTGGTATGAGATATTCCTTGCGTCACATGTGTTCTTACAGGTCGTCGCACTGGGCTTCCTGTATCTACACTTCCATACTGCGAGGCCGTACGTCCTTGCCTCACTAGCCATCTTTCTCATCGACCGCATCGTTTGGCGCTTTGCACTCAAGTCTACCACGATGACTGCGGACCTTACCGTTCTACCAGATGGTGAGACTATCGTTGTGTCGGCGAATTGGGAAAAGCCGACCTCGAAAACATCCTGGTTCTCATGGCCACGTCAGAGCGTCAAGTACGGGTGGAAGCCTACCGATCACGTCTTCCTCACAGTGCCAGCATTGGGCCGAAAGCACGCGCTCCAAGCACACCCATTCACCATCGCGTCTGCGGCGCCGCTGTCGGAAGGCCACTCTGGCGATGGCCGTGAGCGATCGACGCACTGCTGGATGAATCTGCTGATCCGGTCTCAGAAGGGCTTTACCACTGACCTTCTGTGCTACGCCCACCGCCATCATCGCGCCGCCGTCCGCCTTGATGGGCCGTACGGCTCATCTCACGCCTTAGAAATGCTCCGTGCAGCTGACAGCGCAGTCCTGATTGCAGGCGGGAGCGGTATCGCCGTCACATTCCCTCTGGTATGGGCTCTCTTGATGGGTGAGGGGGCGGATGAGGATGATCGCGATGGGCTCATCGCAATGAGAAGGCAGAAGAGGAAGCAAAAGGTGCACATGATGTGGATCGTACACTCGGATGAGCACCGCTATTGGATGCCAGATACCATGCTGGAGGAACTTGTGGCAGCCGGCCTGGATCTTGTAGTTCCGCCTTCAACAGCTGTTGCCGGACGTCCAGATGTAGTTGGCACTGTCGAGGGCTGGATAGAAGAGAGTGACGGCCGTGTTTTCCAAAGAAGAGAGACCGCCGTGATTGTCTCTGGGCCAGATGGCCTGAACAGGATGGTGAGGAATACGTGTGCTGGGGCTATTGGGAGGGGAGCAAATGTCCAGCTCGCGGTCGAGAAATTTGGATGGTAGTGACTGCTCTGGATCGGAGTTTTGCATGGCTAATGATAGCTTCGAATAGGCGTCTCGGGATGGTCTTATAGTTACAAGGAAGAAGATAACCCACGATACATTAGAATGCTAAGAACAGTCGAAATAGATATTGCTTTATTGGATGATGCAGAGAAATCATAAATTGAATGTCTATATGCTTGAATGAGAAACAATAAATGTGTATCACGCTCTTACTGTACGCGTTCATTGTGAGATGGTTACATCAAGAGGAATAGCTGTATCTATCGCAATACGAAAGGGAAACCGATTGTGTCTGTCACAGGAGCAGTTGCCAAATACTATTTAATGCATATATCAATTGTAAATAAGAACTAAAATTACTTGAAATGCGGCGCCTGAATCTATGAGTTCAGCTGGGGCAGAGTGGAATCGATGGCCGCATGTTTCCATCTGTGACTAATTGCCTTTAAACGGCACCTAAACCCAGCTCTTCTTAGACTCAGTGCCGTAGTCTTTGATAGTCTTGCCTCCAGCTTCCAGATACTGCTGCCGGGCAAATTCGAAGTCGGCGTCGAACTGGATCCCATTGCGACGCCTAGTGAACGGCATGAGGTAAGGAGCGGAAGGCGCGGTATCTCTCCAAACAAAGGAGCGAAGTTCTGGCAGAGAGCCTGCTATAATGATGACAGCCGGTTCAATCATTCCCCATATAATTAGAGTGACAATATCAACTGTGGTTGCGATGAATTGTTAGAATCTGAAAGCTCACTAGACGACAATGGTTTCCCCGGGAAACGACTTACATGTAACATCATCTCCAATAAGAATGTGCATGACAGATGTCTTCACCCAACTAGCAATGCCGGCACTGCCACTAGGTTAGCTTGGTAGTGAAGCAAAATCGAGGATGCTCACAAGATCCCGAGCGCTGTGAGCACTAAAGCTCCAACCCAGTCCCTCTGTCTTGCCGTGTTCTTGCGGACGATATAGAGTCCGACAAGGGAGATGAATACATTCAAGAACCCACCCACAGCTAGTAAGGGCTCAGCGAGATTTCTCAAATATAAAATAGTCAGAGGAGATCTCGAGTTACTGACCAGTGTTTATGATCGGGATAGCTACTCGCACTCGAGGAGCCCAGCAATATCCGAAGTTAAGATTATCCCAATTCTTCCTGATAGGCGTACATTGAACCCAAAGAAAAAGTCCCGCCAGGCCAGAAACGATGTTCGAAGCAAAGATGACTGCCCAAGTGAAATGACGTGGCCAGCCCTCTGCGACCCTGAGTAGCGAGACTGCGAACGCGATCCTGGAAAGTGCGGTGGTCATGATAGCAAGTGTGGAGGCAACTGTGGCAAGGAGAGCGAATTCGCGAATGTCCCCAGGGCTGAGATTTGAAACGTGTCTGCCGATGCCATCACGCCCTTCGAATATGGTGACGACGGCGAAAGCAAGGAGCAGTGTCTGCGTAGCGTTGTAGAGTCAGTATGACATCGATGCATGCAGTGACAGTGAGTGGAAGATTCATACCCAAGCAACAATCACAATATAGTCATCCCACCAGAGCCGGAGTCGTCTCCTGTACTTGTTGTAGATCCGCAGGCCCACCACGGTGCCCGCCAAGATGGTCATCACCCAGTCCAACACATCGATCTTGGATTCTATGTAGCGGTCCTCGGCAGATAGTTGGACGACGACTGTCGTTGAGCCCTGCGTTTGCGGTAGAGGAGGCAATAGCGGGTTGGCGAGTGTGGCATTCATGATGACAGTGTTTCCCTGAGAGGAACGGCTTGTCAAACGAAAACGACGAGTGATGCGAGCAGGTGAGCGGCTCCGACTTGTGTATATACCATGTGGCATGCCAACACACGGCCCAAGCAGTCAACTCCGGAACACTCGCAAACCCGTGCAGTTGGTAATTCGGCAAAGTTTTCAAGGAGGTCATCTTGTTGCACATCGACCTCCTCAAAGTACGACCTCCAGAAGTACGCAAGTGCCGCGGCCATAGCAGACGAAGAACCGTTGACTTTTGATTGAAAACAGCAAGTGCGCCGTGCCCAACTATCAGCCAAAGTTCGGGCGAGTCACTGCCGCTGTCAGAGTCCTGAATAGCCTTCACTGAGTACGGGGCAATACGAACTCCGCTAACATCAGTCCACAGCCCCTGGGTGCGTTGCTTTGGGGCCGAGCGTATTGTGAGACGCAGGTTAACTGTCGTAGAGTATAACCTTAAATGTGATATGCATAAGCTTCACGGCTGTCGGCTATGGTGGGGAGCATCAATGATTGGCGGCACCGGTTTCGAAACGGGGAACGCATGATGCGATTGGAAATCCCCCCGATATCTTTGATGTGACACTTTGGGGTCGCCCATGCGGTTGGACCTTTGGTTCATGTACCCTGAAAAACCACTGTGCAATCAGTATCCTGACCGGCGAGGATGCCTGTGCCACATCAGTATCAGAATATGCATACTATGGAGTATAATATGTCATTGGACGAAGATCATCAGCCCTTTTTGGGAAATTGTTCGGCGATGTCATTGACTAGACCGTTGGATTGTGGAAGGAGACGGCCTGCTAATTAAGCATCAACAGGTTATCAATTTAACATTCTGGCTTTCCAGTGTTTCCAGTCCCATATCATGTTCATGGGCCAATGACTTTTGCGGGTCATGATTCACAGGCTTGCTCCTTCAGCAGGCCCCATGAAGCTTGACATGACAGCAGGTTTGTGTCTAGCTTCAGCACCCCCTCACCCCTGACAAGGGGGCAGGACGTGTCGAAGGAGTCGTGGCAAGTTGAAGGTTCAATACAGAGGTAATAGATAATAGAATTCGAAGGATGGTGGTCGGGTGCTTAAACCAGCCAATTTTGAAACGGAGGAGATGATTGCTATGACCGTTCCGGAGACGAGACATATGAATTGAGGTGTACTTACTGAAAGAATTCAAACCAGACCCTTGAATCATGCTTTGACGCTGATGACTGGGAACGTTGGTTGGTCGATGAGATTGATGACCTCCTTCCAAAGGTTCCCCGACCTCACAAGCATCCAGAAGCCTGTGTCGAGAACGGGAGACCGATGCATTTGATCTACGTACAATTTGCTCTCCACCACTGAATGGAGTTCGTCAGTGACAAACATGGAGCGAAGCACTCAGACAATGTCCATTGTACTAAATCACCTTTTCGAGGAAATGTATTCAAAGACCTTCGACGACACTCTGTTGCTCACCTCGACGCCCTCGTTTGTGATTCTGTGCTTGAGCCGAGACTTCATTGTTGTCACAAAGCTGACCCAGTAATGGCCTGAAAGCTTTGTTAACTTTAACCGACTAACCCATTTAAATGTATCCGTAGCTTTCCATTCAAGAACTCCATACCCTAATCCCAAGCATTTCTTCACAGAACACATGAGCACAAATAAACAATAGCCACACAAAAAGCCAACTTCACGGTAACAGAATTTCTGGAAAACTCTGACCAAACACTTTGGAAATGCAATACATCTTCCTAATCTTTCTTTCTGGCGCCTTAGGGCATACGTGGTTAGAATCTCTGCGTCTCATAGGTTCAAATGGGGCATTCACCGGAGAGCCCGGATTCCCGCGCGGTTTTATTGCTCGAGATGATCCTGCTTTCAGTGACGACTCGTCGACCTACAGAATCACGGCGCCAGACTCTTCCACCCCACTTTGTCATCCCTCTCAGCAAAAGGCCAACGGGTATGAGAACCCACTCCACCCACGTCTGAATGCCTCTGAGGGATCCTTTATCGCCCTACAATACCAGGAAAACGGGCACACGTCGGCACCACAGGTTCCAGAGGGAAGACCGTTCAGGTCTGGTAACGTCTTTGTCTACGCCTCTACCAGTCTCAAAGACGAGAAGCTCACCTCCGTGCACGGAAACTGGACGGCTGACGGGTCGCTGGAGAACGGTAAGTTGCTTTCCACTCACTTCTTTGATGACCTCATATGCTTTCAAGATCAAGGAACCGCACCTACGAAAATCAACGCTGAGCGCAAAGCCGCTTCCGGGGGCTTACCCTCCGTAACCTGCCAAACCGATGTTCAAATTCCACAGGATATAAAGTCTGATGTCCTTGCTCTGTACTGGGTATGGGAATGGCCGTTATGGGCGAATACGGACAAATGGGCCAATGAGACCTACACTGCCTGTTCTGAGGTTCTCATTTCGCAAGGAGGTGATAGTTCCTCTGAAATAGTTTTGGACGAGGGGGTGGCTTTCGATAAGCGTGCCGTAATGAGCCAACTAGCCACCCAGTTCGAAGTCCTCGAGCTAGGCACAGGCACGGCGGCGCCACCTCTTGTCACAAGTCTGTTTCCTAACACTGCAAGTGCACCATTGTCTACAGACCTAGCCACAGATCTAGTCACACTCAGCAGTATGCCCACGACCACGGTAGCCGATGCAGATGGCCATTCAGGATTTGTCACCGTCTACGTTCCAAGTGCGACCGTTACAGTTACTGTGACGGCAGTCGCGCCGCCGTAAAATGCGGAGACTTTCTTCTCCACACAATTAAATACGTAGGATCTGTAATGTGAAGAATATATTTATTTCATAAACTTGCGCCTCGTGCTGCTTTCTCATTCCTCTCTCAGCATCACATTGGTGGCGCACTGACATCATCTGCTCTATCTTCTTACCCTTCTACGTTGCGTACGATTTGACGCTCCTGCTAATTTCTCGCAGTGGCTGGGTCTCTTTTGGCATGCGTGCGTTTGAAAAGCGACTGCCCACAAATGTGGAAATTCAGCACTTCGCATGGAAGGCTTGGAGCGTTGGGGACATACCGATCCTGTTAGCTGGCTTTATCTTCCAATCTAGTTCATTCAGCTCGGGCCTGATTGAGATAATTTATAGTCTGTAACGAAAATGAGGACAGCTAACGTCATGGGAAATACGGCGAGGTAGCCAAGATACGATCCGGAGGAAAGTTACCCAGAAAGGAAGCTTGCTTTGTCGAGGAAAAAAAATACGGGAGTTCTGGGTATGATTAGCCTGTATCTTTAGGCTAGGGTAGATTCATTATTTCATACTTCCTTTGCTCATGCGACTGAGCGTAGGAATAAGGATGTTGATGTGATAGAAAAGAGTAGCAAAAAAGAAGATTGGCTGAAGAAGAACACCACTCAATTCCCCAGCAGACATTTCATAACAATAGTATAGAAATAAAGCCCAAAGTCACATACGCCCAGATACCTGCTTGCAACAACGAACTCCTTGAACTCCTTAATGCACACCTATCTGTTTGAAACTTAATCGCCCGGATGCATTGGATGGTATCCTCCGAAGACTTGGACACGACCTGACCAGATCGGCCTGAGTAGTCAGCTTTTTGTATCGAATGAATTTATCAGATAACTGACAACTTACCAGCTTGAATTCTTTGGATGCTTTGATTTGGTAGCAATTATGTCGCATCTGTGCATGCATGGAAATTAGTCCATGATCGGATATGTGGCCTCGAAGTATGGTGCTGACTTCTACAGCAAATTTTCCTTCTCCGAAAAGTCTTTCTAGCTCATTTGAGAGCAGTCTCGGGTCCAAGACATATTTAGCGGGCACTGCGCGCTCTATGTTGAGTTGAGACTCAACCGGTTCGTCCGTGGTTGAGGCTGTCATCGAGACTGTGGTAAACAATGCAAGTGATGGTCCCGGGAAATGTTCGAGCACAATTCAAATGGTCGCGGGATAGCGGTTCGACAGTGGTGCTTCACGACGAGGCATTAAAGCCCTTGTCAAAATAGCTGGTTGAAGCCAAAGAGGCTCTTTCATTTTGAATAGTTCTTCATGGGGGAGAATATATGGTTGATAGGCTTCTTGGCCTAAGGGGGGCGGCACAGAGCTGAAATGCTGTCACATTGACATCCAGGGAGCCTGAGCCTATAGATAGCTGGTGTGGTGTGTGTTGGGGGCTGAGTCCTTACACAAGGCGAATCGCGCGACTTTTTACACTTCGCCCCTGCTGTACTACTGTACACTAAGGTGGCAAACCTGGAAGCCCTGGAAACCCCCCCCCCCCCTCCATTCACTCAGCAGCCGACAGAAAACGCGGTGAGCCTAGGCGTTTTTGAAGCATGATGTAGATAGCCTAATCTCGAATTGATGGCTACGACATTGGGAGTAAAAGTGAAATCGCTCGTACGACCCCAAGGTTTGGGTTTGTGCAGCATTAAAAAAAAGAAAAAGGAGTTTTGGAATTTGCATGAAGACCAAGCAGAATGCAGACTTTACTCAGCCGTAAGATTTGGATCGTACAGGTTGCCACTTCGGCAAATCCGGCTAAAAATTATTTTGGGGGTTGCTCGGAGATTGAATCCAGTAGGAGATAGGGTGGTCATACGAACAGGAAGGGAAGGGAATCAAAGCGGTGACGAGACGGGAAAGAAAAGCACATGGCGTGTCTCGCGGGTACCGAAAAGAGGAGCAGGTGTAGCAAAAAAATTGGTGCAGGAAATTTGCACTAACAGTTAGCGATTTGGCATCACGAATTGGAAAATATGCACCGTACCCAGAAGTTGATTGCTGCTAGGATCTATTCTTGCTGTGGTTTGATGCGGGTTGCCAAACTGGCCAGGCGTCAAAGTTGGCACCTCCTTAGAGGGGTCGGTCTGCTGCTGACGTTGTCGACCTAAACTCTGGAAAAGAACGTGATACCGGAGTCCGAGTGTTCTGCTTTCTGGGCAGAAATTGTTGCTCGTTCGTCGCGTTCCTCTGAGCCCTAGAGCCTTCCTGCCGGCTCTGATTAAATCATCGCCAATATCGACATTCGAGAATCTCATTCTGCAGAATCTGTCAGGAGGTCGGAGCTCAAACGTGCCGAAGCCGGGCAACTATGCTCACCTGCGTCAGGGGAGCCCAGGAAAGCAAGAAGAACTTATTATGGCGCATCTGTTGAAGTGTCAATACGTGACCGAATCATTGCCTATGATTGGATTGTATCGCAGCTGCGTACCTCTATCTGAAAGTTTCCCTGGCCAAATCTGCAAACAAGTTTGTCGTGTAGCCTCTGGGGGTCTATGAGTCGGCTGTCGATGATCTGGCTCGACGGTTGCAGGTTACGTCGTGTCTTCGGCTGCCCACAAGGCAGACGGCGCCTAAGAGTATCAGCTAATGTACCTAGGTGTAGCCTGCATGTAGGCAACGAAAGTGTTTTTCAACTTACTCCATCATATGCTTGTCACGCCGGCCTGGGAATCAAGGCTCTGCTCTCTTTCTCTTTGATCCGCTGCTTGATGAAAGGCTAGAGTGCAAGAGTCTGCACCATCCCACCCCTTCTGAAGGGGGCACAGTAGGCATACTTAGGTATGTTGTGCCGGCCCTGCTCTGGGCATGCTGTGGAACGTAATTTGCCAAATCCTTCCCGAGCGCCATCTGCTCCCTGCTGACGAGCTGCATGCATGTACCTCGCTGCATGCCAACGTGTCCAGACCCCTCCATCATTTTTCGAAGTGGCTGATGGCACTGAAGACGACCCGACCATCAGATGTATTTATCCACTTCGAAGAAAAAGCACACACTTCCGGTCTGTGTTTTGAGGGCCACTCTACAATGCGTTATACTGCAGCATCCGCTGTCCGCTAGAAATCTGACATCTGGAATAACATTCCAGAGGGACGGGCGCAGCTCTTTGGGGGCACAAACAAACTGCATGAAGAATGGTGTGCCCATGTCAATGTTTTTTAAAAAGTTATGGGCCCGCAAAATAAAACATACAACTTCTACCAGTTGGCTGCCTTCAACATTAGTTGCCACGACTAAAGACCCATTTCTCGATTCGTGTCAATCGTCCCTCATTTCTGCCTTCTCAATGCGTTGAAGCCTGAATTGCCTGAGCTTGGACGAATCAATTTGAGCAACGTATGAACATCGTAGTGGATATGACAGGTGTCCAAACTAATGTTGTGAGTGTTGTACAGGGAACCCTTCGCTATTGCCACTGGATTGACAACTTGCAGATTTCCGATGGCCGTCCCATCATGTCATGGGCCGATGATCTGAAGGTCCAGACTGGAGCTGACGAAAACCTCCGCTCACCTAATTCTGAGTCTGGAGGCAGCAGTGCAGTCCATGACGGAGGCGATTCTGGCCAACTGCAGCAGAGACGGCAGCACGGTCTAGCCTGTTCAGAAGCCACAAATCAGGATCAACTTTTCAAAGACGTCGGATCTAAGTTCCTTTCCCCCAGTCATCATTCAGGAGAGGAAGATACGGCCGATTCGACAGCGACGACACTGCGGGAGCATTCGCCGTCCCCAGCCAGCTTCGAAAGCAGAATTCGGGGTGCACTCCAGGTCTCTTCTGGGATACAAAAGAGAAGATTTCTACCCTTCGACAAGTTTGACCAGATCTTCACTTATAATTCAGTTTTGGAGGAGTTGCGGACTCACTATAAAGACGAGACACAAGAGCAACTACATGCTCTTGCGCGTCAAGTCTTTGATGAGGTCGAACTTCCAAAAACCGGCTACACGTCGCGAAGAAAGATTTTTGCAACCTTGGTTCGAATAGACAAGGCGGCTGAGATCACTCACTTCATCAAGGAGGGCCTTTATGACTCTGACCTCCCCTTCTACTTTCCAAGTGCCTATGAGGATCACAAGCCCGTGTATCGAAGAACAGAACGAGGCGAGGAAATCCCCATCCATTGTTTTATGGTCCCCAGATGGAGACCTTTTGACCGAGAGACGTTTGCGCAATACCAATGGGAGTTCCAAGCACCATTCTTCATTGTCACTCCCACCAATGGTAGACGCGGGCGGCCTCGTCATTATACCTTGGAAAATGACACTATTCTTCCATTCATCGAAGACTACGAGGGAGAGGGACGAGGTGATATGATCTCAGCTGGCTCCTCGGAAGTATGGCGCGTTCGGATACATCGTGCCCACCACAGTCATCCATCGGTAAGGCATGGCCCGCAAGAGCTAAGTTAACACTCTATCAAGGTCCATTACTGACAGGATCCAGAGTGGAAATCCTTATTTTGCCGTGAAGCGTCTCAAACCCGACTATCGCAATCCCGACATGTTCAAGCAGGAGGTCTCGACATTGAAACGTTTGAGCGAGCAAGATCACCCTCACTTGATGAGACTCGAACTCACGTACTATCATCAAGATCGATATCATCTACTCTTCCGCTGGGCGGATGGTAACTTGAGAGACTACTGGGAGAAGCACCCCGAGCCTGCGGACATCCCCAGAACTCATGAATTTGCAGTATGGGTCAGCAAACAGTGGCTTGGAATCGCGGAGGCATTGATGACGATACACGAATGCCCTCCAGATACTGGCGTTGTCGAAGATGATGCACCTGATGCTCTGGCTCTTCTCAGGATCAATGGCAGGCATGGAGATATCAAGCCTGAGAACATTCTGTGGTTCCAACCTTACGAATGCAACGGCGACCAAAGCGCCTTTGAAGGTAAATTCGTCATATCAGACTTTGGTTTGACGGAATTCCATCGAGACGAAACGGGGATGGTAGACCCTGTGAACTTGGCACGGTCCCCAACGTACCGCGCTCCTGAGTACGACGTCTCTGAGACCATTTCGCAAAGCTATGATATCTGGACGATGGGATGTGTCTTATGTGAGTAATTTGATTGAATCATACCGTCACTTCTGTCTTCATTAGCTTCAGATGCTATGAAAATGTCAGGCCAATGTTTCGTTGCAGCAAATACTGATTCTCGTGGTCGGGCAGTGGAATTCATCGTCTGGTACATCAAGGGTTTCCAAGCATTCGACCAATTTTCCAAGGATCGAGCGGCTGAAGACAACGGACTCATCAGAGAGGACGTCTATTTCAAGCTGGTTAGGAATGTGTATCGAAACGATGACAAAGTCTTGAGCGGGGCTGTTTTTAAGAAAGCGGTAGCAACGGTGAGTAGTATGACCAAGGAACACAGTCCGGAGCTTTCCTCACTGACATTGTCCTCAGCAATTCAACAGCCTGCGCGAACATATAAAAGCTACAGAACTACTTGTGGACGTTCTGGAATTTATAGAACAGAAAATGCTCCGTATGGACCCGGAGAAGAGGGCAACGTGCAAAGAAGTCGTCGATGAATTCCGCAAGATTCATGAGACTGCCCTAGCTAGTGAGGACTACTGTTTACAGCCATCTCCTAGCAAACCGCAACGCGTCAAAACGGATCTTTCGATGCTTTCGCCTCATTTGTTTGACCCAAACGATAGCAAGGCGTCAAATTCGAGGTCCGGCACGATGAGGAGCCAAGATCACGATCAGCATCGCAATTCGCAGGAGGGCCACCAGGAGTCGATTCGACCAACGGAAAGGCAATTATCCGAGGACGAGAATAAGATGCGGTTTATTCCAATCACCGAGGAGGCGCGAAACGGGCAACATATTGGCCATGTCTCAAGGGGGGCACTTTCAAAAAAGAGAAGCTCGTCAGAAAGTGTGGATCAAGCAGACAAAAGGCGCAACCCAGCCAGGGAAGATGTGAAGGGAGATGACATAGAAGGGCGTGGACTACGTCGGAAACTTCGTTTTTTGTTTTGTTGGCTGTGATTTGATCAACAATTCCCAGGGGACTTCTTTTGTGCTAGTTGAAGAGCAGGCGTTAAGGATCTTGTACCTAGCAGTTTGTGATGTTCGCATTTGGGCTGGATCTCCTTTTTCACCGTGCCAATTTGGCCCGTTTTCTTTTTTCTTTCGCTTTCAATATACCCATATACCCCATCACGTAACTAGTCGCCTGTAGCAGGGCTTGAAAATAATGCAAAAGGATATTTTCGGATTCAAAACGACGCATCCCCTTGTGAGATCCGTCTAGAGTGCTTCCGCCATATGTTAAAATGGTACCAGGATCCAATGGTGAGGGTCGTCGACACCAAAGCAAAGAGAACATAGATCCATACAAATGACGAAACTTGTGCCCTGCTATTCCCATCATCATCGAACCATGTGAAGAAGCTCATAGAGAAGACACTCTGCACGTAAAAAGTCAGGAAATACTTGCGGAAATTTCAGATCGTATGGCTTACCGCAAAAAAGGTCCCTGGTAGAAATACCATTGTCACCAAGGCGATGGATCTCATGTGCTTGGAGTCTCGGCTTGTAGCTAAGGCTATATCGACATTTGTCTCCCCTTGTGCCTAAAATCGAGTAAGTCTAGTTCCCAGAACTTAGGCTGGGATCTTAAGTGGACATGATTTCTTTCGAGTTGAACTCACCCACTGAGTAGCCATGGCCATACCATCCAAGCGCATCGTGCAGTCACGAATTTTGTCGTCGTACTCATCAATGATTGATTGAAGACGACTGACCACCTTTCGCCCAGTTCTTCGCATCTGGAACACTGTTTGGACCGGCAAGCCGTCCATGGATGCATTTGAATGGGGATATAGACCGAGACTAGCTCTTACTTCTCGGCCGGACATCGCGTCTTCTAGGAGTTCGGCCTGCTTAGCCATTTTAATGAGCTGGTTCCTCCAGCTCACGAGTCCATTTCTGAGATAGGATGTGTCGAGATAGTTCTCTCGCTTCGCTTGGTTCATTTCCCGCATGTGAGCTTGTTTGGTGCCACCCGACGCGTAGTCAAGTTCAGAGATCCTGTTCTCCAACTGATCAATCATCTTTTCTGCTACTGCCACATGCCTACTTCTCTCGAGCTCGACGAAGATCCCGGGGAGAACAAGTGGGTAACTTGATTCCGTAGACACTCGAGACAAGCGCCGAATAACTTCCTCTTCGATAGACAGTGGGCAACCAAGTAGAAGTGCGAATGTTAATCCTTGCTTTGGAAAGTGCGTTGCTGTAAGGGCCAAATCCATTTCCCAATCATTCGATGACCTGCAGTTGTACACTTGTGAGAGTCACATTAGTCCCTGATATTTATCTGCTCAAACCAAATCGACTATCGTACCAGTCGCCGTATGTATGTTGCCATTCTCCCCTTCCATTTGGACCTCGGCCGATGAAAACGTTGGAATATTAGCCCTGCTGACAATCGCAGAAATGGTGTGGTGAACAAAAAGTCGCTTTGAGATCAGGCGAAAGGTACTCTCGGTGAAAGGAAGTGTTCGAACGCTGCGTTGACCGTTGCTCAGGGGCGTGAGAGGCGATTTCTCAGCTAGGCTACCAAAAGTCAAAGCTCTCTTGTAGCTAGTGATAGCTGGCCTTTCTTCCTCATACCGAGACAGCCACTTGCCGGATGAGACACGTTTGGGATGCATGAACTCCATCTCACCGGTTCGTTTGGCCAAACATGAAGGTAGTTAGCAGGTCGGTCACCAAGAAAATCTTCTTTTGGCCTGAGCTTACATTAGTACGAGTCCAGATGAGGGCGCTGGGCCATCAAGTTGCGGACACTCCCCCTACTCCTCTGTAAGCTCGAAGCACCTTGCAAAATACCTCGTTTAGTGCTAACCGAGGAGATCCAAGACTCCCAGTCCTTCCTTGTTTTCAGCGAATACACCATAGGATTCTGTTCTTCATTTTAGTGGTCTTCCGAGACATCGATGGTTGTGAAGAGGCATACCTCATCTGCTGATGTCAAGCGAACCACAGTGGTATGCTTCTCCTCATATTTCCAAACCTTTTGGAAATCCTCCTCACTCACGCCAGAGAAGTCTTCAGCCCAATCCATATTGAATGGAGACTTGCGACACTTTCGAATGAATCACATGTGCAGAGAGTGAGATCTTGATATGCTCTACTACGGGTAGACAATTCTGCAAGTTCTTACTTGCTTCTTGTGCACGATGACCACAGGTGCGGGATTGTGTTCCATGCCAATCAGCACTGCCTCAACACCGCCAGCTGTATGTGCATGCTGCATAATGCAGTCCAGCGGGTTGATTACTGAGCTAAGCTACTTTTGTCAGCACAAATCTCTGGCACATATATACCTTGTTACACAACGCACGCCTCAATCAATATTCTGATTGCTCATGTTCGAGGCTTTTCTCGCAAAATGACAAGACGGTCATAGCGGACAATAGTCAGTTCGAGATCATAGTGAGACATTGGGATGATCAGCAGTTTGTCCCCTCCTCAGCAGCAAGCCTTGTTCTGCAAAGCGTACGTGAGCCCTTACCCAATCGTTGGACTCGGTGCTTACCGCTGGTCCAACGCAGCACTGCTGTGTGGCTCGAATGAACACGCGGCATGTTCTCTGCCGATGGTTTCCTGCAGCATGATTGCCACAATCCACTTGGATGACCATATTAAGATTCGTTCCATGAGCTTCTTGAAAAATTTTCAAGATTCCACGTCAAATATCAATCGAGTCGAAGAATGTCTCTCGAAGAATCCATTTAGACCTTTGAGAGCCACTAGCAAGATCACCAGCTCACAACATCTTCACCCAGAATTTGAACACGTTCCGGTTTCTTACACCTTCCTTCACCGTAAACTGCAACCCCAACTTGGCGTATCGTCACACTGAAAACTTCTCACATCGTGCAATGGTCACAATCAGCATTCGTGCAACGTACACCGAACAGACCGCTTTGGAAGTACTCTTCGGCCGACTATTCGGATATGGGAAAGCCACGGTTCTTGTGAGAAGCCATAGTAAGAATGCAAACAGCTCAAGGGATGAGACTGACCCAGGAAATGCGCATTCAGTGGAAGCGGGGGCGTTTTCAATGCACACTACCTCGGAACCTACACCCGGTATGTTCCTCATTGGCTATCAAACACTCCAAATACTTCGACCTGGGCTCTCTACCAAGTATCCGCAAGGCGATGATATTACTTTCTGACATGGTGCTATCTTGCAGGCTGAGCAGGAACTACTTGACAAAGCGATCCACCACGAGCACTATCAATGACACCAAAGCCAACAACGCGACGTCTTTCACCCAAGCCATGTGACCACTAGCCTGCGTTTCTTTTCTCGCATAATTTCTTCGGTCTCCAAAGGCTTATAGAGGTATTCAGGTCCATTTTGCATCAATTTTGGGGCACATAGACAACAGCATTTGGAGAGGAGTTCTGCCGCTTGTTCAGCATTCTTCTAGTTCATGTGTTGGACTTTGGATCAAACTAGAGCAACCAAAACAAATGTCAGGATATTGGTCGAGTAAAGCATATATGGACTATGATCATATTAGGATTGGAATTCAAAACTAGCACGCCAGGAAGACCACACCAGAGACCTCAAGGAGATAAACGCAAGCCGCATGGTGGATACCACAATGCACGAGCCAAGCTCCACACCGAGGATATCACACAGTAGGCGATGGAGGCTATCGAATACGCCTGCGTCTAAGGTTAGGTCCATAGTTCGGTGGATGTTCTTAGTTGTAATTGCAAAGCTGGTCAAAATTTGGAATAGTGCATGCCTTTCTGCACTGCTATTCCCATACTTCGATAATAGCGGAACAATAAAATCTTTCGTTTACATTGTAGTCTCAACTATAATATTTGTGTCACAGTGATTCGAGCGCGGGACTATGGCGAATGCTTCCAGCTATACTACAGGTCTACAGTATTGACTTCAGACGGCTGTAGAAGCAAAAAGGTGAGAAATATGTATTTCAGTGCGCTCTTTCCCGGATGATGATGCATTTAGCTATGGCCAGCAGAAATCTTCCAGCCCGACGCAGCCTTTGCAGAGGCAACAATCTGTTGTTTTCCGAATCTTTAAAGTTTCATCGTCGCAATGTCATCTCAGCATACAAGCAAAATTTATGAACGAACGATGGGGATAAGACGCATATAAATATTCCCTCAACGAGAAGGTCGCATAAGTGCACAGTAGAACTCTTATCTAAGCATGACTGACAATGCAAGCAATATGAAAGGAATTTATATGGAACCAAAAGGTTTGTTATCGCCGTCTATTGGGAAAGAGTGTCCATAGGGTCCCTAAGGGAAGGATTTGCATGAGTGAAGTGAATGTCACTGGCCGCAGGCCAGCCACATCAACGTGGATATGTCCCACTGGCCAAAGATGCAACGCGAGATGCATGTAACGGCGGCACGGGAGCTGCTCTTTTGAGGTTGATGTCCGACCCACACACATTTTGTGCAGGTGTAAGCACACCATTCCCTTCCTGCCACAGATTTCCAGTGTGTGCTGCGCATAGCCCTCGGTTTACCCGTTATGGTGCATGTGCTTACCCAGTCTGTACATGACCCCGATCTGCTAGCCAGGTTGAGTATCGTGTGTGCAAACAACTGCAGCCAACGCCAGGGAAGCGGCAGGACCAAAAGCTCGGGGGGTCGGCTAGACTCTGAGAAATGAGGCTCTGCGATTTGCGAACGGTGAGCTGGGTCGCGATATTCATCGGAACCGTGATACAGCTGCTTTTACCCCGCTCTAATTCAGGTGAGACGTCTTTGATTCGCTTGATTATTTGCGGCTTGCATGATAATCATACGGTGAACGCTATCAGAGGTGGGTGTCGACAGCATTCAGCCGTAATGGTGCTTCGGAGACTTGACGTGGACGCAGTTTTGTTGTAGCTCTCAATTAAGGTGGCCATAAATAGCCTTCGCATGATCATGTCTGAAACCGATTTACATAAAATGGAGCTAGGTACTTCAAAAGCGCCACGGTATCTATGAAAATAGGTTGGTCATCAACTACGAATTGTAATTTCTCCCAACATCCGGCACACAACATTCAACCACAACTCCCCAGCGAGCCTTGCATCTGTGTCTCTGTAGAAAGATTGCATTTGCTGTCTCAATGGCATACCAAACCTCTTTCGACAGAGCACCTGGGCCAGGAGTGCCCCAAATATTTGTCGAACAGGCATATGATGACGCGCGCGATGGTGCAGTGCGGTACAACAACAACAACACGGCAATTGGCACAATACCAACTTGGGTTCAGCTTCCCATGTATAATCAACAAACTCGTTTGGAACGTCAACTTCGGCAAAATCAAGTCAGACACGCAAGCGGTGTCAATAATCAGTCCTTCTGGCCACCAGGCGTTCTGAAAGCCTTGGTCACAAAGGAGGCTATTGCGAATGAGTTATCCCAGGCCATCCGAGGACTTGACCGAGATAAAGCAAGCGAGATAGCGAGACAGGTGTGGCAAGACAGATCTGGGCCCTCCATTAAGGTTTTCACTATTCTTCTGTTTCTGGGCAAACTCGACGATTTCGTGTATCACATCATGGGGTGCCGAGTTGGTGTACGAGACCACAACCTGCCGTTATCCTTGGACACTGATCCATGGGGATCAGTAAGACTCCTACACAAGGACAATACGGAAGCAAGTTGTTGCTTTGATAATTGGCAGGATTTGCTTCTCGAAGGATTTGACACATATCAAAGACGCCTTACGATACCGATCTTCAGGTTGAAGAAGGATGATAACACTCTCATCCATTTGGATTTGAATGCAAGGGATATTCTACCATGGTGCGAAGAAAATACTGTCGCACCGATTAACGCGATGTCAGGTGGGTTTGGAACAGTCACACGGGTGAGGATTCACCCGCTCTGTCACGAATTTCATGATACACTTAAAGCAGTGAGTTGTATTATATGGTCCCTTTGTCTCAGATAATTCTAAATCGCATTATAGATCAATGTCGCCGGTGGCCTCTTCGCCATCAAGAGATTAAGGCAACAGACTCGAATAGACTTTCAGCAGGAGGTTACTGCTCTTGAGAGGTTCAACGGAAAGGTCCATCCCCACCTCGTCACTCTCCTGGCGACTTTCACGCATGGCGGCTACTATCACATGATCTTTCCTTGGGCTGAATGTGACCTCGACAGTTATTGGGCGAAGCACCCGACACCGGACCCGGAAGACGTGGGCTTGATACGCTGGCTTTCGCAACAATGCTTGGGCATCATGGAAGCAGTGAGCGTTATTCACAACCCTGCTCACCTCCTGTCAGCTAGTCGGTTTGGCAGGCACGGAGATATCAAGGCGGAGAACATTCTCTGGTTCAAGTCACAAGACCCGTATGACCGGGGCATCTTGGTCATCTCCGATCTTGGCCTGACAGCCATCAACAGCGAAAAGAGTAGATCAATGCGACCAAACACGGACCTGAGGGTAACGCCGTCTTATAGGCCTCCAGAGTGTGATATAAAGGGCGGAGTTGTGTCTAGAGCTTTCGACATCTGGACCTTGGGCTGCCTCTACCTTGAGCTGGTCTGCTGGTTGCTGACGGGCAATCAAGGAAAACTGGAATTCGATAGTAGACGGACGACCCCGTTCATCTTTGGGGCTAACGCGGATGTCTACTTCGATATCAAAAAGCCGAGGAGGGACACAGCTGGGAAATACATCTTCCAGGTCAAAGGTGCCGTATCGAGGGTAAGTCTTTTGCTGGATTTCGCACACACCTTGTATCTTCACAAAATTTCACTAATAATGTTCCCAGACCATACGTGGACTTCACGAGCACGAAAGGAGCTCACTCTGGACCCACCACCTGCTGAACATGATAGAGGACGACATGCTGGTGGTACTATCAGAAGGCCATGTTCGCAAGACGTCCCGCGATCTGCTCGGAAATCTAAGAAGCATGCACCGCAGGGCTCAATCAGACGCTGGCTACTGCACAACTCCAGCGCCCCAGGCCAGGAACTCCAACTTGCGAAGGCCGACGCGGACCCTTGCGGAGCTCAATGAAGTGGCGCAGAACAAAGTCAGAGAGAATCCAGTGCGCACAGATGAGTCAGATGATCGCCCATGGCAGAGCTCTCTGCTGCCAGATGCACTAGGACGACTGGATATCTAGGAGAGTGGAACCGCTGGCTAGATTATGTGCCAGTGACATAAGGTCTTCCTGAGGTGTCTTCTTCCTCTTGCCTTCTTTTCACGCTCATTTGCCCCACCCCCTTTTGTCCCTGCTGAAGTTTCATCTTTCTTGTTTCTAATTTCTGTCTTTCCTGACAATGAATATCGACTGCTTTTTCTACTTGTTTATGGGCTGGAAGCGGTCTGATAGGGAGCCGAGCAACACACCATTCTCACTACGCACTACAAAGGGACCCGTGCTTGTCGACGTGAGGATACTTTCTGTCCGACAATGTTCTTACGAAGTAATCTTTAATAGATCTCGGGATGGGGGGAAAAGTTTCCCAGGCGTGCAGTCTGGGTGCTAGTGCCGAGTTCGAGATCATTGGGAGGCATACGTATAATCGGCTCTATTTACGCTTGTGTGGGATTGATCTTACCCGCCTGGGAGAACCCCGAAGTGGGGCTAGGGACGATGGCAAGATCAAAGGGGAAAGGTTCTATCAATCGACAACCGCCAGATGAGAAGAGACTTTGACTTGTTGGCCTCTGGTTGATTTCCCTCTATTCTGCACCGTTCCACGTTCCATTTGAGGATCCAATGGTGGCATATATCGGAACACCTTGCACCGCACGGGTAATCAAATACCCTCAATGATGACATCCGGACGGTACCATCGGGAAAGCGGGGCGTCCCCGGACCCGGCTTCGGAGCATCTGAGTAATAGAACAACGACAGTACACCATTACAAATAGCCTTGTTTGACCTCATCAGCTAAATAATAGTACAAGCCAAGTACATACCCGCCTCAAATTCAGGGCCAAGCGAAAGAAACGCCAAAGCGACAATCACCATGGCAGGGCCTTTCAAAGTAGCCGTGCTCGATGACTACTTTGGCTTCGCCGGGCCCATCTTCCAGAAGCTCGACCACAGCAAGTTCGAAGTGACCATCTTCAAGGACACACTGCTTCCTTACAACCACCCCGAGACACCCCAGGATGAGAAGGACAAGCTGGCAAAGCGGCTTGAGCCGTTTCCAATCATCTGTGAGCGCCCTTCATTGCGGCCTTCATATCTGCAAGAGTGCGCCCAAGACTGACCAGTATCAGGCACCATGAGAGAGCGCACACCGTTCCCTAGGGACCTCATCTCACGATTGCCGGATCTCAAGCTCCTCCTCACGACCGGCACGCGCAACAAGGGCTTGGACCTCGAGGCCTTCAAGGACCACGGCGTCCCTGTGGCAGGCGCAGTGAGTTCAGGCGACAGCACGACGCAGCACTGCGTCGCGCTGATCCTCGCTCTGGCCCGCAACATCGTTCCTGATGATCGGTCCATCAAGACTGGCGGGTGGCAGACAGGAGTGGCAGTGAAATTGTCGGGGGCAGTCCTGGGCGTTATCGGTCTGGGAAGGCTGGGTGCTGCTGTCGCGAAGATCATGCACACCGCGTTCGGGATGAAGGTGATCGCCTGGAGTACCAACCTGACGCAGGAGAAGGCAGACGAGCAGGCTCAACAGGCGGGGCTGCCTATCCAGAGCGAGGATGGGGAGAAGACGTTCAAGGCGGTGAGCAAGGAGGAGCTGTACAGCCAGTCGGACGTGGTGAGCTTGCACGTGGTGCTGTCGGACCGGTCGAGGGGCATGGTCACCAAGAAGGAGCTGGAGCTGATGAAGCCCGAGGCGCTGTTTGTCAACACTTCGAGAGGGCCTCTCGTGGTGGACAAGGACCTGCAGGACGTGCTGGAGCAGGGCAAGATTCGGGCGGCTGCGATGGACGTGTTCGAGCTGGAGCCGCTGCCGCTAGACAGCCCTTGGAGGACGACGAGGTGGGGAGAAGACGGGAGGGGCCAAGTGCTGCTGACGCCTCATACGGGGTATGCAGAGAAGGAGACGCTGACCAAGTGGTACGAGGAGCAGGTTGCCAATATTGTCAGGTGGGAGAAGGGAGAACCGCTGGCCCATGTGATGGCTTGATCAGGTAGATTGGGCTTCGAAGGAGACTGTCCACAAGGTTCAGACAGAGCTACCTGACTGCATTGTCCATGAGTTAGGTCAAGGCAGTGATGTGGAAACCACAACCCATAATGTGATATGCACCTGCCATTTGATCTAAACCAAACCCCATCTACCTGCCCTGGGCGCCTTCCCATTGTGTGTCTCAGGCACCGACTCCCCCACAATCTTGACTGGCATTATCTCCAGTCTTTGTTTACTGCACACATTGTGGCCCGCCAACTGGTGTGTGCCTGCCTCCCTGTCTCCTTCCTGCCTGCGTGGATGCCTTATTTGGATAGCAACCGTCATCACCAAGGTCGCGTCATACCGCGACGTGCCTGCCTGCCTCTGTTTGGCAAATCGGTCAGTCACAGCGACTCATTCTCTGTTTTCCTCTCTTCGCCTCTCTCTTATCATTCGTTTTTTGTTGCCTGAATCTTCCACTGACTGCTTGGGTACCCAAATCCCTTGCAAGTCCCTCCCAAACTGTTTTCTCCCTCTTGGTGTTGTTGTCTTTTGTTGGGGGAATCATCGCGCTGTTTGGCTGACACGCCTCCGAAATGTCTGCAGATCTCATCGAGAAACTGCTTGCCAAGATGAAGAAGACAGGCTCTTCAGACATGTTGCCTCCCAAGATGGAGCCTGGCGAGGCACCAAGCTCTGGTGAGTGTCTCCTACTTCCTTTGCCCCTTGGGATCCGTCCTGACGAGGTCACTACTGATCACTCCACAGATGCTCCGCCCTTCCCCAGTTACTCCATCCAGCCCGAGCACCCCATCATGACCAGCGCGCCCAGATATCCTTTCGTAAGGCCCTTTGCCGGTGGCCCCATACCAGCCCCAGGAACTCCCCAGGACCGTTTTGCGGCTGTTTTGGGCAGACCTCGTTACAGTTCCTTGCCAGCCCCTTTGCTGGGCATGGCCTTGAACACCACCACGCCTTTCCCGCCTCCCTCCCATCAACAGTCCTCGGCATTCGGTATGCACTTGGCTGCTCCAGGCGTCTCTACTCCTGGAGCCCTCTCTACGCCCCAGCCTATCCCCAGCCTCGCTGCACCTGCTGTGCACAAGCCGCAAGTAGGACCCACTGGCAGGTCCAGCAACAATGGAGGGGGCCGAGGCCCAACATTGCCTGAGCCAGGCGCCCCAGTGACAACTTGGTAAGTCACGCCAATGGGAACTGACAATGTCCACGATGAACCGTGGTGAGGATCGTCGGGAGTCGCGCGAGACTGGGAGTTCTCGCCACCACATTTGATGCTTCTCTCTTTTCCTGAACCTGTTCAAAAGACTTACACAGACTGTCCCAGGCTCAGCTTCGAGTGCCAACGACGCCACTTCAATCCCGAGTTCAAGACCAGAGAGATTTTCACCAAGGATGGAAGGCCCAAGTATCAGTGCATTGTCACTGTGAAGGATATCGTCATCGACAGCAACACCCTTTTCAATGACCCTTTGGACGCAAAAGCCCATGTCGCCGACAAGGCCCTCAAATACATACGTAGAGAGTGGCCTAGGAATGGGTTGCCCGCGTCTTACAACAGCGCCCCGGGAGCTGCCACTGTCAAGAACCAGGTGGAAGACCTGGGTCGACGTCAGGAAGAGCTGAGGCAAATGCTGAAGCAGCGTCAGCAGACGAAGAGCGCTGAGCCGCTTCAGAACAGCCCCCCAGTCTCTTCAGGCGTGGATATGACGGATCCCGCTCAAGCTCGTGCCTTCGTCGAGGGCTTCAAGGTTGGCCAGCTCGCAGCTCAGCGGGAAGCCGCAGGAGGCGGCTCTTCGCCCCCTAGCATTCCGCCGTCACGTCGTCGATCCCGGTCCCCCGCTCGCCGCCGGAGCGGCTCTCAGGGCAACGCAGACGATTCCTACCGCCAACGTTCCCCGATTCGTGATGCGACCAAGACAGGCACCGAGGCTTTCTCGCCCCCTCGCTACTTTGATGGTAGTCGTCATGGTATGTAAATTCAACCCGAAATGATTTGGCTTTTTCGGCAGATCGTTATCTCTAAGAAAGCCAAATTGGACTGTTTTCTACAAAGGGCGATAGCTGACCGATGAGGCTCTGCAGACTCCCGCTTGCCTTCGACAGACAGATATCGGCCCCGCAGCTCTCCCTCGAAGAATTGAACCGGAAGTCTTCAGGGACTTGATGTTGCACGAAAACGCATGTTACGACGGTTCGATGCATGCGCGAGCACTTCCTGGGTGTGAACCTGTGTCACTGGTGGTGGGAGCGCAAAAGATTCCTCTTTTAGTGGGCACGGGCTATCTATCGTCTTGAGGTTCCCCTCTCTTTCTGGTGATCTGCTATGGTGGTCATAAATCTGGTAGGCCGAGATTGGAGTTAGATTGCGCTCATAGTCCACGGGAAAGCAAGGGCTTCGCATTCATGGCCCCCATTAGCCAGTCTGCAAGAGTGGCCAGTTTTCCCGGGGGCATGAACAGCGAATCTACCCATCTCTGGCTCATAGCATCGGCCCCTCCGGGGACCAGCATCTGGAAGATGCCCGGAGGGAGCCTCTCGCCATCCTTCTGGATTTCCTATTAAGCAATTCTTTCATGGCGAGCTTCCTGGAACAAGGTGCCCCTTTTAAAGGGCCGAGGCGTTCAGCTGTTGTGGATTTTTACACTTGTCGGAGTATTCTGATTTCGTTCGACTTTCGATGAAAAAGGATGGGTAGTACCTGTAGAGGAAGGCCATACCATTTTGTGGAAGGCTAGGCGACGCCAATTCCTTGTGATAGTTCCGCGGCCTTTGCTCCTCGAGTGAGATACTTGTCAAACGGTGATTTCTGTCACATATTTCACTTCACCATCGGGCTTTAGGCGAAGTTAGTTGTCGCTATGACTTTGAATGAACATAGTTGGTTGTCTCGAGACAATCTGTATTCTCTCAGTGGTGACTCTTTACCTAGGACAGACCTGCGCAAGCGCAAGCCTTGAGAATCATCCTCCTGGCCTATCGGTGTTCAGCGCTTCACAGGCGACTGGGCATCCTCGCTCCCCCATCCAAACGAATCACACATCCGTTCAGCATGACATTCTCAATGATATGCTTCGTTAGCGCCGCGAACTCCTCCGCCGTCCCGCCCCGCTTGGGGAACTCCATCGCCTTCTCGAGGCTGGTCCGAACCTTGTCGCTCAGTACACTGGTCATGGGCGTCTCGAATGTCCCCGGCGCGACAGTTACGACGCGGATACCGTGTCGCGAGAGATCCCTCGTCATCGGCAGGGTCATGGACGCCACGGCGCCCTTGGATGCTGCGTACGACACCTGGCCCATCTGCCCGTCGAAGGCGGCCGCCGACGAGACCATCACCACCACGCCGTGCTCCTTGTCCTTGGAGGGGGTCACGAAGGGTGGTGACCGCGATAGCTGCGGGAGGAACTGTCGCACTAGGTCGACTGTGCCGCGGAGGTTGATGCTGAGGACGAAGTCTAGGGATTCTAGGCTCAGGGGCCGGTTCTTGCCGTCGAGGATCTAGCGTTTCTCGTTAGTCATTTAGTCTGATGGAGCTGATAAAGCGTGTGTATCATGCTGTCCCTGTTGCCAGGTGGCAGACTGCATCTCCCCGTGGATAGTATAGGTAAGGGCAGGGGGCAGCGTTAGAGCACTGAGTGAAGGTGATTCATCATACCAGTGCTGGATTCCCGACCCCAGCAGCGGGAATTATCCCACCCAATGGCTTGCCCGTCTCGTGAACCCACTCCGCCGTGCCCTTGACAGCGGCAGCTATGCTCTCCGTGTCGGTGACGTCCACTGCAAAGAACTTGGCCCTCGACGGCCCGCCCAGCTGCTTCACCAGCTCGGCGCCCGCATCCTCGTTGAGGTCGAGGATCGCGATGTTGCCGCCCTCCTTGTTGAGCTCAACGGCTGTTGCGCGGCCGAGGCCGGATGCCCTGTTGTGGTGGACGTGTTAGCGGGCGTGGACGTCCAAGTGAGCCAGGGCGCGTCAGTCTTGCATGTGATCGGTCCCTTGATGGTGCCTGATCTATCCAAGCTGGCGGGGACACTAGGGATGGTTGATGAAGACTCACCCGCCTGATATCACAAATGTTCGGCCCGATATCTTCATTGTGAGGACTGTGCTATGGGTTGGTTGAGAAGCGGGCAGACAGTCCGCGGGAGTTTGATCGTTGATCTAGCCGTCTCACTCACTGACCAAGGGGGGTCCATCCGGGTGTTCATCCGTGAGCCTCGGCTCAAGCTCTCCGACCACTCGCTTACCTCAGCGTCCAACAACACCCAGCATTCTTGTAGGTGGGCGCGATACATCGATTCTCTGATGCACCCGTACACAAAAAGATTATCTAGATGATGAAAGCATCGTTCACGATGGCAAAATGAAAAGCAGGTTCTGCCCGGGCTCGAACCGGGGATTCAGGAAGGTTTCAACATGTTCAACATCAAAATCCTACGTGCTAACCGCTACACTACAGAACCTTGATTGGGGTCAAAGTTTTCAGCTCATATTCATCTCACCGTTCACTGGCGTTAGACAAAGCACATTCTACACAACACACGCAATTAGCAGAGGCAAGCTTGAGGCAGAGAAGTGTCGTAGGAGGCATCTAGGCACTGCAATCCTGAAGAAAAGGGCTGCTCGGGGAAGGGGGGCAGTTTGGGTTATGTGAGTGGAATGCGAGAGATTCAACTAGGTTCATGGTGTCTAATACAATGTCATATGATGATCTGCTTCTTTCTCATCAGTTATAGTGTCTCAGTCAGACTAATCAGATTTCTGTAAATAGCTCTCTTGGCGTTACAGACTAGCCTCTAGGTAGAGAGCAAGAGTATCTCGCAGCAAGACGGACGACGAGGTACCGTTGCATCTTTAACTCACTTGATATTCAACTATAGTAGAGACAATCCGCATACATTAATTAGCTGTTTGATATTCATACTTTCAGAAGTAGTGCACTGCAGTGTCCCAACCATCCGTGCGAATAGACGCGTCTATATTTGTCCAACACCTATCCAAGTCCCCGGCTAAGCCTCAAGCGCGGTGGATTTCTCCCTATGCGAGATCAGTCTAGGAAGGGTGGTAATTCGGGTTCCGGACTACACATACGCGCAGATATTGTAGCACCCATGTTCATTCGCATCTACCTTGCAATACAAGTTTGGCTGGGCGCAGCATGATGTGTCGCCGGCTCCACCACAGCAGTCTGTTCAAGATATTAGCACATGTTACAGAATTCATAGCATTGGGAGATTCGAGTGAGAGTGGAGAATATGAGGTGCATAAGCAGGAGCACTCACTTCCTAGCCCACGGCAGACCTGGGCCGATGTGCCCAAGGCCATTAGGGCGATTACAAAGATGGTAACGAAACGCATGGTGAAGGTGCCGTAAGTGAGGGTGCAGTTTGGAGAAAGGCAGAGTATGTGACTTTGAGTAATGACCAGGCGCTGCTTCTTTGATGGCCGAGCACTCTTTCTCCATTGAGGCTGGGATAACATTTTATACTTAAACATCAGTCATGCGAGGCTGTCTGCTCTACAATACAGATGTTGAAACGATAGTATTATCTCGTGTTCTGTTAATTGCCAAGTCCGAGATTCAGGTCTTTCAACCTCAATGAGGCAGGCAACTGAATAAGCTCGGCTTAGTTCACCAGGCTCCGGGTTGACTTTTTCAGGGGCGTCAATGCAACACTTCCCCCGCGTGCCAGCTGTTCGTCTCCCTCCAAATACCTAGATAGGCAATAAGCCATTGGCGCTCTTAGTGACGGAACCTCGATATATTAGAATGTAACAGAGGTTGGTAAAATTTATGTCTGAAAACTCGGTCGGTTGTTATGCTACCGGTGATTACAAACCAGAGTTCCCTTCGCCTTCGGTACAATGTGCTTTTCAAGTCAAACCTTGTGCATATTTTCTCATCTACCGTCTTGTGACCAACAATGACTAGATCCACCTTCCAAAACCGGCGAGCAGGCGATTCGCAGAGTCCATGCAACAACACCGACACCCGTTCGCACTCGGTTCCCCCTGGATGCTTAGCAGTTCAGTCCAGCCACACATGGGTCATCTTCGAAGGCCTTATAGACGACCTTGGAACAGTCAACCAGCGTTGTGACATCGTTCTCCAGGGTGATCAGCTTGGTCCAGCTGCACATCCGTTAGTCAATACCACTAGATAGATCATGAGGATGAATAGTGAAAGGCTAAGGAAACAAAGGATTTAGTCAAAAAAACATACCCTTCGACGTAGTCCTTCTCCCAAGCTCTCTGGCTCGCAGCGTACTCGTTCCAGGCGTCACGAGTCGCAGGATCCTGTGACAGGGAGAAGTCACTGGGCAGGGTGGTAGGGGCGTAGCCGTCCCGGGTCTCGCTATAGTAGGTGTACGAGTCGAGCTCGCCGACGGTGGTGTCAAAGGGCGTGCCCGTGTGGTTCCTACCCGCGCTGTGAGCGCCGACGAGGGCGACCAGGTTGTCGGACGTGAAGCCCTTGGCGCCGAAGATATTAACCAGCGTCGGGGCATTCAAAAAGGGCGGTGGCAGCTGGTTCTTGGGGGCTGCCATCGGGTTGTCCGGCCGCCCGACGTAGAAGGGCGTGTAGGGCCCACCTGGGCAGGCCTTATTGCCGATGGCTGAGAGTCGTGAGTCTTTTGTTGTGTTTCATTTCTTAGACTTCAATGTTGGGTACTCACCACCAGCCAAGTTGACCAGGTCAGCCGCACCAACCTTGTACTTGTTGATCACATCAGCGAGCTTGGTGCAGATCTGGATGAGGTTCTCGTTCTCAAATCGAGTGAAGCACTCATCAGAGAGAAGGATGGAACCGTCACAGCCACCGTCGGTGAAGCAGTCGTGGAACGGCAGGCGGATGGCCTGGTGAGCGGCATTGGTGCAGAGACCATTGCTGTCGATGAAGGAGTACCTCAGTTCCTTCGCGATGTAGTTCCAAACATCGTAGCACTGTGGTCCATCTTGTGTCCCACCTGGCGCGCCCACTGCCCCAGCGGCCAGAAAGAAGGAAGCGAGAGCTCCCTTTGAGAACATGTTTGGAAGAAAAGGAATTCAGAAATAGATTGAACGGATTTATGAAGAAAGATTGAAGAAAAATCACGATCTCAAACTCTGGTGAAGCTCGAAACAAGTGTGACATGCTCTTCTTGAAGTCAGAGTCCGAAAGATCGAAGACAGCAACTTCAACGGAAATCTATGACCACGACGTTGCTCGAGGTATTCAACTCATGGCGACCCCTCTTCCCAACCGTCGCTTGGGCCACCCATGAATGCAAGACATCGAGACTCTCGACCTCGTCGTCATCGTGATTCGTGATGATAAAGACCTCCGCCCATAACCGCTGATGAGACCCGCTGGGGACGACAAGGTCAGAGACCAACGTCGGTTAAATCAGCTTATTCAAGGCTGGAGGTCAGTCCGGGGACAGCTTTCCGCTGTCAATACACAGACGGACCGTCGCTAGCGCGTTTGCTTTGACAATAGCTGGCTGTAGTGTCGACGCGACGCGTCTGGGTGCAAAACGAGCAGGTTCAGCAAATGGCCGGTCGAAAAGGGTATTCGAGGTCGATATCGAGTACGAGCAATAGGATCGGGGGGATTTCCAATCCCCACCCGCGAGAAAGTTGGTCCTTGGTTGGGAAAGAGCTGCGAGAATATGGTGGTACTGGCAACTGGTAGCTCAAGTACTGGAATAAGCGGCCAGAACCTCGAAGAGCACCAACATGTCCCAGGCGAGTCAGAAATTGAACATTGTTAATCATCTACGCTCGAAGGAGTGATTCGATTTAGGCAAAAAAAAGGAAGACTAAGAGCAAAATGTGGACGCTGGGGAACAAGTAGATTCAGCGTGTAATACTATGAATTAAGTATATCTATTAACAATTATCTGTACATGAAGTGGGAACTTGACAGGATCGCGATCAGCCTTCTTTTGTCTTTGATTGCACAATTGCCTCGCCAGGGATATGTTCTTGACCGACGGCTCTTGATCTCCACAGGTGTGCAATCGCGGTTGGTACGATGGCTGAGGCCGTGATTGAAGCCCAAAATTGCCAGGAGAGCAAGAGACTGCAAAATTGCGGCTCTCTAGCCAATATCTCAGCGGCGGTGAGATTTTTGTTGTGTATCTCTGGGGTCTGTCCTGTCGAGACAAGGTATACGATGTAACTGACCCATCCAAAAACAGTCAGGAGACCCACAGTTCTCAGCCTCGGCAGACCCGGTATTCCTGATTTCCTCCGTGAGAGACTGCTGAAGTAACGAATTGTGGTGGAAGAGAACATCACGTAGAGGCCTCCAACCACGAGGGTGTCCTGCAGCAGGAACTTGAGCCAGTATGGCAGTGGAGGCGATCCGTGAGTGACCGGGGGTGAGTCAATGGTGTAGTTGTCGTTGAAATCAAAAGAATATGCGGACTTGGTCGTCGCAGTCAAGTTGAACCGCCAAACAGTCATGAGCACAGCGAGCGAGCCCATGCTGATACCGGTGCTAGTTTTTGACATGGTAGGGTCAGCGGCTGCTTCGACCACCAATTGTACCACGAAAGTCTTGAACGCAGCGCCAGCCACCGATGAGAGTCCAGTACCAACAGCCAAGACAAAAACGAAGTATTGACAAAGGTTGATTATGCTGGAATTCAGCTCCGCTTGAGACGTGAGGCGCCCCTTGGAGGATACCTGTGGCTTAGCCTGAAGATGGGATAGATGACAGGCGTATTGAGAAACAGCCTTGGTGAGCGAAGAGCTGAGGAGTAAACAGGAGAGCAGAGTAGATTTGTCGATAGACCCCTCAATCGTTGGAGACAAGAACAGCACCAAGGCGGTGATCGCGAGGTCGCACTGCGTGTAAAGTAAAGACATCCAATGCCAACGAATGAAGACCCGCAGAAACGCTGCAATGAGTCTTGATCCAGCGAGGCCGATAGTGCCTGCCAACAGCGAGTTCCACATCAGGTTGGTAAGTTCCGTTGTGGTAACAGGCTTCAATGTCGTATTTTTCCAGGAGTAGAGAAGGACGACAGAGACTTGGGTGCCCATGAATGCCGCGCCAGTGAGCAAGGTAGCGGAAGTGATGTTGAGACGAGCTCCCATCTGGACTCTGAACACACCGGAATCCTCGACTTGCAATACGCCTGATTTCTTCAGACGGATGAAAGTGATCCGTATGATGTACACCAGATGGAACAAATAAGCACTGGCGATAACAAGTGCTGATCCAGCCTGGAGGCCACTGGCAGGGATCATAGCTAAAGCCATGATGGTAGTAGGTGCTCTGGTGACGAAGAGGAAGATGGTTCCGTAAAAGGTGAGACCCCAGTCCAAGTTTGGTCGCGTCTGAAGGTGGCCAGTCCACTTGAGCACATTGCGAAGGCTGTAGATAATTTCAGACCACAGAGCCGCCAAGGACAAGTCAAGGCCTCTTCTGCAGATATGAAATTTCGCAACCATGCTCATGCCGAGAAGAACTAAGAGGTGGTGAAGGAGCATCTCCGGAATGTGTAAGTAGTGAGGCATCTCCGAAATGTAAATGACCGTTCGTGACCCCCAGCAAAATTGCTGAGAAGGATTCATCGGGCGGCGGAACCCAGCAATGTCGTCTTCCGGGGCCGTCTTCCATACTGCCAGGCCACAACTGATCAAGGGAATGGGCTTGACTATGAGGCCGAGTAGAATTCCGAAGAAGAACAAGTACTTCTTCTCGTAGTTGCTCCGTAGTTCTGTGTAGAACTCTGGGCTCCACCATCTCACAATCCGATCAATCGCGAGACGGTACAGGGGCCAGGCTGCGAGCCCAGCGAGGAGAGGCAGGAAGGGAACGTCCTCCCGTAAGTTGTCGGGCTCAGTCATGATGTTTTAGCGAGAGTTGACATCGAGCTGTTGGCGGCACGGGTTTGGGGCCTGATCTCGTAAAGCAGACCTGATAATAAATGAACAATCAAAATATACTCAATCGGCTGATCGGTTGTAACATGATAATGGGGCCCCGGGACATCGAACGGAGCATGAAAACTTTTCCTGGTGCGCTCCTTGGTGCCAATGTTGGTATTATGTACCCATTCATCGGGTTCCTTCAAGGCCCTTCGCGCATTGTACCTTCCAAGCCAGTAATCGTAGCTTCCACCCATCAAGCTCTTCGTATACGCATGGCTGTCCCCAGAGTACGCTTTGATTCTTGCAGTATCGCAGTCTCGATGGCACAGTTACCAACATGATATGGTCTGGAACTTACTGCTGATTCCAGTCCCCGATGGCATCCAAGTTTTGGGTGGAATGACCATCGTCCATGATGCTAGCTAGGTAGGGCTTGCTAGACCCCGGCCGAAGGTAAGAAGGACATGTTAGTGTGACGCCGCGAACTCTTGAGCTATGTGTCGATGACATTGAACCAAGGTATCCGTATAGAGATTGAGTTAGTTGACTCGAGGTTGAGTATCTAAACTAGTTAGTCATCGCACATTGCAGCTTCAAAATTACGACTGGCTTCACACGTGCAGCTTTCTGGAGCTTTGACCGGTTGCGCTGGCCACAGCTCATGAGACCAAAAATTCTCACACCCAAATTCTGTTCCTTCCCGTTCAAACTCCGGCCGCAGAGACCAGTAGAAGGCACCGTCTATTATTACCTTTGATGATCTGGGAAAGAGGGGGATCTTGTCGAGACGTCAAGGTGACTGCGTGCCGAAAACCCAGGGAGCCTGTGTGTCCAAACACCAATTTGGGCGACATACAGCTATTTTCTATTGTTTCTTTTGGCTACACCTGATGCTGACCTTTTGACAAGGTGTTGTATCTGCATTCTTTCAGTAATATTCATTCGACACTCGTTCAACCTCACAACCCTCATTGATCATTTGCCGGCCACGAGGAGATATCTTTAGTCTTTGAGTGCTCAATGTTTGGGCAGAATCACCACCTCCAATGCCTGATACCACGGATCCAGCAAGCCCGACGGCACCAGAATATCTCCCTATGGAGGGCTATCTGGAACATGCCGTAACAATAACAGACGAAAAATCAAAATCAGCAGACAGCATCACGCCGCCAACAGTCAACGACGATGAGACAAAACTCACTGCCCCGGTCATCATGCCCACAGCTTTCGCAGCGGACCAGGAGCGACAATCCCTGACCACACTCCCAAAGTGGAGGAAGTGGAGCCTCTTCGCCTGCTCCTGCGTGTTGCAGTTCCTTCTCCAGCTAGACATGGCCGGCGTGGCCGTCACTCTTACGGTAAAGTTGATGACACCCCTGGCCTCCATCCCTCCACGCTACTGAAGAACCGAGAAGACGTAGAAGAGAGCGGCTGACGAAGGTCCACAGAAAATCGCCACGGACCAGAATGCAGCCCAGGTTAAGATCTTCGCCCTGGCGACGGGCTACTTCCTCGCGCAGACCGTTTTCCAGCTCGTCTTCTCACACATATCGCACGCCATCGGCAGGAAGTTAATGTTCCTCACCGGACTGGCACTGTTCCTGGTAGGTGCAAGCATCGCAGCGTCGCGTGCCTTGATGAACGTTTTGATCTTCGGGCGCGTGGTGCAGGGCATCGGGGCCGCCGGCATGTTCACCATGTCTGCCATCGTTATAGTCGACCTCACGCAGCCGCGGCAGCGGGCTGGGTGGCAGGCCATATCGCAGGCCTTTGGCGCACTGGGCAATATCTGCGGACCGCTGATGTCTGCGCTCCTAATCAACAAATTCAGATTGCCTTGGGTGAGTTCGTCGTCGTCGTTGGCAGTCCTGGTCTTCCTCGCACAACCGGTTGACATCATACGCAGAGTTCTATCTTCGTCACCGAGGCCGTCCTCGTCGCAATTCTTTTCCTCGCCCTCCTTGTCCTGCTCCCGTGCGACGCCCGAAAATTAGGGGACGCGTGGCGAGAGCTCCGAAAATGCGACTGGATCGGCATGCTGGCCTTTTTCGTCTGCTCGGTCTCGATCCTCACGCCCATCAATATCGGCGGGGCTACCACGGCGCTGGGGTGGAAGTCGGCGCCTGTGATGAGCTGCTTCGCGGTCGGCGTCGTCAGTCTCGGCTTCCTGATCATGCATCAACGTTGCCTGGCCGGGAAGCGGCCCCGGCCCGCATTCCCGCGCGAGGTCTTTTCGCGGCGCGTTACCAACATCGCGTTCCTCGGTACCGCGGCTGGCGGCGTGCTGCTGTCGATGGTGTTCTACAACCTCGTGTTTTACTTCGAAGGTGTCCGGCACTTGTCGACGAAGCAAACGGGAATCATGCTGCTGTCGGTGACGCTGACGTACCCGGTGGCGTACATGGTGACGGGGCTGATGATCCGGCGCTGGGGCCACGTCAGACCAGCGACCGTCTTGGGCTCCGTGCTGGCGACGACGGGCCTGGGACTGATGCAGCTCATGACGGAGGACGCGACCGTGCACAGGATGCTCGCCATCTGCATGTGTGCCGGCGCCGGGTGCGGCATATTGGCGCCGGCCATGGTCAACACCGTCCTCGCTAGCACGGAGGCGCGCTGGCACCCGCATGCCATCGCCACACGCACGCTGATCTACACGGCCGGCCAGTGCATCGGCGTGTCGGTCGGGCTGGCAATCTTCACCAATGCCTTCGAGGCCAAGTTTGGGGACAAGGCCGTCGCCCGCGGCATCCTCGCCAACAAGCAGGGGCTGCTCAGCAAGATCAATGAATTACAGCGGCTGAAACCCGACAGCGAGGTTTTCGGCATGATCGTCGAATCACTCAGGTGGGTCTGGGGGGTTGCCTGTGTACTGGCTTTTCTTGTTGGCGTCCCAGCTTGCTGGGTGAAGTGTCCTAAATTGCCCAAGGATCGCCCAGAAGGGACTGTGTTGCCCGACGAGGAGCGCCAAAACGACAGCCATGAAATGTCAACTAGGCAATAGGAGGGCCGCGGCTTTGTCTCGGCTTCCCCTGAATGAGGCAATAGAGGTGTGTTGGAAAAGTAGGTGTCTCCGCGTTGATGGATAGTGCACGTCTATTGTATTCGCAGTCTTGGGTTGGTCTGCATCTACCTATTTTCCCGTTTGTCTTTACACGGCACTCAGGTAGTTCGTATCCTTCCACTGAATGAACGGGGATTTTCGAAACCCGCACCATCTAAATCATGCCAAGGTATCGTGTCTCAAATACCGTGTCCTTCGTAGCGCCCTTGACCCCGATGCTGACGACCTCGCCGGGCACAATGTCCACGAGGTTGTCATCGAACTTGACATTGTCGTCCTCGCACTCTACTGCCAGGCCCTTGATCGGGACCTCGGCGCTGATCTCGACAGCGGTGCCGTCCTTGTTCAGGGCAGCTTTGAGCTCCTTGGGCTTCTGCAGGTGCAGGTACTTCAGTGGCTCGGGCCAATTGACGTATCTGGCCAGTTGCTTGCCCGTCTTCTTGCAGATCGTGTACGCGGCGACCACTGTACGTGCCTCCTCGCCCTTGCCAGGGTTCTTGACAGGGACATCTTGAGCGAGGATCTCGGTTGACCTGTTCTCATGCAGCACGATATCCTTCTTGACCGTCTCGTTGTACGTCTCTTTGCCCGTCTCGACGTCCCACGCCTTCAGAATTGTATCGACGGTCACGTCCTCAAGCGTCAGGTTGCTGCCCCACACCTCGATGACGGTCTTGGTCTCGACGTCGACGCGGGTGTACTTGTCCTTGGGGTGCTTGTGCTCGCGGCGCGTCATGCCGATGCTCAGAGGCGCCATCTCGCGCTTAACGGTATAGTAGGCGTGCTTGGGCCGCAAATAGTAGTCCACAATGGCCCAGGATGTGACAGGCCAGCAGTCGTTGATCTGCCAGACTAGTGTGCCGCCGCAGTATTCGCGCCCGGGTCCTTTCCACTGGCGCTTCCACAGCCGATACGCGGACGCGAGGCACTCGGCCTGCATGAGTTGCGTGCAGTAGACAAATTGCTCGATCGGGTCCGGTGCATAGCGGAAGTTCTCGACCAGGTATAGCGCTATGCGGCGTTCGTGACCATCGGCCTTGTTGTGGAAGTCGATGGTGCTGGATTGTGGGTAGCGGTCTGGGTCATCCTTACCCTTGGGCAGGAAGGCGTCGATGGTTTTGAGGTTGGGGAAGGCTTCCATGCCGAACTCGGAGACGAATCGTCCGACGAGCTTGTCGAAGTCTTGATACTTCTCTTGGGACCCGTGCCAGACGTTCCACTGATGGAGATCGCCCACTGTTGGGTCTGATGTGGGCTTGCCTGCTCCCCAAGGGCTGCCGAAGTGGTAGTATGTGTCGGGTATGAGCTCCGAGCAGGCATCAGCGAGGATTTTCTCGTAGATGTAACGTGCGGGGAAGTCGGTCTTGAGCCAGGACTCGGCATCCTTGTTTTCGAAATCGTACGTCAAGTTCTCGGACTCTTGGTACTGGTAGTCCTCGTTGTTGCCAGCCCAAATGACTATGGAGGGATGGTGCCTTAGGAGCTTGACGTTCGCCTCGGCCTCGCGCTTGATGGACTTGAGGATAGAGGGATGAGCCGGGTAATTTCCACATCCGAACATGAAATCCTGCCAGACAAGTATGCCATATTCATCGCATGCGTCATAGAATGCCTGCTCCTCGTAGATACCACCGCCCCATACACGGATCATGAACTGGTTGCCGTCGGCGACAAGCTTGACCCAGTCGTAGTAACGTTGACGGGAGATGCGTGGGAGGAAATTGTCGGCCGGGATCCAGTCACTGCCACCGCAGTAGATGGGGATGTTATTGACCTCGAAGAAGAACGAGGTGCCGGGCTGTCCTTTCAGTGGTCGCTGGATGAGCTCGGCTCGGCGCAGGCCGATCTTCTTGGTGACGCTGTGGATCTCGTCGTCGCTGTCGCTGAGGAGGGTGGCCTTGATGGTGTACAGAGGCTGCTTGCCGTAACGGATTGGGTACCAGAGCGAGGGGCTGCTGATATGGAACGTTGCCTGGAGATCAGCACCTCCCTTGATCGTCTCGGATGCCACGCTCTTGTCATCCAGGGTGACGTCGAAACGGATCTTGTTGGCTGGACCCTCAACGTCAGCATGAGTGACAACGGTTGCAGTCTTCAGATCCTTCTCAACAGTGCTTTGGAAGTACAGATCCGAGACTCGAGACTCATAGATCTCGAGATTGACTGGCCTCCAGGGGCCACAGGTGTTGAGGACTGGACCCCAGTCCCACCCAAACTCATATTGTGCCTTTCGGACGGCCAGTCTTGAACTGTCACCGTTCCAGCAGCCCCATTTGTGATCTGGGTGTTTCTCGACTTCCTTCCATCCCCTCAGATAGGCACTGTCGAATGTGATGACCAATTGATTGTCGCCTTCCTTCACAGTCGAAGTGACATCGACCCGTTCAGGTGTGAACATGTTGTCCGACTCAAGGATGGTGGTGCCATTGAGGACGACCGTTGCAAAGGTGTCCAGGCCGTCAAAGGCAAGGACAGCCTTGTTGCCCTTCCCGACCGCCGGGGCTGTGAAGGAAGTCCTGTAGACCCATTGCTTCTCTCCTATCCACTGGACATCGAGCTCGTTCTTGCCGATGTAGGGGTCGGGGATGAGGCCATGGTGCATGAGGTCGAGGTGGACATTGGTGGGGAACTGGGCGACGGGCAGGAACTTGTCGTCGTCCTTGTCAGCCTGCCTGAACTCCCAGTTCTTGTTAACGGGTATGACCTTGGCTGCCATACTGCCAGCGGGGCGGTGGTGATGTTGGTGTTGTTGAAGGAGAGGGGTATACGATGGTGCTCTTGGCGGGGCCCGTCTTGGAGCAGATGATAATGGCTCTGGGGCAACAACTCCAGGGGCTGTATCCCGTGAAGGCGTGAGTCTTGTCATTGCAAGACTTTCGGGGGAAGATGTCCCATGAGGAGAACGGGTGTAGGCTCTTCTTATACGCCGGCCAGCGTGGAGAAAGTGACGATGAGGTGGTGTTGTTGTGGTTGGAGAAGCTTACTGCACCGCACCATACTCATGCAGCTCCCTCCCCCATTCTCTCCAACATCCCCCCAACTCCCAGGGGTGCCATGCATTCTGGCAGCCCACAATGGGATAGTGCCACGATGGAGAGCCCCTCATTGAGGCCTATTCCCTGTCCCACGATCCTCACCATGCTGCAGCCGCACGCAGGAACGCGGGGGGAAAGCCGCCGAAATTCATGGGTAGTACCACCATCAGATTGCGTCTTGCTGCATGAACCCTTCCCCCATTCTCTAGCAGCCCTGGCACCCCTGGACTTCACTTTTGCCGTCGGAGAAAATCAACCATAGTCTTGCTGCTGGCTGTTTCTCTTCTATGACTTGCACAAGCTGTCTAGCACGTGTTAACCATATATTCCACTATATGTTCTCTTGAGGTTCGACTGATGGAATTGTGCAGTCAAAAGATAGGCTATAGTTATGGAAGGTTGATAGACTCGACCGTCTCCTCTCACAACCAGCTTAACCGTCCTTGGATGTTCTAAGGCCCGGGATATCGGCCAGCTCTTCCACGGCCCAACCCGAGCAGTCTCTCATGACAGCAACATGCTCACCACCAGTCTGCCGAAGATTTCCCATGTGAGATGTAAGCCTGATACGAGAAAACCTCTGAGTGTCGACTGACACGAGGCTAAGGGAAAAGAATCATCCCGGCTTACAGTCCGGTAGCTTCCCGGGATCGCCTGTAAGTGGGCGGTAGTGGGCAGTAGTGGGCGGACGAGGCCTCTCCGCCGTTCCGCTTCTAGCCCTCTGCCGTGGCTCTACCGATGCTTACGCCCTGCCAGCGCTGCCCCCGACTGCACGGCTCGGAATGCGACCACGGCTGAGCCTCGTCCTGCAGACCCACAGCTTATCTAAATGACAGAGTCTAGTTGCTGGTGAAGGCAAGCACATGCTTGCCAGAAGAGCCGCGGTCGAGGCCTGATAGAGACCCTGGACAGCGGTGCAAGCAAAGCCGTCATTCCAGTCGTGGAAATGCCCCCACTTGGACTTGACTTCGTGGTGGGGGCCATGATCAAGGTGGATGGTCATCAGTATTAAGGTATGGCAGCCCACGGCAGCTATCTTCCCACTCGTTTCCTTGCCTGGCAGCTCTGGGCTCGTCGGCCTGACTTCTAGGAGAAAGGGCAATAAAAGAAAGAGAGAGATTGTAGGTACAAGGCAGACCAGCAACTCCCGCAGAACGCCCGGCTGTCTCTCCGATATATATAGATAGAGCAATTCTTAGTCCTGTGTCCAAAACAACACACCTGTCCCTCAAACGCCCGCATGCCCACCTATGTCCAACCGCTTCGACCGCTTCAAACGAAAGGCAGTGGTATCCTGGAGGTAAAAATGAAAGAGTATTCACAACAGAACAGAAAGGGACAGAACAGAACGCGGGCTCCTCGACCTCAGCAGCATCCCCTCCTGCTTCTCCGATTGCTCAGCGTGAACACCTCTTCCCACTCCCTCATGCCGCCCATGCCCCACTGACTCCTGCTCTTGCCCCTGCCCCTGCCTCTCCGCCGGCCGCCCCCGGCACCAATATCGTCCGTCGTCAGCGAGCTCTTGATGCTGGCGCCGTCCGTGCTCGCGCCGCTGTGCCACAGCCCGCCGGCGTCGCCGTACTGGATGCCGCTCATCGGGTCGTCCGGGTCGATCTCGCCCAGCTCGATCTTGGTGAGGATCATGCGCGCGAGCCGGCCAAAGACCTCGTCCACGCCCTCGCCGTTCAGCGCGCTGACCTCCATCGTCACCGGCACGTTCACCCCGCTCGCCCACCGGCTGGCCTCGCTGGCCGATACCTCCCTGCCCTCGAGCGCGATCGTCGCGCGCTGCGCGTGCCCGCCTCCGCCCGCTGCGCCACCGCCCCACGGGTCCCGGTCTGTCATGGTCGCCATCGTGCTCCGGCTCGTCGTACTGCTCACGCTCGCTGCCGAGTACCCCGGCAGGCTACCCATGCCGGGGCCGGGTGTGATCGTGTTGGTAGAGCCGTAGCTTGACGGCGTGGGCGGCGGCATGGACGTGTCGACGAGGGCGTTGCTGTCGGCGAGGTCGAGCTTGTTTCCGGCGAGGACGAGGGTCAGGTTTGGGGAGGCGAGGGCGCGCGCGTCGTTGAGGAAGGGCTGCAGGGAGTGGAAGGAGGCGTGGGATGTGATGTCGTAGACGAGGATGGCGCCGGCGGCGCCGCGGTAATATGATCGCGAGACAGAACGGAAGCGTTCGGTGCCAGCGGTGTCCCAGAGCTGTGTCCTCGGGATCAGATGTCAGCGATGCGACCAGCACGGGTTGCAACCTGTCTGTGCCTGTGCCGTGCACTCGCGGGAGCTGGGACGGGGTTGTGGTCTGACCTGTAGCTTTATCCGTTTCCTCCTTGCGCCGGTGCCAACTTTAATGATCTTGGTCGCGAACTCAACGCCGATGGTCTGCGACGAGAGCACCCTCCACTCGTTCTTGACGAAGCGATGTAGCAAACATGACCTAGATGCGAGGTAAAGCACAGATCAGCGATGGGCCCTTGATAGAGTGCGTCTGTTTCGTTGTTTCTTGGGGTTGGTCTTCGAACTCCGGTGCAGCCGGCTCGGGGGATCAATCAGGAGGCCTCGGTGTCGATAGCATCACTCACTTGCCCGTCCCGCTAGGTCCTAGCAATATGATCTTGGCCAGATAATCGTACATACTACCCAGCTCCTACCCAGACCGTCATGTCATGTCAGCGTTTGTGCCATAATGTCAGGGTCTTGCTGCTTCGTGGTGTCGTGTCGTACCTGGTCACGCGCGGTGAGATTGCTCTCATCGCTCGCGGCGGAGGAGCGCCGCGGTCTCGTCATTGTCGCGTGGATCAGTCGGTGTGTAGCTCGATCAGCCCCGCTTGTTGTACGCGATAGATTTCGAGTTTGGGGTTGAGTTCGAGTCCGATTTGGGCGATTCGAAGAGTCACTGGATATAGAGTTTCGCAAAAAGAGGAAGAGAGTGTGCAGAAAGATTGTTGCCGAGCAGGTTTGCGAAGGTGGTACAACAAAGTGTCAGGGTCGCACGAGGGCATGGCATTATCGCTACTGCATGGCCATTGTTGGCGGCCATTATCAGCAGCAGCAGCAGCAGCAGCAGTAGCCGCAACATCCCAGGCGCAGGCCCTGGGGAAGACAGACCTGGAGACCCGCCCAGTTTCATGTGCTCCCTGGAACGTGCTTATCGTCAGCAGCGATAGGCTTCAGCAGGGATAGTCGCCAGTCCAGTGGGCCGGATGCCAGGGGCCCATTTTTGGCGCAAAGCCATGTCGTCAGACCTGCTCTGGGTGGGGTCCGTTTACAGTCTCTCTGCCTCTGTGTCTGTGGCTCTAGCTCTACTGTATGGCTCTCACACATCCACCACTGGGTTTTGTCACGTCTGTCGCGGCAACAAGAACACGTCGTATTTCGTCAGGGTTTTTGAATATCGTGACCATTCCAGATTTTTGTGAGGATCATGCCATTTTTTTGAGACGCCCTTCCCAGGTTCAGGCACATGTCATATTATGGTCAGAAAGCCGGCAAAGAGAAGCAGCTCTGTCAGAGTAGGCTATGGCATATTTCAGACCAGTAGTTGGGATGACAAGCACGAGACTTGTTCCTAGCTTAGATCTTAGATATATCCCCAAGATTGCAGTTATGTAACGGATGTAGTGAACAGAAACCAGAAACCAGAGATAGCGGCATTTGGGTCGGCTTCTGCGAAAGATAGCCTATTGCTCTCCCGCTTCCGCCTATCGGCTATGGGCAATCTCACGACCAAAGCCAAGCCACCAATTGTAGTCTATAAGTGCGACGACCGCGGCACGTAAAAAGGGGTCAGCTTACTGTAGATCGTTCAAGATATAGATCACAAGAGGCGAACACACTACGCGAAACAACAGTGCCACCCCTCGACAAACTCGCGATCACCATCATGTCCAGCTCAAAAGTCCACGTCGCCGTCACTCAGGCCGAGCCAGTTTGGCTGGACCTCCAAGGCGCCGTCGCTAAGACATGCATGCTCATCAAAGAGGCTGCAGGAAACAAGGCACAACTCATAGCATTCCCAGAATGCTTCATACCAGGCTACCCCGCTTGGATATGGTCCGTGGCTCTCAAATCCGTATTACTTGTCTTCCTCACTCACCCCCGCTTCACACAGGAACCGCCCCGTTGACTTCGACATTAATGTCAAGTACATCAAGAATTCGCTGCGGGTCGCCTCGCCCGAGATGGACACCATCAAGGCGTGCGCCCGTGAGAACGGCATAGCCGTCTCGCTGGGCTTCTCCGAGAACGACGACGATTCGCTGTACATCTCCCAGGCCCTCATCGGCGCCGACGGCGAGGTCAAGGTCCACCGCCGCAAGATGAAGCCCACCCACATGGAGCGCACCATCTTCGGGGACGCCTCCGGGGGCGACGGCACCTGCCTGGCCTCGGTGGCCCAGCTGCCCTTCGCCCGCGTCGGCCAGCTGTCGTGCTGGGAGCACATCCAGCCGCTGCTCAAGTTTAATACCATTTCTCAGAGGGAGCAGATCCATGTCGCAGCCTGGCCGAGCTTGACACCACATTCTGGGAACGGGCCGGACTTGTGGTCTATGTCTGCTGAGGGTGAGTACTGCTACACCTCCTGTGGAGTTACAATCTTGTGATAGAGCTGACTATGGCCAAGGCTGCCAATCTCTAGCTAGGACCTATGCTATCGAGGCTACTGCGTTCGTCCTGCACTCCACAGCTGTTCTGACGGAGAAGGCAGTCGAGGCGAATGGCACTGCGGGCTCGCCCCTCATGGGCGCGCCCGGTGGTGGCACCTCTGCAGTCTTTGGTCCGGACGGGAGAAGGCTCACTGAGTCCCTGGGTGATAAAGAAGAAGGCATTATCTATGCCGATCTGGACTTGGATGAGATCACGAGGATAAAAATGTTTGCCCATTGTACAGGCCATTACAGTAGGCCTGATCTTATGTGGCTCAGCGTGGATAGCAACGCTAAGAGCTTGGTCAGGGGAGCGGAAGTGCTGGCTATCAGGGACGAGACTGTACCTGTTGAGAAGCAAGACTAATCCGTCTTCTCTGAAGCTCAAATGTAAACAGATCACACTATCCATTGTCCTACGCATCGAGCTGTATACATGAACCTTCCGAGCAAACTTGAGGCTCTTTCTCGCATCTTACAGCTTCTTTGCCACCTGAATATCCGGCTTCCTTTTGCCGCATTCCAGACTCGAATTTTATATCCGCACGCATGACCAATAGCAAGAAAAGAGCTAAGACTTCAGTTCCAAATACGAAGGTATAAAGACATGTTCTTGAATGATACCATCTAGGGTCGAACAGCGGCTTTGGTGGTGCCAATAACACACCAGCCTTGAACCCAGCATTTATCGTGCAGAGAAGACACGAGGAAAGGATTATGACTACCTTGGGCGTTCCACTTCCTGTACTCCGTGAAACTGGCACCGACGAGAGCAGTGGAGCAAACACGAGCATCGCCACGGGAGCCGCCGCAAGAGCCAGCAGATAAGTAGCAGCGGCGCGCTGGACATCCCGACACCTATCGATCGTGTTTTGGTCCAGTGTATACACAGAAACGATGATAGACACAACAACCATGACGAGAGCTGAGATGGTGAGCGCCGACAATGTGCCGAGAAGAGCCTTCAAGCACCGGCGTGAACGTATTCCAAGGTCTCGATCAAGCAAGACTCTCTCAGCCAGGATGAGATTCAGGAGGAATAAGAGGAGGACCCCGGCCTGTAGAAGGACCTGTGAGGCGACGGCGATGCGCACGTTGGCTGGTCTGAAAGCCCAGGCGATGCGCATCGCGCAGGCCACGACTCGTTCACCCGAGAAGAGGAACAGGATGACCGGGATGGTGCGGCCGTGGCCCTTACGGCGATGGATTTCAGTCAAGAGCGTAGAGGTGACTGCTGCTATAGCGTATAAAGCCAGAAAGACAGCCAACGGCAGCATGTCAATTGACACAGACGGTATGCCTCCGATTTGGGCGTTGTTCAGGGGATAAGGGGGCTGTTGCGCATTAGTTAATATAGGCGCTTATTGAGAGGTAACTTTTATACATACTCCCCCAAAGAATGACGAGATTGACATATTGGATACCAGTGCTTTCTTGTTTACAGTTTTACGTTGCTGCTGGTAGTGTTGTAAAACAGTTGTTGGGGAGAAAATGGAATTACATGCAAACCTAGACCAGCATCCTCCATTGAAGTCATGCCCCGGTGCTGTTCTCAACAAATGCGACAGACTACTTTCCATCATATGATCTTCTCCGCCAGTTTCACGGTCGCACGAAGTGATGATCTGCGGGAGCTATTGATTCAGTGGGGACATCCGAGAGTATGCCATCACACTGAATGCTTTTTGTGGCTTGCTTTGAAGAGCTGAACCCATCGCAGGTTCGATGAAAAACTAAACTAGTTCTTTCCGGTGGCTTTCAGGACCGGAACATTGGACCAACTGTGTGAGACTATGTGGAGATTTCCCCCCGGAGAAGACATCATATGATGCACACACGCGTGGTAGAGGATAAATTGTCTCAAGACGGAAATTGTCTAAAGATCGTTAAGCTCCTTCTCACTGCTCTTCCCTTCACTGCAGCCAGGGTCACGAGAAAAACTGGAAGTATTTTCTTGCTCACCACGAAAAGACGATGATATTCACAACTGTCGTTTCTGCCGTGACTCTATGGGTATTATACTCTACCTTCTTGAAATGTTATTTCAGCCCCTACCGTCACCTACCTCGCGCAAATCAGAAGCACATGCTCACACGTCTCTTCCACGAGCCCACGACATTTGAATTGGAAGCATGGGCTAATAACGTCCAAAATGACGGGATAATTCGATACTTTGGCTTTCTCAACCAGGAGAGGCTCATGATCACCACGATCGAGGCGTACAAAGAGCTTCTACTACGAGACGCATATAGCTATGACAAGTTATCCGGCCTTTCGGCACTTCAGGCACCTGTGGGTGTGAGCGGCTTAGTCTCTTCCAAGGGTGTCTTGCACAAGGTAAGATTCTAGCATAGGCAAACTTTTCCTTGAAATCTATGGACTGGACTGACTTTGCTCCAGGCCCACCGCCGTCACACGATTGCGGCGTACAACGCATCTTGGGCTCGGACTCTATGTCCCGAGATTTTCAAAACGGCGAAAGAAGCCTCAGAGGTGCTAGATAATATAGCTTCCAAGAGCCCGCGAGGCATTTTCAGGGTCAATCGGTTCCTTCGAGAGATGTGCCTGGACGTAGTTGGCAGAGCAGACTTCAGCCTCGACCTTGGTGCCGTCGCGAGACCTGATCAGGAGGTCACGAAGAAGTACCTCCACGCATTCGATGTCGGAGAACAATCACCTCTGTTTCTCAAATTGTTGCAATTGTGTCCGAGGGCTCTTCAGGTTTCTGCCGCCATGTTTGTCTCGAAGCTGATTGGCATTGACATCTCCCTGATGAAAGGCGTTATCGAAGACAGCGTAGCTTCGAAGCTGAAAGGTTTAAAAGAATTTAAGACTGTGGCTGAAGTATCTCTTGATGATGAACGGGAAGATTTGCTGGGCAGGATTTGCCGCCGGGCGCAGCCCTATCTGTCTGAGAGAGCGCTGTCGCGGCACGCCTTGACGGCTCTAGCCGGCTCTGTTGAGATGGTGTCTAACCAACTTGCCTGGGCTCTATATGCAATCTCCCTGACGAACTATAAGATTGTTCAAGAGGCACTTCGGGCTGAGATCCTCGAACACTTTCCCACCTGCCCAGAGTCAGTGACATGGGAAGAGTTGAAGAACATGCCCTACCTGATCGGCGTGGTTAACGAAACTCTCAGACTCTACCCATCGGTCGCGCACAGATTTCGAATATGCAGCACGCCGACAACACTGCTCAATCAGACCATACGCAAGAACACAATGCTGGTCTGGCCAACATATGCCGTCAACCGCCGCGCTGGCTTGTGGGGAGACGACACAGAGGAGTTTCGCCCGGAACGATGGAGTGAAGACGCCGTGAGCAATCGCAAGGGTAACAAGCGTGATGCCTACGCTTTCATGACTTTCGGTCAAGGTCCACGGAAATGCCCTGGTGAGCACTACACAAAGGTCGTTATGGCCTGTGTGCTGTTGGTGTTCGTTGGAAGATTTCGGTTCAAGATGCCACCTGCACATGCTGATGTCTTCGAGGACCATGATAAGAAGCAAGTAAAGTTTGGCATTGTGATGAAAGCTCCTATATATGTCCAGGTCGAAAAGTTATTGAGTTGGGGTGGTCTTGCGGAAACGAGCAATTGAGCGCCTGAAGACTACAACATGTGCATTCGGAGGCAAATGGATAAGAAACCAGGTATGGGAATAGTCTTTAATTGAAAGATCCGAACATGTTGATGGATGGTGACAGATTGATTTGATTGGATAGTGTCACGGTACTGCATGAGGGTCATAAGAGGCGTGTTGAGAACTCGTTGTTGCGCAGAGAAAGGAAAACTAAGAGACTGCAAGTTATCCGATGTCGATTTGAACAAGCTTTCGATTAATAATAAAATTACTCAATCGAGCTACCAAGTGCTTGAGGCTCGCCTCGCCGTTCGGATCTCTGTCTGACTTAATTCCAGGCGATTTTCTTCCTTGCACTTGAAAGACCATCACGACCCACGCAGGTTTTACTTGAGGAGTCCTAAAGACACCTAACGGCTCAAATGCCACTGTCATCTTGCTGGTAACTTGATCCTGCAGGAGACGTGTAGTATGAGTTCCATGCCGCACACCTGTCGTTCATTTCCGTGTCATCTCCAACCACGGACGGAATCTGAGACTGGTTCTCTATCAGCTGCATTGCCAGCCCCTGGGACGCATGCCATGCGATATGGCAATGGAATAGCCAGGTGCCCGGGTTGTCCAGCTTGAACGCAATCACAGTGTAGCCGGTGCCGTAAAGAGTCACCGTATCCCTGCGTGGTGGGTTGTCCTTGTTCAACTTCGTGATTCCTGGGATAAACACGCCACGTCCTTGTGCCAGGATATAAAAGTCGTGGCCGTGTAAGTGCATCGGGTGGTAAGCGTTCGTCAGGGTGAGGTCCTGAAGCACCCAATACACCCATTTCCCTGGTGCGTCGATGTTGGCCGAATTGCTGTTATCTGGATAGTCATCCTCAGCAACGCCGTTGTAGGCGTATGAAAGTGTTGGGTCAGACCAGTTGACACTCAGATAACCGTCATGCATCGTCCAGTGCAGAACCAGGCTGGTATCATAATACCATCCCACGTCAAGGTAGTTCTGCTCCTCCTTGTCATCCACAGTATGTTGTACCCAAGGAACCAGGTTATCGTAGTCCTCGTCTCCACATGAGTTGTCGATGTCGTCACTGACTGTCGTAGTTGGCTCCGCTGTTGAGTTCGCACCGTCGTAGTACACAATGCCCAGAATATTGTCCTTATTATCATTATCATTGAAGTTGCAAGCCGTCTGGTAGATGGCTCGCAGCCAGTAAGATCCAACTGGCTGATCCGCTTCGACAATCACATCGTAGCGCTGTCCACTAGCCAAGATTATATTGTCTGTCGTGTATGGCACAATGGGAACAAGGTCAGCCGCAACGACAGTCAAAGTATGTCCATCAATGGTGAACTTCATATAGCCGTCAGTTTGCGCACCAACAATCCGCATCAGGTGTTTCTTGCCCTGTTCAAAAGTTGTGTTGTAACGAGCGGTCACTCCGCCCACACAAGCGGTATCGTCAGAGTCAGAACAGTCGTACGGATTGAGCCCATTGATGAGGCCGTTGGGAGCGACGACCTTGAAAGGCCCCAACACATTGAAGACGCGTTGGTACTTCTCCCACACATGCCACACGTTCTCGTGATATCGGTCTTGGAGCATGACGGGGCCGAGGTCAATGTCGTAGTTGGCGGTCGTGGGTCCGTGGATCACGATTGGCCCAAAGAGACCGTGGGCCAGTTGTAGAGAGAAATGAGCATGATACCATGAGGTGCCCTCATAACCATTCTTGTCCTGCTACGGAGCTCTGACCCTTATATATGCGAACCTTTGAGAACCCCGCCCCTTAAGTAAGGCAGGCCCGCCAGGCGCTCATCAGAGTGCTCAAAAGTATGGAAATTACTATTTAAAGTACTTAATAAGAGTCTTTAAAAATAAATTTTGTATATATTTTATAATAGAGATTAAAATAAGTATAAAATAATTAATAAGTAATTTTTAATTAATATTTTTAATTTTTATAAATAAAAGGATAGCTAGTTTTAATTAAATTTATAATATTAATATTTTTACTATAACTGCCTGCTTTAAGGATTTATATATTTTAATAATTTATATACTTTAATAAAACTTTATACTAAATAATTTTATATATAACTTTTAATTAATACTTTTAATCTTAATAAAAAAAAATAGTTTTAAAAAAACTTAAAGAAAATTAATAATTTTAATACTAATAATTTTATTTTAATAACTTTTATTTTAATAAATTCATACTTAATAAATTTATATACTAATAATTTTTTTGTATTAAATTAATTTGTAAATAATTTTTAATAAATACTTTTAGTTTTAATTTAAAGAGGATAGTTTTTAAAAAACCTTTAAAGTTTAATTATAATTATAATATTAGTACTTTTACTAAAATAATTCCCTGGTTTAATAGCTTTTTATACCTAAATAATACTGCTTATTTAAAGCTATTTCTAGCTTTTTAAAACTATTTTATACTTAATAATTAATGCTAACTTACTTTTTTACTACTTTATATAGTATATCTATAATAATAAGCAGGTAAAGAACAACCTTCTTAGCTACTATATTAGGAAAGGTATTTAAATAATTAGCTAAAACATATATAACGCTAATAATTCTGTTTATTTTATTATAATATTTAATTATTAACTTATTACTATTAGTACTTAATATAAGGATATTAAAGCTATTAGTAGCAAATAGGGGTATTACTTACACTAGAGGGGGCTGCCTTATTAGCTATCTTACTAACACTTTAATAGCTTTTAGCTACTTTAGCAGCTACTTTAGTAAGAGCAGAAACTAAAGTACTTTTGTTATTTAGTTTAAAAAGGCTATTAAGGAAGTAATAAAAGGGGGCAGTTTCTACACTCTTAATCTAGTTATAAACGCTTATTTTAGTAACTGTAAAATTATTAAGCTTATATTTAAAGCTTGCTAAAAGCTTTTTAATAAGGCTATTACTAAAAAGAGTAAAGTTTAAAAAAATATTAAAGTTTTTAAAAAAGCAGCTAAGGATAGCTTAGTAAACTGCACTCTTTTTATAAGTGCTAAGGTTAAGGTTAAAGGTAGTAGTAGTAATAAAGAGTATAAAGTTAAGGTTATTTTTAATAAAATAGGTAGTAAACTAGTAAGCTTAGTTTTAAATATTAGTAATTATATTATTAAAGCTTATAATATAAACTTAAATAGTTGTAATATAGTTTTCCTTAATAGAACTATAGATACTGGTAGGGGTAATATTAAGTTTTATACTAGCATAGAGGTCTTTAAAGAGGGTAACAGATTTACCTATTAGTAATATATTGTACTAGCCACACTATTAAGTTTAAGCTTAATAAGGTATAATAAGTATAAAGGTAGAGGATTGTTTAATATATAGTAGATTATAGGATTAAAGTGTAAGGGATTGCTGAGTAGGGGATTTAATGAGGCAGATAATAATAAGAGTTTTAAGCAGTATAATATTAATTAATAAAATACTAAAATATTTAAAGCTAATAAAAAAATATTATAATAGGATATATTACTGTGTAAGTAGCTATTGTTTTAAAACTATTTACTTAAGTATTTAAAACTTAATAAAGATAAAGTTATTTTCTAATTTTTTATTTAAAGCTTAATTTAATAAGCATGTTTTTATACTGTTATATTAATAAAAAGTTTAAGATAGGGAAATTACAATAGATACAATTAGAAATAAGTTAAAGTAGTAAGAGAGCTAAAAATATTTAGAAATTAAAGCTAATATTCCTTTTTTTATACCTCTTTTAAGGACTAACTTAAAAGTTCTAGCCTAATTAAACTAAATTTATATAAATATAAAGTAAAAATATAAAGTAAGTAATAATAATAATTATTTTTTACTAAATATATAAATAATTAAAATAAAACTTTAAAACCTTAATTAGTATTTTATATTACTATAATATAAAATTTTATACTTTTAGTTTTAGTAAAGAATAGATTATAAATTTAACTGCTTATTACTAAATATAGAGTTAAATAAAGTTAAAAAGAATCCTTACTATGTATATTATATTATTAAAATCTGAAATATTATATTCTTATTTTAGTAAAGCAGATTATAAATAACGGCTGCTCTTTTTTAAATATAAAGCAGTTTAAAATAAAATCTATAAATCTCGGCTATATATTTTATACTGCTAAAATTAAAATATTATATTACTAATTATAGTAAAGAGCAAACTATACTGTTATTATATTATAGTTAAATATAAACTGTGTAGTTATACTATTTATTCTTCTTTTTAATTAGCTTTATTACTTAGTAATTTATTTAACTGCTTATAAAGCAGTATAAACTTTGCTGCCTTATAACTATAAATATTTTGTATTTTTTTAAATGTAAAGCGCAAGTTAATTAAAAGGGCTTTTTATTTTTTTTACTTTTTTTATACTACCTTTTTATTTTTAATAAAATGCTTATCCAGGTTAGAAAGCTATTCTTTAAGCTTGTTTAGTTAGCTGTTTTTATTTTAAAAGTTTATATACGCCTTATTAAGCTTGCGCCTAGGAATAATATTACTAGTAAGCTTTTGCTCTTAAGTGCTAGTTTTAAGTAACTATATAAGCGCTTTTATAAAAGCTTTATTATTGCGTGCTATGTTTATAAATGCTCTGCTAATTTATAAGGCTATTGTATTATAGCTTAGCTTTTAGCTATTAACCATAATATAAAAAATTAGCTTATTCTATTCCTTGCTAGCTTAACTAAATTAACTGTAAAAATTTAAAGCGCTATTTTACTGTATACTGTTAAAACTATTATAATAGAAAATTAGATGCAATTGCGCTCTCCTATCTTTAACTCGCTGTATACTAGCATTGCTACCTAGTTTACTAGAACTACTACTCTTAATACTATTAAAAGCCTGCTTAGCCTGCTTAACCCTAGCTATATAAGCCTTAATACCCTAAAAAACTAGGCTTTATCTTAATTACTTTATTAATAATAGGATTATAGTTTAGTTAGGCTTTAAAGTTTAATTATATTTTAATTAATTTATTAGTAAGCTGGTTATAAATAGGCCTTATTTAGGCTATTGTAAGGCTAGGGGAAGTATAAATAAGCCTATTTTTAGTAAATTTATGGGTACGGGAGTTATATTTGTTTTTATTAGGGTAATTATAAATAAATCTGCTTTTAGCTAATTTATAAGTATAAAAGGTATAATTGCCTATATTAGGGTATTAAGTGCTAGACTTATACTAGGTGTGCTTATTTTTACTATAATAGTATTGTTTTTATTAGTTAAAGTTGTATTAAAGCTATTACTATTCTAATGTTTAGCTTTTACCTAACTTTTAATTATAACTCTAGCAATTGCAGTTATAATATTATACTTCCTTAATACACTAGCAAGATTTTTATTTAGCTAAAACTTTTAAAGTAGATTTATTAGCTTAGGTTGCTTTTTAGATTTTAAGTAGCTGGTAAGGGTTGCTTCTAGCTTAGTATTAAGATTTTTATTTATATTGCTTAAGTAGAGCCTAATGGTAAGCTTGTTGTTTGTAGGTGGTTTATTAGTGCTGTTTAAATTGTAATAGTTAAGGCTATGCTTATAATAAGTTGATTTGAGAGCTGCTTTATTTAAGTAGATATATTGTATCTTTGAGCTAAGCGGCAGTGTTTTACTTAAAGATGTTAAGGTTGCTAATATTACCGCTTAGTATATAGTAAAGAAATATAAGTTGTTTATGCTTGAATAGGAAGGTGTAGTTAGATGCAAAGTTTTTTTAGTTAGCTTTAGTATAGAGGAGGTAAGATATATTAGTTTAAAGGGTAATAGTTATTGTGTATATAAGGTTAATAGGTTTTGATATGTGAGTTTTATTAGTAGTGAATAACCTTAATAGGTAGATTAGCTTATTAGATGATAAATTAAGTTTTTACTATGTATGTTTAGGTAGTACTTATGTATAATAGGGTTTTTAATTGGGTGTGCATTTTAGTAGTAAAGGGGTTTACTATAGAAGAGGTTGTTTAATGTTATATATAACTTTTATAGTGAATTAAGTATATAGGTAAGATTATTGTATTTTTTAGTATTGTTATAAAAGTTAATAAGAGAAAAAGAAAGGAAAGGAGGAAAAGGTAGTAAATATAGTTAGTATAATAGGCTGCTTTATATTTAATACTATACTGTATTTGAAGGCTGCTATTTTGAACTGAGGGGAAGGAGTAAAAGTAATAGCCTTAGGATGCTGATTAGGTTTTTTATATTTACTATTTAAAAGCTTTTTACTTTGCTTTAGAATATAATGCTTTTTGGTTTTTTATAATTTGGCTGCTTTGAATTTAGTAGTTAGAGGCTGTGTATTTTAGGCTAACCTTTATAGGTAAGTAAAGCTGTTTTTACAGCTTAAAGAGCTTTAATTGTAGCTTATTATTAGGGCTTAAAAACTTAAGTAAGCTATAGGCTTTTATAATTAATATTAAAGGCTAAGTATTAGATTTAAATAAGAATAGGTAGGAGAATTAATTTAAGGTATATAGGTAAGTGGTTAGATGAATGGGGTTGGTTTGGGCTGAGGAAAGGTATATTTATTTACTTTAGTAATAGAGTTGTTATTAATATTGTATTGTTGCTAATTAGTTAGTAATGGAGCTAATAAGCTGGTTTAATCTTATATAATATTAGATTTGCTTTATATAGCTTATAATAGCCCTGGGCGTTTTG